GCGCAGGCGGGTACACCATTCCATTATCATCCGCTAAAAAAACATCAATGTTTGGGCACCTATGTATGTAGGTTTTTTTGTTAAATATTGTTATTCTTATAATCTTACATGATCGGTATCTAGATTATAAAAAGCTACAACATCCGACGTAATGTTTTATTTGTCAGAGGACAACTTGCGCCCACGCTGTTACTGAACGTGGTAATTTTAGATCATGCATTTCATGATATAACCGCGACCCTGGTGTATTTGGGAAATGCAATAATGCGAGAATGTTTCTGTACATTATCGCTACGTGTTACTAACATGAAATAGTACCCATCTAAGAGATCTATATCATTACATAGTTTATACTATGGAATTATATAGTTCTCTTATATAGATAGTGATTCTAGACGAAGGTCTATATATATAATATATGTATACCCGTGCGAAGCCGGGGCGAGTAGTTAGTTATTATTATAATACAAAAAGCCTTTACCTGACTATCCAACTTGTTTAATGCAAACAGTTGAAATTAGACACGTGTTATTTAGTAATATACTTACATTATTGGTACCCTTTCGCAATTACTAGTAGGTACTAAAAATAAACTGGGTTGACAAAAACGAGTAGTTTTTTTTTCGGACTATCCTAATGCTGTTGGCCGCAACTGGCTTTTACAGCTTCACCGGACGACAGGGGGCGAGTGCAGATAGCACTCCAACCCGCGGAAAGACTTATGGAGCGGCTGAAGGCCAATTCCCGCCTGACGGACGAGTAATTTACTTGATAGCTTCGGTATCTATACAGCCACAGCCATAATAACCAACAGCACTGAGTTTAATCCAGAACGGTTGTACCACTATATTTATGGAGGGGATATCATAAAACCTATTAACAGATAATTAAGGTCTGCTGTAAAAACAATGTTTTATATGTCCTCATGCCAGTCCTTTGCGAGGTAGATAAAGAGAATCATTATTTGCAATATTTAGATACAAAATAATACGAACACCATAAAAAACCGTTCTTAAAAAATGACCCAATAGCCGGCGTACGCCGGTATGAACAGGTAACGTTATTTATATACATTCGCTGTTTACGTAATATATCTGTTCATTTGTAGTAACCCAATAATAACTGCATATATTTATCGAGGAGGAAAAAAACGTAAACAGTAAGAGGGAAAACTATGTCCATGATGTGTGGGCTAGGGTTGGCACGTAGTAATTTTATTTTAATACATGAATATGGAATGGTGCACACGTCAGCGTTAACGGAAAAGGATGATATGATGAGCATGAAAGTGAGGGCAGTTAGTTCATCATGACGAATTCACCTGGAATTAACCATAATAGTTTCCATAGAGGAAAGCGAAAGTGTGGAGCTTATCCCAACACGATTTATTTAATAATTAAAATAGTAAAGCTGACGGTAGATCTAATGTTAAGTGATAAGCATCGCCTACATACATGGACAGAATCAGACTTCACGTTATCATGTAACGCCCGGACACCTCTCATACGTAGCTGGACGACTATGTCATGCCTCCACATGCTAAAATTTCGCTTGTCTCACTATTCAAACCAAACACAGCTTAAAATACAATCTGATGAGGCAGCTTAAATGGGTGATACTGAGGTCACCAAGCCGACTACTTTATTATAAAGTCTACTTCACAGAATATAATTAAATACTGTTTTGAAACAAAAAAGTCTTAGATTAAGTGTATTTCCCTAATGTTACGGACTTCATAAAATTAGAACACGTATTTTTTATATATTTTTCACAAGTGGCAACCCTGTATGCTATGAAAAACCGCTCATCTGTAGAGTGTAACGCACTGTGATAATTGCTTATGCATGAAATGGTGGCCATCACCGTGGAAACGTCCTGTAACCTGCCTAAACGCCTTCTACAGGGAGAAAATATATATTTAGAATGACACAATGTCCCCCTAACGAGTTACAAACAATATTAAAAATTATTCTTTCGTAATACATTACGTTACAAAAAAAAACGCAAGTTGGCCGTTAAAAGTTGCCATTAAGAATAAAAGGCGAGTTAAATGTCGTTTTTAAAAGTCAGGTATTAGTGTCAAATCCATACAAAATAATGGCTTTAGACATATATGAACTTAGTACATTTATTTACCGTTTACAAAGAGGGCGTAAATTATATTCCAGTAACAAAATATTGTAATATCAAAAATATGAAATCCTTTCCATATTTTGTCTAAAACAATTTTAGTAATATAAGAATTAATAATGCGAAAGCTCAATAACGCAATTCAAATAACTTATAATTGTTTAAGTATATAAAATATCTTTTATACCTTTTTTACAAATAGTAATAATCAACAACAGTGTCAGTATTTACAAATTTACATTTAAAATATTTATATTGCAAGCAATATAAAATTTTAAATTCAAAGTAGATATTTAAGTTTTCATAACAAACACATATGAATCATCAACAGTGTTCAATTTTATGTTCACAAAAGCAAACATGGACAGCAAAGACATACATAATAGTGTACACAAAAATACTCGAACAATTGACAATATGCAGGCTTCAAAGCTTAATTATATTGATTCCCCTGTCTTGTGTAATGTAACACAAATTTAAAAATATATAAATATATTTTTAAATTTAATATTAATATTTAATATTCCAAATATTTTATGTGTCATAGTATAAATTTACATCTATATTTGAATAAAAAAATCTTCATTTCAATAATAATTTACACATAACATCAATAAAACTGAAAACCAGTTATATTTTGTCTGATGAATCATCCCAAGTAGGTGTATTTGTATAACAATAATATACTCAAACAACTGGTTTCAATTGAAAGACATATTTTCAATACCATATAAATCGGCACTTGATTATGTGATAAAAAAAAACAGTTTTGTTCGATTGAAAAACTGCAAATACCATTAATATGTACGTAGAATTTATGTAACTATGGTTAAGTGCTGATTTATTTAGGTAAATAGATACAATAGAAATAATATAAAAATCAATAGTTATATCCTTTTCTATATAGCATACAGAATCATTTATTTTAGGACAATTGTATTGTACACAACATTTTTAGTCAACTCATATTTTTTGATAATCTTTATTACATATTGGATCAGAATAATTAATTTTAGGACAGTATTATTGTACATAACTTTTTTGGAAAACTATCCATAAAACTTTTTTGTCTATTATTTTTAATTTTGTATATTATAAAGAAAGTTGTATTGTAGTTGTGCAAGTGAGTGGACTGTTCTAAAACCAGTCACTGTTTTGAAAATATAATCTGGAAATCCTTGCAGACTGCAATCAGCATGTCAACACTGTAGGAAGTGCAATAATAATGCTTAGTCTCTTAAATTGAAGATTGATTATTACGCATTATACAATTTCATGTAAAAATGCCACTCTTCAAATTACTATTTTTTTATTTTATATAAAACTTTTCAAGTATAATAGTAAGAGGAAAATTAGTGACTATCATGTAATGATTTAGTTTACTTCTGCTAGATTTTAAATTGCAGTGCCCTTTCACAGGCTCGGCCTATTTACATCATAAGTATGATGTGTATATGACTGGCCTGTGAGCATCATTTGACATATAAATTTCCTGTATGACATTATACATTGTATTACAATATTTATTAACAATTGTTTTATTTAAATAATTTATCCAGATAAGTAATCTTTAATTCTTGATAAAGTGATGATACATCAGAATTCTAGTATGAAAACAATTATTACACAAATTAATAATAATTTTGTCATAAGAAGCTGTTTTCACACTTAGAGAGATTATACCTATAAATCTAATTAAATCAGCACTTACACGACAGGGGAATCCAGGTAAAACAATCAGCACTTACCTTAAAAATTGGCCTGGGATGTCTTGGCTGAGAAGGCGCCGCGGCGGCAGTAGTCGTCGCAGGGGCCGCCGCCGGAGTCGTCACATGGTCCGCCGGCAGCGACTCTGGGACAGTTTGCAGAGTAGGCCGCATTGTCGTCGACATTTTCACCAGTTCACTCTATGAAACACTTAACACCTCGCTACGCCACCCTCGCCGCTTGCATCCTCTGTAGCGGCCGCGCTCTCAGCCCGCCCCACGAGCCCAGGCCTTCACCAGACCTTCGAGTTAACTTCACCGACCGACCAACAACGCCCATCTAACCGCATTTTTGACTAGAAAAACACATCGCAAAGTCCTAAGACTACTACAGTGACACGATATCCGTACCTTCAACACTTTCACGTATAAGCTTACGATCGTCGAGATGAAAAACGGAAATAGACACGCAAAAAACTATTAGAAAGCTTACGGTGTCGTCTCCTGTCACATAAACACAGAAAGAATTCGGCGCTATAGCTCTATGCCACACGTAACGAACTTTATTTATTGCGACCGGCTCGTGTGTAATATACGTAATGGCGTAGTCACCAATTGTTCATCCATTTAATAATAAAATTATTAAAGGTATTCACTCAACTCCGATAAAAGTTCTCACATTCTTGAATCTACTCTCAAGATGGCGGATTTTACCTACTCCTTGTAATGGGCACAAGGCTGACACGAAAACATCAACCGGCTCTCTATCAATCCCTTTCAGTTACTATCACATGAAACGAGATAGTAATATATGAAGAAGTTCAACGGCGTTTTCTGATACGTCATACGAGCGGCGCCCAATGGACATGCGCGAAAATAAAAATAAAATGAACGCATCCTAACAAACGTTTTGTTACTTCATTGCTTTACATCGGAATAAAATTTATGATCATGACTTGAGACTTAAAAAATAATATTATTACCATTTTAAGCTAAATCAATGATGATTGTCTTAGTTAATCATTACAATTTATATTTATTTCAATGAACGAAATTGTTAAAGGCATAGTAAAAAATATTAACAATTTCTAAACTTGCAACACCAATTAACTATTTCTGAACTGGCAAATATTGCAAACGCCATCTTATCAAAAATGGCTGCCTTGTTGTTGGCGACTGTTGGGTGCTTGTTTGGAAACTAATGTTTATTTTCTTAATTTATTATGACTTTAACTAATTATAGTTACAAGACATCGTGAAATTAATCTTGATATATTGTTAATTGGTGAGAAAATTTATCTAAATATAGATTGGCTTTGTGTTCTAGTTATGAATGTAAGAGCAGTTCGAGGCTTGAGCAACGTGAGCTTTTTCAGTATAGTGTATACCTTTGTTTTGTAAATTAATTGTTGTTTATCACAGAATCAATATTCATCTATAAACACTGCAATAGTATGAAGTTAATTTTATGCAAGTCAGTTGTTTACATAAGTTTTGACCTTTCGTGGTGAATGAATAACAAAAGATTCCAACCCTATTTTTGACGGCTTTGATATGTATTTAGGTGTTTTGATGTGTTTCTGTTTATAGTTAACTTACTTATTATAATCACGTATTTTAGAATGTATGTGATTGAAATGTAGTCAGTTTTTAGTAGATCAGCAAGTATAGGTACTTAGTACGAAATACCGTTACTTACGCAGCAAACAGCGGATGTGTGCCTTGTTTTTTTTTTCTATTTTTTTAATATCGTAACTATCAGTCAACTGTTTTCCTCTTTTGCGTTTGTTACCTAAATACATTGTAATAAATAAACAGTTATTCGTTTTTAGTAATATTCACAAAACTCTAAGCTCAAGTTGTGTAAACATAGGCATTTTCTTTACTATTTCGGTCCAATTTACATATCTGTGCTTATCTGATGTGTCATAACCCTTTTTTTTACTAATAAGTACATAGTAAGTAAACAACCATATATATATACTATAGCTGTATATGTTAAACTTGAAAACTTTAAATTAAAACACTGCTCATGATTTAAATAAACAACCATTGGAAAGTTAACCTGTATGTTCTATACTCCAATGGTTATAATTTATGTTATAGTACATTCTTAATGCTAGAAAATGATAACTGTTGTTTTTGTTTTCATGTATATTTTATTGTTCTATATAAAGGTCACATAAGAGAAGTGAAATCTTATACAAAACTTCCATCCACTTCCATTCATCATATTAAAAAGATATTAAGAATAAATAATAAAAAAAATATATAAATGATAAATTCATATTCAGTTATTTATGATTATCTATCAAGATAGCATCTGTTTGCATGCACTGTCAATGCTGTGAATATTATTATAACATTGTAAATACCATACATAATGTTAGGCCTATATGGAATAAATGCTCAACTTAAATTCTTTACTATAATAATGTTTTTCAGGACAATTCACACAGTGCCATCTAGTCCGAAGCTAACAGCGCTTGAGTTATGGTTACTAGACAACTGATATTTTTTTTTTGTAAATACATACTTAATATATATAGAAAACACCCAGACTGATACAAACAATTATGCGCAAGAATACAAATGTTTGTACCATCTAAGGAATTGAATCCGCAACCATAGGATGTAAATGATAATTTGTGCCAAACTGCGAGAGTACCAAGGTAGTCATTACACACTCTACATAAAAGAAAATAATGTATGTTAATAAGTTCATGTTGTCATTGTTTCAGATTAATCCCCAGGGTGAGTAACCCAATAGTCGTCCCTTAGGAGAGCCTTTTGATACAAATGAATACAAATATAACCCACCACTAGACTTATAAGTAGTTAACATCAACAGTAGTATAGTCATGTCCAAGATGTGGCCCGCATCACAGTATTCTCACACAAACAACCCTCATAGTAATCAGAATGTTGCAAAGACAAATGAGCATCAGAATCAGCAAAACTTAAAAACCCTGGGGATGACATCGGCTATATCCATGGCAGGTTTGTACTATAAGCTTTTAAGTCTGACTAAGTTACTAGTACTAATACTAGTTGTTTAAAAAAATGTTTAAATAGTAAGCGTCATGAAATTGAAGTAAGTCAAATTCTACAGTTTTTAATGGAGGTAAAAAAATACCTATATGGTGCAATTGATTTAGGATATGAACCATCCTCTGACCATCTTATACCTTTTAACTTATAAACTATATAGTCTTAATAAAACAAAATTATTATATTTGGAATGGTTTTGATGATCTACTACTTTATATAATAAATATTTATTTGTATTTGTTTTATGTCATTTGAGAATAAGGCCTAATTTTCATAATTAATGTTAAAGGCCCAAAACCAATTGACATTGAAAAGACAAGTGAGCTAAAAGAGTCCCTGGCACCATATGGTGTGTTTGAATCCGAGATCGAGATGCACCACCGCATGGAAATCCTGGGACAACTGCACAGGCTTGTCAGACAGTGGATACGCGACGAATCACTGAGGAAGAATATGCCTCCCAGTGTGGCGGACACCGTCGGAGGAAATATATATACTTTCGGATCTTACAGACTTGGGGTAAGTTCTTTTAAATGTTACCTTTTCTATACATCTGATATCCCACAGCTTCATCTATGTATAATCAGTAGTAATTTTATCTACAAGACTTCATAAATTTTCCTAAGGATATATTTATAACTATAAAGATATAGTAAAGTTTTTATCTTAGTTATTTGATGAATAATTAGTTTCAAATAAAATTTTCATTCTATAAGTAGTCTATGAACTCAGTAAAGATACAATTGTCTCTCTACACCAACATAAATAAAATTTGATTCATTATTTACGCATAAGAGACAGAAATGAGGGAACCATATTCTTTTATTATCTCTCTCTCTCTGTCCAACCCATGTTCCCAGTTTATCTGGGTTCGGGTCTCCCAGTACATCTGCGCCAGAGAACTCTGTTCTGGGTTGTCTGTATAATAAGGTTGTCCTGGTCAATCTGCTTCTTAATATTGTTCTATAAAGTGGCTCGTAGCCTGACCATACCTCTGGTCGAGTTTGGTATCTTAGCATTTTTAACCACGTAATCGTCTTCGCGTCTTTGACCATACCAGCCTAAGCAACTTTCTCTAACTTTTTTCATGATAGAAGCTACTCTGAAAGAACCTCTAATGTACTCTTTGCTTACTTACTTACTTTACTTGCTACTACTTACTTTATCCAGGCGTGTCACACCACCGGCCATATTCTATTATTATTTTGTTATAAACTTTTAAAATAAAATATGGTCTGTGTAGATTGAGAAATTGCCTTACAATAAATCCACCATAACGAATTTGACGTCACTCGTTGGGCGTCACTCGTAGTAATATAATACAAGATTTAATTAATAAATTATTCAGATTCATTCTTTCAATTTAGGTCAAATTTGCATTTAAATGGTCGAGTTGAATTTAATGAATAGTCTAGTCCAGTTTCGCCGTAGCTCAACCTTATTTGCAATTTCTTTTTGCCACATTCATTAGCAATTTTATAATCCATTCTCTTTTGTGGAGAATTTCTTAGGTAATAAGTTTATTCTCGCCTTTATTATTCGCTCCTCAAGTTTTGGCATGTTTATGATGATTTCATTATTCATTTTAGAAACTAGGATATGTATTTTCTAGATAAACAATGAAATCATAATCTACAAACAATTTTATCGGTCTTATTACAAAAAATCTGTTAAAACTCGGACGAAACGTGGTCTAAATGGTCGTGGTTTAAACCATTCCTAAAGTTAATACTTGGAATAAGCCTAACATTATTACGAATCCAGATCTAACAGAGGACTACTTAGTACTACAGTTAAATCGTTCATTATGTATTACATACAGAAATCAGTCACTCATTACAGTTAGCGTACAATTACGTTCCGTTTTACCAGAAAACTGAAAAAATTTTGAATAATATTACTTCAAATAAAAATGTATAAACTAAAAATAAATTTATTTCTATTTGTCTATGTCTTCATTATAACTATTTCATTAATATATAATATTTGTTAATGTACTATTAGGCTGAAAATCAGTTTTAAATTACAAGTAGGAGTCCTATACGGAGAAAAGGAACGGCGGGATATTTTTATTGGATGAATTCCAATTGGTGACTATTTCAAAGTCAAATGAGTGAAAAAATAACAAATAACGTCTTTTATATATTTTTATTATCGTAAAATTTGCTTTAAATATATTTAGTTAATATATTTTTAATTTAGTTAAAATATTTTTCGAAAAACAACAACTTACAATACAATTTTTAAAATTGAGTTTGACTTTTTGCATTTAGACCACTGTTAAACTAGAGGCATCGCAGGTCTAACTTTAGACCATAGACGAATCACGATTTAGAGATAAACTTCATTTTGTAATAAGGAATACATTGGTGAATGGTTTATTACTAGTGCTAAACCAGGTTTATCTTTTTGTAATAAGGCCGTATGGGTCTAACTTTGAAGCAAATCACATATTTTTTTATTAATGCTGTTTATTAAAAGTTGGCAACAAAGGGAGTTGCTCGTAAAATTAAAATCGTTTTATAAACAAAAAAGTTATTATAATTATTGGAACGGCGACATGGGCAGACTTTATTATATACTACCTGTTACCTGCGATATCTTATACAAGTTTTATTTCACCCTTCCCTTATTATTTTAGGAAATAAAATAGCCTTGTAAAACCTTTACATAAAAAAACATACACCATTTCGAATTTGTAATATGATGATGGTATCTGAAGGGGGTCAGATGAGCTGAGTGTGCAGGACCACCTCAATATTTAAGACGCCTCTAACAATACCTTCAATTATCTTTCAGCAATAAGACTGCCGATTAGCCTCTTTATCGTACTCATTGTTGTATGTATACATGTAATACTGTTTAGGAATTGGTTTCCGTGGGAGTAATATAGAAACCAATACTCTATATAAAGAGTTTTCATTAATTAATTAATATTGTTCCAGGTACATCACAGAGGCGCCGACATAGACGCGCTCTGTGTGGCCCCTCGACACATTGACAGGACCGACTATTTCCAGTCGTTCTACGACCTACTCAAATTGCAACCACAGGTATTGAAATAAAAAAAAAACATTTATGTCCATCTGCAGCATATATACAACAATACATCATCATAAATAAACACAGGAATATGTTGAAAATAATACGTACATATGTATGTGTTATTTGTTCTATTCTAGTTGACAACAAACAAATATATGTATTAATAACTATTAAAGCCAAACAGTATCATAATTAAAAACAGGAATATTTTGCTTATAACATGCACATATACATTTATATTGCAATTATATTGTAATAATAAAACAAACAAAAAATATTTTGTCCACTAAACATGCAGTTTTAGTTCCGTTTTCCAATTAACTGCCAATCAATTTTTAAAATCGATTGAAAAGCTCGTTACTTTTTATTCGACTTTAAAAAGGTAAAAAGGAAATTAATTGTTAACTTGTATGCCTGCGGGCCAGTCATCGAACTCGTCATTGTTGATTTGTTAGGTATATATGATTAACGAACTGATTTCGTGGAACATTGATAAATTCATATTTATTACAATAATTCATAACTGTAATATATACAAACGACTGTTTATTATAAACTGAAAACTATGTTCAGGTTTTTCGTGATATAAAAAAGCAGATTAGGAATAAAAATAATCTTTATTTAAACGTACTTAAGTCATGAGTGATAGAATACAACAAATACTCATAGTATTCAAAAGTTAGTCCTTTATGTATATTAATATATGTGAAAACTTTGTACCCCTTTTTACGAAAATTATGCGGGTTTGGTATATTTTTTTATGAATATATATTACATAGATAGCACCCGCGTGCGCTAATGGTTTAAGATGGCAGGGCACCAGTGAAGGGTGATAAGATGTACATGAGGTTAGGTCAGTTAGCCCATCGTGACAAATTCACCAAGAATTTATCACGATGGTTTCCAGGGGGAACCGCGTGGAGGTCAACCTGACATGGTGCCTTGCTAGTAATGCGGTCATCAGTCCACATTACTAACAATCCCCTTCCCCAAGGTTTGGTATATTAGGAGTATGAAATTTTGCACACTAGTTTATATAGAGAAGGAGTGCAGTATAGCATATTTTTTTTTTTTTAATTTAGTAATATGTTTTTCTTTTCCATTCATCCCTGTTCGCAGTCATCTCGTTTACTTACCAAACCTTTACCATATCATCTTTCACACAGTCCATCCATCTCATTCGGCCTTCCTCTGCCTTTATAACCATCCATATTCATACATATGTAACACCTTCCTTGAAATATTATCTTCACAATAGAGATTTACTCTTTAACCTATCTATAACTCCGATACCGGCGCCACTTTCATACTAGTAAAGATAATAAGACAATAATTGAAATGTATCAAATAACATGACATGAAAGTAACAGTAGATCTGCTACTTTCATGTAAATATAATATAATTTGTAACGTACTACAATATAATTTTAAAATTAATAAAAATATTAAAAGAGTTCGCGGCAATCGGTCCCCAAAATCATTAGTTGATATAGCTGTTATTCTTATGTCAATCAATTAACAACCAATTTCCCATTCTCGTATCTTTGATTATTCTGGTATTAGGATCGTGAGTTTAGTGATTTTGTTTTTTTTTATAGGTTAAAGACCTACGTGCTGTAGAGGACGCGTTTGTGCCGGTAATAAAAATGAATTTTGACGGAATCGAGATTGATTTGCTGTTTGCGAGATTGGCACTCAAAGAAATTCCGGGTGAGTTTTGCTCATTTTTTTTTTATTACCTATAGAGCAGGGGTGGCCTACTTGATTAGACCCAAGATCTCCTGTTTACTATTAAAACCCTGTGCGATGTACCAAATACATTCTTATTGAAATCTTAAATGAAACAGCATAGTTCAGTACACAATTATGTAGTATTTTTTTATTTTATTAAGAGAGAAAACATAAATGTGAAAATTATTCTTAGTAACTAGATACTTATTTAGATAGATAGATAGATAATTGATTTATTGCCAACATAACACAAATAATACAATTTACAATACACAATACAATACAATTTACAAAACAAGGAATAAATAATAACATGGAAGTTGGCAATAGGAGCTGTCTCAGCTGTTGCTGATATAAGCACAACCTTAGTGAGGTGCACCTATACAGCGCTGGTTTTCAGGCAGCCCCCATTACTCATAAAAAAAAACTAAGATTTACCTTTATATTAGTGGTGAGTATTCCTTTTGAGCATCTTCCACTAGTTTAGCATAATCAGGTTTGAAGTTGGAAATTGCAAACCTTTTTTAAGATTACGTTGTGCAGTCTGGTCTACGTATTTATATTTTTTGCCTTGCCATGATCTACTGGACTAACAGTCGCGATAAACCTGTTAGCCACCCCTGCTGTAGAGGATCATGTCTGTCTGCTGTGTTTAGTTTAACTGTGGAGATTAGTCACTGAAACTAATTCTCATTTAGAACCTTCACTTTCGAGTTATGCCTCGGGTGTAGCAAGTTTAAGTTTAGGCAATAATGCCTGCATCGCATTTTATTGTGACATAAAGAAATCAAATTAGTGCTAAAAATATTTTATCTATTCACTCAGTTCTTTTTCTAAAAGCATAGCATTCTTTACATTTTTTCTATACAGTAAATATTCCTCTGGATATAGATGATATACATAGAAAACCCCCAGAACGATACAAATAATCAGTCTCATGAATACAAATGTTTGCACCATGCTAGGAATGGAATCCGCGACCATCGGATATATAGCGGTGTGCTAAACCGCTAGACCACCGAGGCCGTGTTACATACAGTAACGTATTACGAATAAACTAAGAAATATATTACAGATTCCTTCGACCTCCGCGATGACATGCTTCTGAAGAACTTAGACCAGAAGTGTGTGAGGTCTCTTAATGGTTGCCGAGTCACCGATGAGATACTGCGTCTGGTGCCCAATATTGATAACTTCAGGCTCACGCTCAGAGCTATCAAGTTGTGGGCGAAACGTTAGTACTTTTTTAATTTATATTGTAAATACAATTTACTACGTGATGTTATGCTTAGCATACGTCTACTGTATTTTCACATATAGTAGGATAACGAACTCATCCATAAAAAAAAACTGGTTTATTAAAAAATATTGTTTTTAATCATCAATGTAGTCTTTAACTGCTCTCATTTCTTGAATGCTAAAGTGCAGAACATTGGTTAGCCGAAGAAATGGGCGTATTTACACATGTATGTGTAGTATAGTAGTGCCCTCTCAATGTACACAAATCCCCAGCTTTCCTACTTTATATGAGTACACAGTGCAAAAACTTTGGTTGTAAGTCAGTGCGAACCATTCGACTCTTATCGGTAATGTGCGGGTCTTCTGCATAAATTAAACCGGCTTACACGTGAAAATCATACTGATTATGATCCACAGGGCATGGCATCTATTCAAACACGTTGGGCTACCTGGGAGGAGTATCCTGGGCGATGCTGGTGGCCCGTACCTGCCAGCTGTACCCGAACGCATTGCCCGCGACACTCGTGCACAAGTTCTTCCTCGTCTTCAGCCAGTGGAAGTGGCCGCAGCCGGTTTTACTGAAACAGCCGGATTCAGTTAACTTGGGCTTTCCTGTATGGGATCCGAGGGTATGCCACATTTGCTATTGTATTATTAATGTACATATTTATTTCTAGGAACTATACCTACTATGAATAAAATAGGAGATGGAACTTCTTAGAATTCCAGGAAAGTATCATCGGGGTCCAACCTATCGCAGGAAACGAGAGGCATGTCCTGAAACTTGTGACACATAGTGTATGTTAGGGGCCCATTCTGAATATTAATTTCTAATTAAACTATAAATTATTAAAATATTTCGTAACTGTCTTTATTCTAAATAAAGAAAGTTACTGGAATGAAATAAAATAATTTAATAGTAAAATCTAAATCTCTTATATTCATAACTTTATGAGGTTTCATATATATTATCGTGATATTTTTTGTCCAAGACTCAGAATATGACCACCGAGGCCGGCAAATAATATACATATATACTTCCGATTGTCGCGGATTCGATTGGATCCTCACACGGTACAAACACTCACAACACATCTATGTGTTTTCTATCTGAATTATGTATGTTTTTCCAAAAAACAATATCTAAGTATTTGTATTAGTTGTCTAGTACCCACAACGCAAGCTCTGCTTACCTTGGTACTTGATGACATTGTGTGAATTGTCCAGGGGTATTATGATTATTGTTACTTTCCAGGTGAACCTGGCAGATCGTTTCCATTTGATGCCGATAATCACTCCAGCGTACCCACAGCAGAACTCAACATTCAATGTGTCGGCTTCTACACGGACTGTCATAATGGAGGAGTTTAGACTTGGTAAATTCAATGTGCTGTGCTTTAAGCAAATATATGAATTATTATTATTGATCATACTAGGGTAAAACAACAGCTACAATTTTTACACTTTGAAGGATGTTGTATCGAAGCAAGGTAAAATACTTAGTTTAGATTTTGTAATAGGCCGTCAGCTAGATTAACGTTTTTTTCTTATACTACGATGTTGGCAAAAAAGCATAGTGGCCATATGATGGTAAACGATTACCGTAGCCAATGGACGCCTGAAACAGACAGGGATGTTACGTGCCCGTTGCCGGCTCTTAATAAATCTAAGGGTATAGTTGTATTTGAGATGTGAAATGTACCAGCAATGTACTTGTAATTCCTTTGTATTCTATTTTATTCTTCTATTGTATTCCTAAAGCCAATACAAGTGCGGGCGCACCTGATCGTAAGTGATTACCGTCGCCCGTTTGTCAGATTTTACTAGATTATGCCAGATTTCCCCAACCTTTTTTATGCAATGCCCCACCTTAATCTTTCTAAAATTCTTATACGTTTATTCTTATGTTTTATGCTGTGATATCGAGTTACCGACCTTTTAGAAACTTTAATATACATATTCTGGAAAAACCCCATGCTGTAATCAAAATAAAAATTGTGTTTTCAATTAATGTACAGGTTTAGCAATAACAGATGAGATAATGTTGAGCAAGTGCGGCTGGGAGCGGTTGTTCGAGGCACCCAACTTTTTCTCGCGGTATCGCCACTTCATCGTGCTGCTGGCCTCGTCGGCCAGCTCGGACGACCAGCTGCAGTGGTGCGGCCTCATAGAGAGCAAGATCAGACATCTTATTAGTGAGTGATGTAACATTTTATTATATAGCAACTGTGCCCGCGACTTCGCCCGCATGGAATAGTGACTTTGAATAGAATTTTTAATTTTTCACGCTGATTGTATTACAAATTACACACATACTTATAGATATTTTAAAAAGCTATTTGCAGTGTTTCAAATTTCCTACAAACTTTGATCGTCACATTTGTGTATATTTAAACAACAGCCCACAAAATAAGTTTCTAGTTTCTAGCTTGAAAAACAGCGATACCTCCTACATCGACACCTTTCATCTCTCCTTTCAACCTATTGCATTTTTTCGCATTAAAAAGTAGCCTTTGTGTTTCTTATGTCTTTCTCAGGGTGTAGACTATTTGTGTACCAAATTTAATTTAAATTGGTTCAGTAGTTCTGACGTGAAAGCATAGTATTAGTAAAGATTCTATGTTTGTAGCCTGCTTGTATATTTGTTGAGGCTATATATTGACCATAATTTCACATAAAATAAACAAGGTCTTACACACACCTTCATACACGTACACTCATCACACACCTTCCTCCTTTTACACTTATCTATTCACTTTGTTGACAATTCACTCATAAGTACACCATAATGAAAGAGGACACAGACTTCTGAATCAGCTATTTTCTATGTGAAATATAAAAAAATATTATTATTAAATACTATTACAACATGTATATGTATACATGCTACCAATTCAATTGAATGTATGCTGATGTCAACAATATTTGCTAAATAAATGTGTATGACGTAGACACCCTGGAGCGAAACCAGCACATCACGATCGCGCACGTAAACCCCGAGTGCTACAGCTCTGTGCCGCTCCACACCAACGGAGGACAACCCCTAGCGCTGCCGCCCGGTGCCGCTCAACCTCCGCCTGCGGAAAATACAGCAGAAACCAATAACGACAATGTTAGTAACCGATATTATGTTTACTTCAGTTGTGACTTGTTTGCCAACATCCTATATATAAAATTTTCGTGTCACAATATTAGTTACCATACTCCTCCGAAACGGCTTGACCGAATTTTAGGAAATTTTTTTATATGCATATTCAGTAAGTTTGAGATTCAACTACTATTTTTCATACACCTAAGTAATAAGAGTTGTCCATCCTTAAATAATTTTTTTATTGTTTCGAAATAATTGTACATTTTTATTTTATTATGATATATAGCATTGAAAAATACATACAACCCTAAATGTTTACCCTTCTAGCATCAACCCTTTTTGTTTAATAGCGATTTTACTTTATATGGCAAAACAACGTTTGCGGGGCTAGTTGTAGTATAAAAAAATTGATTTTATGCAATACTTTTCAGTTATAATAAAATTGAGGTTTAGTCCTGAGGGATATATTGTTTTCTTTAGGATGGTAAGGAGCTCGTTTCACCCATGGTATTACCGGCTTCGATAGGCATGATTGCCACCGTAGTTGTATAAAAAAAATAAGATTCTATTTTAACTAAAATTAAAAGCTGTTAACAAAAATATGTTATAAAATAATTAAATATAAAAATAGCTGTTAATGTTGTAGGATGGAGATTAGACGCAGAAATTACAGAATAACAGGCATGATGTTTTAGTCACAAGTGTAAACTGTAACTTGTAAACTAACTTATGATGTTGAGTTTAAAACATTTTTCTTATTATTATAGGGTGAAGTAGTACCAAACCACTGTTCCATGTGGTTCATTGGACTGGTATTCGAGAAGACCAACGTGAATGTGGATCTCACATACGACATATCTTCATTCACAAAAGTGGTACACTTCCAGGCTGAACACAACAGTATGTTACGGGAAGGAATGACCATAGAGGCGAGTTTTTTTTTACCTTTGTCTATAATTGAAATATTTGTTTAGAAATAAAGTAACATCTCCCGTAACATAAATATATTACTAGATAAGTTATTTTATTTAAATAATGGTATTTGTGAGAAAAATATTTTTTTCAGTATTTATTATTATTAGTTAGGCTGAGTAAGAGACTGTCAATGAGTAACTAGTATGGAGGCGGAATACTGTAATACGTGTTTTCGACTTACGTAGCACAGGTTTTGTTCTGTTTATTATATAAAAAACACCTATTAAATACATTTTTTATTCACTAAGACAATTTCATATTATGATTTTTTTATATTTTAATTCCAAATTTAAAGCTTTGTATTACGATACTTCTAAGGAGTATATGTATATGATAGATATATAATATACTGTCATATCAGCCGTCGTGATCCAGTTAGCAATGACCATATAGTGACATAGGTGGCTTGGTGTTTGTTCCAGGCGCGGCATGTGCGCCGCAAGGAGCTCCACCAGTACCTGTCACCGTCGCTGCTGCGTCGCGAGAGAACCACCTCGGGCACCAAGCGCCGCCTGGCCGACCCTCAGCACCAGCCCAACCACACGCAACCGCCAACGCACAAGAAAACCAAACGGCTATCCGAGAGCAGTGTGAGTACACTGTCTTTATAACAATTTCGATTTTTTTAATTTTTTATGGAACAAAAAACTTTTGTACAACAAGCGACTTTAATGCCATTCTTTCACAGCTAATGAATAACATGTGCTTCTTTTCTTAGATAATAAATATCTATCTATCTGTCTAATAATCTATCTTTATCTAAAATTTAATGTAATTTTAGTTAATATTTAACAGACAGACAGCCGCATTTTTACATTTATAATAATAGTATAGATTTATGTGATAATTTCCTCATTCGTATCGTAGTCAACAAATTTGGTAGTTTAAATAAATTAATAAACAAAAATTACATTTACTAAATAAAATAACTTATGCTACTTATCATTACAGACGGATGACGTCAGCATTATCTCATACAACGAAGACTCGAACTCGTCTAATATGTACGAGGTTAATCTGCAGAACGGCACAAGCACGAACCACGAGGAGCGTAATAAGCCCGCAGAGAAGACCGAGCACAGTCCCTCCACTTCGAACACGCAAACCAACAGTATTGTATGCACGTAGCAGTACGAACAGTGGCGACAGAGGTTCATATACGGAACTGCCAACGTTAAAATGAACAGAGTGAAACGTATATAGTGATAAGTGACAGAAACTTGTGATGTTAGTGTTAAGTGATAGATATCGGACAGTTTTGGTACAATTTGTATTGTTTATGGTGATGCCTGGACCGGACTATGATTCCAATAAGGTGAGTGGTTTACATTGGCACATTATGGTTAAGGTAGCCGTCATACAGTTTCGCATCGCATTCTTCAAACAACAACCCGTGAATATGAATAATAATAATACGCCACAAAGTAAAAACCAGCAAAAAGCTTCAATTTACACATCGCCATCTAGACTCTAGTTAAGCTAGCTAAAGTTTGCGTTATGGGAACCAGATAATTGATACAAATACATAGATGTTTTTGTAACTACATACAAAATTATACACAGAAAACACCCAGACAGATATAAACAATCGTACTCATGAATATAAATAATTGTGTCTTGCGAGGAATCGAACTAGCGACCAATAGAAATTAGGCGGTGTGCCAAACCGCTTGAGCACCGAGGCCGTCGAATGCGTATCCAAATCATACGTGTGATCTATGATTTACTACGTGTAAACGATTTACGTCCTTTCACGCATGTATAAGGTTTCGTGCGCACGCTCGCACGGCACAAACATTTGTATTCATGAGTATGATTGTTTCTATCAGTCAGGGTGTTTTCTGTGTATAATATATATTAATTTAGGAAAAAATATATATTTGTATCAGTTATCTAACGTCTATAACACAAGCTTTAGTTAACTAAATTTGGGACTGTATGAATTGTCTTGAGATTATTATTATTGGGAAAGTTGCCCTTTTATCAACAGGCTTACATTCTGTTTGATGTCTATCACTGCATGCAGTTGGAAGAGTTTCCATATAAAGAGTACTAAAACCTGTTGCGTATGATACTTACTATGAGGAACTGTAGGCGTCTACCATAATTGAAACATATTACAGTTTCATTTTCAAATAGTACTTTGTAAAAAATCGTAATCAATCCATAAAATTATGAAGCACTTTTGAACACCATATGCACTTGACATTTAATAGTAAGGTAGGTACAACAGATGTCAAATGTGATTCACCGAAATAGAAAATGTCCATACATCTAAGTGCCTATTGTAAAAGTGAAAATGAAACAGCAATAATAAAGCCTTATGAAGATAATGTTATTCATCATTGAAAGTTTCCCAGGAACTAATCCCCATATTCATAAAAATACAATCAACAAATATAATTTAACTCCTCAAATTTTTGTTTAATTCTTTTTTTCAAATGAAGGTAACTAGATGGAAAGGTCTAAACCAGTGTCTTCCTACGTGGGACCCACTCCCCAAAGGGGGTCAATTAGGAAATGGACATGATACGAGTTTAACCCTTTCGCTCCGGCCTATTTAAATGCAATACTTGTTGCCAAATTTAATGAAAAAAGCAATATATGTTTTATAAATTTAGTTTTACAAAGTTACTAACTTTGTTTAGTTAAGAATTGCCTACTGATTCCCCTAATACATGTCATCAGACTTTTAGAAAGGCTAAAGGGGCATGACAAAGAAAAGGTGAAACACTGGTCTAAACAGTTCTACAACTACATATTCATGAGATGTAAGACGTTTTTATGAATATGGGGTTAGTAAATCAATTGAAAGACTTCAAAAAAAGTTAAACATGTGGACAGTATCTCAATGAATTATAATTATCCTATAACGAGAAGATCAACATCTCTCAAAATATTACATATAGTAATTGGACAATAGGACAAACATACATAAAAATACTACATACATTTATATACTATAATTGATATAGTTTACACATATTTTACAGCTATCGCTAAATTAATCTGAGACAAATGAAGATAATTCAGTTTAATATAAATGTTGTTATTCTAGATATAAAATTAGAACAAAACTATTTTTATTATTCATTTAAATTTAATTATATTTATATATATCTTTACGCAGTATAACACCATGTCATAAAACAAATTAGTACAATTTAAAGTGCTTAATTATTATATAATTATGTTTATCATAATAGTGTTATTAATTTGGTATTCTCTTTAGATGTCGCGCGGCGGAAGCGACACCTGCCGGCGTAAGTTTTCACTAGTTAGTTAATCTAATGCATTCTCATAGGGAAATCTTTAAAAGCTAGATATAGTAAAATGTAATGGATTGGTTATTATAACTTTTGTATTAACAATTGAAGAGTAGTAGAAGAGTATTAACGCCGAAGTGTCAAAACTAGGCTTCCGAGCTATATCCAAACTATTCGACGCCTGATGATGCCTTGTTCAGAGGCGAAACACGTGTGTCGCAATATGGGTGTAGACTCAATAATGGTCTGTATTTGATCGCCTTTAGGGAGGGTCGTAATGGTAGTCAAATTTCAGAATTAAACAATATTATATAAATGCATTATGTAGTGAAATGGACTTCCGCTAAATAACACCTATTTCGATTAAATATATAACAAAAACTACTAATTACGGAGAACCATAGTTACATATATATATGTGGACTCGTTCAAGAGCCACGATCACGACAATATAATGGTCGTAATAATCCTTTGATTATTAAGTGTAAATAATAAGCAAGAGAATCTAAAAATAATTGTATTTAACTATTTGTATTAATAAAAAAATTGGTATAATATATATATTTACATTCTGATACTAATTCTAATACTAACATTTATTCGTGTAGCGATTAATCGCTTAATTCTTTATATGTACGTGTGTTTATTTGCAGGTTCGTTCGACGGGCGAGCACGCCGTCATGTAAGTTGGTTATATCTAATTCTAGATTTGTTCTGTGTACCTACGAACAAGTCCTTTGATGGTCATTAAACTATAGACAATTGTAAATAGGTCTAACAGGACTTGTTGTAAGCGCACAGTTCCCTCCGAGAAGCTTCAAAACATGTGAAGTTTACAACTGCTTTTGAAGCCGTATTTAATGTACGCTCTGCCGCTTCCTCTACAATCTCTCGCTGTACTAATCGAAGTAATTAAAGAAATATAATATATGTATATCCAGTGAATTGTCCAGAGATATATATATTAAAGTAATATGTACTAATTATTATTATACATATATAATATACTTTGTTTATGGTGAACATTATTGGCTTCAATTTTATATATAAGTTGCAATCTTCATTATGTCTTGACTTCTGTGGGATGTTAGTTATATTTTTGGATGGTTATCTTTTAGGAGCATACAGTTTGGCTGACAAATTGCTCGTTGGCATTGATTAAGTAAATTATATAATATAACGATCAAATGTCAATTTAGACAACTTATTACAGTGTCATATGTAACACAGAACTATTTCTGGTTTAGTTACAGCATGCAGTTGCTGAGAATTTTTATTATATATGAAAAATATTAAAATCTACATTTTTGTCTAATGTGTGGATCATTTAACTGTTACAACTCACTCTGCAAAGGTATTTTTATTACGAATTTTGAGCAGCAATAGCTAGTGATTCAATAGGAATGGTTATATGTATGATAAATGCGTGTTGTTGTATATAACAAACCGAGAAATTCAAAGATTTGTAATGCATCTGTGCGAAGCCGGGACGGGTCGCCAGTTAATGATACAAATCATCATTCCGTCAATGTAAAATCATGTCTACATCAAAAAAAATAATCTATGAATGGTATATATGAATATATATATTTAATATCATAAAATATAAGAAAATTTATTGGAGTATTAAAATGGTTTGTGTTGTATATGGCACACAGAACTTGACTAGAAAACGCAAGCGCTTCAAAGTCTATGAAAATTGATCACCTACATACAGGACATAATTCGAAAGAAAAATAACATACAAAAATTATCACTTATTTTTTTACGTGTTCTCAACTGAAGTAGCTTGCCAAACTGGACGGTAGGGATAGTGATAAAAAATATGACTTGCATAACATTAGTCGTACATGTGTAAGAATAAATAATTTTTACCTTGACATAATGTAATAATATTTTGTACAAATTGGCCGGAGCTGTAAAAGTAAAGTGTGTACTGTGTACTGTGTACTATATAATGGGTACTCGGTACTACAGTATGCCTGTGAGTATTTTTATTTGGTTTTCTGCGCTAAATATGTGGTCTTATTTTTTCATTCCACATTTTTTTCCTGCAAAGTTTCTATTTTACTTTGCGACCTGTCAGACTTTATTTTCTAATTTTGTCTGCAATATGTCAAGAAAGAGTTATATAACTGCAGTACTTACAATAACTAGGCAACTACAATCCCTAAGTAAATAAAATAATTCCGAAGCAATGATAAGATATTTAAGACGTTACAAATGCCGCAACTACAATACAGTACTGAATAAAAAAATAAATTGTTATTCAGTACTAAGAAAATAGTACAACACATACTATTTGCAATAGCTGTATATTTGACGTAGTAAAAGAGCTAACTTATATTTATGGAATTGAAGTACGCTTGCGTAATCTAAATCAATTTCTATTGAACAAAACCAATATAAATAAGCAATTTGTAGCCACTGTTATGCTAATTTGATGTTCGAGTTCGAGTGAGCTGGCGCAATTTTAAAACACATTTAGACATGTCATAAAAGATATTAAAGATGATGATGAAAATATTCATAAACATTTTATAACTATCATCCCTTTAGAGATTTCGAAGCTTTCTGTAATATATTCGATTGACATTCTGTTATTTTGTGATTTTTTCCTAATTTCTCTAAATGTTTTTAGGGGAAACCTTAAGACACAATGAGACAGTTTTCGCCTCGTTACGATTATAATATATGTCTAAGTGTGTTTTCAAAAAGCATTAGCTCATGTCGTGGCTTTACTTACTGACAATCGCAAGAATAACTACTTAAATACAACTAGTTAATAACAATATAGAGATCTGTTATAAAATAGGACAGTTAATTACATTTGGATCACAACTTTATTGATCTAAATAACAACTTTTGGTACGTAATAAGTTTATACATAAAATTTATATAAACTTACGTAGCTTGGTAAAGTACAGGGTTAGTCATAAATGATAGACCAAGTTGAAAACAAGATAGTATTCTCATGAAATTGAAGATTTTAATCATTAAAGTGAAAATTTAAATATAAATTTTATACTTTTGAAACAAACTTGATCACATAAAATTGTGTAAGTTTTCTTTTTTTTTTTTTGGCTGTTCGGAAGTCAGCTTCATGAATACTAACACTGGCTTTCATCTTAGTATATTATTTAGGATTAATCCTGCATATTATATACGTAGACATATACCTCTTTTGTACGAGCCTCCTAAATTATATAAAAAAAATCTCGGCTCTAACAACATGTAGTAGAACACAAATTTCTACTGATGGTAGACTACTACCAGGCCAGATAAACCATATGGTTTGGCACAAGATTTTATTTTGAAGTTTCTTTGTTGCAATGGTTTCTTATCCTTAATTTCCGTAGTTCTTGTTCTCTATCACACCAAGAACAATTGGAAAATGTTACTTTATGATTTAGCACAGTAATCTTGTTATATAGTAATTTGTAAAAAAAAATCTATCCGGACTTGGTAGAAGTACTGTCCACAAAAGCAGTATCACCTACTATGTCCAAATGTATTTTGAAACCATTCAAAAATCCGTTGAACTATGCACACAAAATTTCATCCAAATCGGTCCAACCGTTTAGGAGGTAGGATACACGTGCAGAAGTATTATATGTCTATATTAAGATATTTTATTTTATTACACTTAATCGGTCTTTGTGATCTCATTCTTAAATTATTAATTGTACGATGACAAGTACTGTCTAGTTACAGGGTACTTCTTACTAATTTTCAACATTAAACAGTCTTTTCTTGCGATTGTGTACACAGTACAAAGTGGAAGAAATATCCTTATTATTTTATGCGTGGTAAAAATTATATTTTATGCGGCTATAACGTAGCCTCTAGAATAAATTAGTAAAACTATAAAATATAAATAAAAAAAATGTATTTGTATCGTAGGTATTGTATTTGATGTTTTATATACTTTTTTTCTGTATTACTTCCAATGCCGGTAGTAGGTAATAATGCGCCATTTTTAATTTCTAAAATTAAAATTTTAATAATTTAGCTCAGCGAAAGTGTTAATATATTAGTAATAATGATATTTTTGATCCCACTAGGTTTCTCTCAAAAGTTTTTTTTACTAGAGGCCATTTTCCTGCTCTTTGTAATCTTGCACTCAGGCGACATATTCCCTACGAACTGCGAAGTCTTGAGGATATTCTAACGAGGGATGACTTCATAAAAAGTTAATATAAATTTTGACTATTGGTGAAAGAAAAAAGTGTCAACATGGTTATGCTCCTCTAATTGTCTCGCAACAAACACAGAATGGCCTGACAGGATACATTGTTAACTGGGACAATAATCACTAAAACGGTCTAAAAATATCCTCTTTATCGAATTACTTGTTATTAAGTAATAAATAAAAATATCGAAAATGTACCAGTCGAGTGTCTTGCCAGTTCTTCTGATTTAAAGCAGCCGAACTAAACAGTAGGGTTACGATAGTGATCAGAAATAAGACTTAAGGTTCTATGTGAATAAATGAGTTTGAGTGTAAATAGTTTGCATTGCTAATTCTCTTCTTTCTCGAATGTGACTGAGAGTGAAAAGTGAAAAAAGAAACTGCTTGAGATACAAACCCACGCAGTTGCTTTTTGCATCGGTTACGATGGTTTTGTGTAATATAACAATTATGCAGCGATAAATAGCTAAAATTTCTATTTATCACGATCGAGATCAAACGGTTATCTACTAGCTGTTTACTGGCATCGACTCGCGCACTGATATTTTTGTGGAATTTCCACGTAATAAAAATGATCTGTAGAACAAATTGAAAATTTCTAACCTTTCTTCCCTTACTTAGCATTCTGACAAGATTTTCAAATTCTTGACTTTGTGTGCCTGCCATGATATAGGAAAATTTATTGATAAAATCGAGAATGATGTCAGGTTTTGTAAAACAAAATATTAATACTGTCCCCATTTTATCAAAACTTCACGTCTAAAGGCTGTTTAAATGTATTTGCATGCAATGTTACAGTCATCAAAGAATAGCTTTATACAAATATGAAACAATATAAAGGTACAAACCTATTGAAATATTTTCGTCTCTTTCTAGCAAAATTCTCAAGTTAAAAAGTGATAAAACATGGCGTGTTTTTGGTACTGATTTTATAAATAGAATGTTAAATTTACTTGCACAGGTATGTGGATGGTATTTTTAATATAAACAGGATTGCAAGATATTTTCTTCTACTTTCCAAAAACAGGATGTTTGATATAATTTTATGAAAGAATAATACTTCGTACTTTCATACCTGTTATTATAAAGAAATGATTCCACCTAGTTTTATAAGACTCAAATGTAGTAGTATAGACCTTTTGTCTTGTAAGTTGTATATATATCAATAGCCAATTGATTACATATTGAAATATATTGAAAAATAATTATAAAACTGAACAAAAAAAGTGAAATAAATGTATATATACAAAAGAATATAGTTTTTTTATTGTGTACTGATACCTAAACATACCTCGTTATATGAATATGGATAAGTCGTACTTTTTGTGTTATAATTAATTTAATTCCTTGATTTTTGCCCTTTTTCTGCTTTTTAACAGCAACCCTTGACGGGAATAAATAATTACATTATGGTTTGTTGTTGTTTAAAATAATTTAAACTGAGACATTAACATGAAAATGTGGTGTTAAATTATATACCACAATGATGGCAAACAAGAATACGGCCCATCTGATGGTAAACAGTTACCATAGCCTATAGATACCCTGAACTTATTTTCACCTAATATATAAATCAGAAAATAAAACAATTTTAAAAATAAATACACTTTATTTATTCCAAATATTTGACTAAATTGTAATTTGGTGACACCTGGTGGCTGTAGCTACAAGTGGCAAATCTCAGGCATGAGTTTTAGCAACAGCAGCAGGAACCTAATTTACCTTCAATAAGTTGATATATTTACATGTCAAATGCATCCATGGTAATCCCATAACAGAAAACACCATTAATTAATTAATTTTTTCCGATGCAATATTTTATTGCATTAACATTCCATCAGTCTGCTTGATTACTCAATTTGCTGCTGGCATTTGATAACATTCAGAATCGTAATAGAAATAGAATCGCTTGCCACTTTTAGACGTCTATAGACTATCATACCTCACCATGATACTCAGCAAGTGCCTGAAAAGGGATGACAACTAGATTATTTCACAATTCTTAAAAATTTAATTGTCCACTATCATTAGACTGAACAATTTAAAATAAGAAAGATGTTAAATAATTATTACCAACAGGCGGTAATAATAATAAATTAATATAAAATTGATAATTTGTTAAAAAAATTAAATAAACTATCAATTTATATTTTTTTCAATTTTGTTTGACAAACTATATTAACTATATAATTTAAAAATAGTTGTCACACTTCATTTTAACTATGAAATAGTTACTACAAAATAAATCAGTCATAGTTATCATAATCTGTGAAAAAATATAGGAGCTGTCTCGGAACAACACGACTGTAAGTAGAAACTCACAATCGGTAAGTTATAATAATAATCTCAGGCCAATTACACGGCGCTCTCTAGTCGAGTCTCTCGAGTTAGTCTGCTTAGGTTGACTAAGCAGAGCATGTGTTATGGTTACTACAATTAATATAAATACATAGATTTTTTGTAAATACATACATAATATACATAGCAAACACCCAGACCGATATATAAAATCATACTCATGAATACAAATGTTAAGGCAGTGCGAGGAATCGAACCCGCGACCATCGTAAATAAGATGGTGCTCAATGGCTAGACCACCGCGGCTGTCAATGTCAAAATTGATGCAGAGACTACCATGTTCTGCGAGTATTTACGCAGTAAATTTTGGTGAGATATGTGTACAAAGGCATATCGCCTTAATTAATTTAATGTATTTGACATACTTTTAAGGTTATTTATATTATTAACCGAGTCTTAACACGAATAATTTTATGGCAAATAAAGGTATTTACCGCACCCGACGTTTCGACTAGGTTGCACTAGCCGTGGTCACGAGGACTGTTGGAGTAACGTCGATGTCAATTCAATGTAAATAGGTGACAGCAGTTAATAATATAAATAATGTATATTAAACACAAAAGTTTAAAAATAACTATACTTATAAGATGACACTAAGGCCAAGGTGTTTCCACACTTACATATTGTATTTCAACTGTATCGTCCTTAGCTGCTTGCAGCTCCAATATCTCATTCTGAATGGACACACTCAACTCCTGAATCGGCACGGGTTCTGTGTGCCAGAACACTTCCTTGTGTCTGCTTGTTCTATTTCTTCGCTTGTGTGTTTTTAGATGCACCTGAAATGTTACACAGAAACAGCTAAGACTATAGACTATCTGATGGTCATGGTTAATGGTAACCGTCGCCTACAATTAACATGAACATCTCAAATATATTATGCATATAATGAATTTAAAGTTAATAATAATCATCATCATTTTTTTCTTAATAAACTATTACAATTGCTTCTTATAATAAAATTTAAAAGTATTAAATGAGACAATAGGTCTATAACTCGGAGAGAGCAGTGAGTCCACCCTCTCTGGTATTCTGTTATAGCCTTCATCAGTAAATTAATACAATAAAAATCGTCGACGACAACAGGTTTGTGTGTAAAGTTACCTCTGTAACCGCTGCACCAATTTTTCATACTATAATGATGGCAAACAAGCATACGATTTATTTGATGGTAAACGGTTACCGTACTATATGACCGCCTGAAACACTAGGAATGACACGTGCTCGTTAATGACCCTAAAATGAAATGAGAATTTGGGATAAATCGGAGAAATTACATACCTTCTTTATATGCGTGTTGACCATAGATCGGAGATGAAATAGCGCCGGGCACAGCGGGCAGCGGCGCGTGGGCACAGTGTGGGCGCACACTTTGTGCTGATTACGGCGGTTCACGGATACGAACCCGCGACCGCACACCTGCAAACGGCCAATAGAGAAAAAAAGCATCGTTAGTAAAGCCTATGTTGAACATGTTTTAGCATTGAATGGCAAACCAACAGATGGTAAAGAGTATCAGTGACCATCCTCTATATATATGACCAGCACTACAGACATTATATCATGTGACACTAGCAATACCACTCATGCATAGCCATATGTATGTTTATATATTATGCGGAATAAATATAATAATAAAGCTATAAGAATAGAAAAAGATATGCCTGCTAACCAATAATTTCACTGCTTAATCGCACTCTACAACCAAAACACTGATCGATCCTCCATCCAATTCAAATGGAGATAGAAATTACGACTGCCTCAGCCGAGGTTCGAACCCCTAGCGGTGCCCTCAGACTAAAGTCGTACCCGTCAGGCGGGAGTCGACCTTCAACTGTTCATACGTCCTTCCGCGATTGAAGTGCCTTGCAGCCCAGCTGCGGCTTTACATTAGAATAGTTCGAAGACAAAAACTTACAAAGCAAGGTGCTTGGCGTTTGAAATAGGTGAGACTTGAGGTACCTACGCAGATGATTTGTTACACTATATCTCTGGTAAAACAACTTACATCACATTTGAAAGGTCTTTCATTGGTATGCAGTCTATTATGCCACATCAGGGCCCGTTCCCCTAAGAAGTTACGGCCGCAAGTTTCACATGTAAATTTGGTATCAGCTGTTTTGTGAACGTCCTCTGTCTTTACTGGCTTTCGACCTTCATTGGATATCCTTTTATCATTATGTTTACGCCTGGAAAGTAATTTAACAGAATAGAAAATATTTAAAGTGTCTTGGTACTCTATCAAGACTGAGCCTGAAATGCCTTAAGTTCAAATCTGACTGACACCAAAAATTGTAAATTGCAAAACATGTAAAGTCGTGCCAATATATATAATCTTCAGGACTGACAACATGTGAGGTTACAAGGGTCATCACGTGATGGCGAAAGCATCACGGATATCATTGTAGACCTTAACCATCAGATGGGCCGGTAGTAAAAATTAACTCTCGCCCCGCGTTAGCCGCGTCAACCGAGGGCCAATGCCCTCCGTTGACGCGGCTAACGCGGGGCGAGCGAGCGCGGGGCGGCTAACCGAGGGCATCAGCCATTGCTGATGCCCTCGGTTGAGCCGGTATTTAGGTATTAGGTATTTAAAAGTATAGTACCAGGCGGTGCGGTACAAAATAACCAAGTATCAAACAACAACATTAAAAACAAGAAAAAGGGATAAATTATCAAAAAAAGAAAACATTTATTTGAAACCCTAAATATTGGCACTACTTCTTAAATTTAAGTTAAAACGGTAAACAGCAATAACAGTGTAATACTAACTTTAAATCCCGTATTTTCATGTACATCTCATGTTTCTTTATATGCATATTTAAACCCGTTTCCCCTTTGTACATACGGCCACAATAATAACAAGGGTACTTTTTATTGTGTTTCTTATCACAGTGCTCCTTCAAAGCATCCTCATCCTGGAGTATGTCCCCGCACATTTTACAAACATTAGCGCCATTAACTTGCCCTGTATTCTTCATTTCCTCGTGCCATTTCAAATGTGATATAATTGTATCACGCTTTTTGAACACAATGTTGCATATCTCACATTGGTGCATGTTTGTATGGGTTTTTAAATGGTGAACAAATTCTTCCTCATCTTCCATTAGAGCTTGGCATATCTATAAAAAAAATCATACTAATGTTATAAATGTATGACTGTCTTCTCCATTTCTTACTTTTTTATAAACAAACGTTAAAATGGATTGTAAAGAATTTTGACCTGAAGATACAGGATAAGAACTATCACCAGGGTGGATATAGAATACTTTTTATATCAATAAATCTCATACCCAAATCCTATGAAATCTAGTTGGAAAATTAAATTATTCAACCCATTTAAGATCACCATCATCATCATCAGTCCACTGCAGTCCACTGCTGAACATAGGCCTCAGGTGGCCAGCAATTGGTGTTATAATGGTATAACATATGATTTGCACAGATAAAATATTTTTTACAATGCTTAGGTAAGCGCGCTACATCCTAGATCTTGCCATCATTTACCATCAGATAAGGTAAGAACAAGCGCAAACCCATTATTAATTAAAAAAAAACATACCTTACAAACAAACAAACTAATATTATGTTCGGTTTTCATATGTTCTTTTAATTTTGCTATAAATCTGTATTTTATAGGGCATTGACTACATTTTTTATATGTCATGGGCTCTCTTTTTCTTCTCTTCTTCTTTTCTTCAGTATAACATATATCTGTGTTCTTTTTACATTTGTTAGGTCTGATCAAGACCAAAGATCCATCTTCTTGAGCCATGTAACATGTCTGTCGACCATTTTCACTCATTATAATTACAATTTCGTCATCATCAGAGCCTTTATTTTTCTCATTCTCTTCTTCAATTTCTTCTTTCTCACAATCACTTTCTTTCTCATGTTTTTCTATTTTAATATTTGTATCAATATATTTATTAACATCTTTTCTATTTGGACTATTACAATACTTCTGTGTAATGATATTGTCTATGCTATAGTCAAATATGGGGGTTTGTGATGTTAATATAGGTAATGAGATGCAAATACTGTCAAGTTTCTCGGCTGTCTCTTCTTTCGGTATATATATTGATATTAAATTGTTTTCCAATTCATTCACATAGAGATGTAAGGTCTCATGATTGTGCTTAGCCAATAAATAGAATCTGTAGGCAGTTGATGCGGCATCGAAACATTTCAGACACACATTGTATTGATCGGAATCTGTAAACTAAAAACAGTGTTGATTAAATTTTTATTGACTTAATAAAGAAATTATTTTACAATAATCTTGGAATAGTTTAGTAATAAAATAGAAGTGCATTACATTCTATAGGAGTATAAACAATAGATAAATAATAACTTATTATATATAATTTTATTGTTTACTATAATTATTTGATATTATGCTCAATAATCAGTATTATATATTTATACTAAACATTAGTAGAAGGCAACTGTCATATCATCAGGAAGCCAGACTAAAATATATGTATACATATATATACAATTATATAAATAATACAATCCTGATGCAATACTGACCTTAATGTTACAGACCTCTTCAAGGACATCAGCTATACAGTACTCCTTATCTTCCTTACAGATTTTTGTAAAAATATTCTCACTCTGAGCATTTAAGTGTGTGAGACAGATACAACATAAGCTCTCTGCTAAAGTACCATTCACTAAATGTTTCACAACTAATTTTAAGTCCATTGTTGCCGATGTACTTATACAATTCTGATAAATAAAATTTATTGTTACTTGTTTACTATTTTGTCTATATTAATGTTACAAAGAGGAAAAGCTTGTGAGTTTGGATGCTCAGATAAACTCTGGCACTACTGATCTGATTTTGAAAATTCTCTTAATGTGTATTTATCGAGGAAATGTGTAGGCTATATAACATCACTCTACAAACAAAATAAGCAAGGTTGTTGCACAGGTTAGTTAGTAGATTTATAAACTTGTAATAAATTAAAAGACAAAATTATAATTTCACAATAGAATGTTTTATGCAACATGATATTTATCACTATGTCACCATTCAATTCCACTAACTACTATCAAAGAACTGGTAAGAAGCTCGACTGGACTATACCAGTACATTTCATTAATTTTAACCCGGCAGGGTAATGCTGAAGCCTTTTTTCTTATTTTTATTATCATGTTTAATAGCTGAATGTACACTTGAAGTATTAATAATTGCTTAGGATTAAATTTTCTCTTAACTGTAAATCCATGTTCCAGTGGGATGATAATTGGCTATTATAAGTATGAAGATGTTGAGCATTATTGGACTTAATGCTAGTGATCAACCCTGTCAGATAGATGTTAACGCAGTATCCCTTTGAAAGGGGAGAGGGATTACTAGTAATGGGCATTATTGGGCTTAATGCTAGTAATAAACCCTATCAGGTAAATCTTAATGCAGTAACCAGTGTAAACTATTGTGGTAAATTACTGGTGAATACCACAATATGACAACTGACCTTACTACATCCTCCTTATATCATCCTTCACTTGATACCTACATAGCCAGTGTATACTGTTAGTGGACCATTCCATATTCATACACCATTATACCCTTCATCATCATCATCATCATCTCAGCCCGGAAGACGACCACTGCTGAACAAGGGCCTCCCCCAAATATCTCCACGACGATCGATTCTGCGCTGTTCGCATCCAACGCCTTCCAGCGATTTTAACCAGATCGTCTGTATCAATTATACCCTTACCTTTTCAAATTAAAAGCACCTCAACAAATCAGCATCATGGCTGCTTCAAGCACTCTGTGAGCGAGTTTAAAGTATGATGATAATTCTGTTTGGATGATGACAGAATTCAAAATATTAATACAGTTGATGATTCTGTAAATTGAATATTTTTATGACGAATCGTTAATATACTAAATACATATGCTATTTGTATGAATTTAAGTTAAAATTGTAATGTAATCTGACTCGTCAAAATTATTAATAAAAATACATAACCTTATACACTTCTAGCCAAAAAGCAAAGTAATTATCACAGTTAATAACAAGCTTTAAGCGATTTCGATATATTATATTCTCTGTATCCAAGAACTGAAAAGTACGTAATTTTTCGTGAATTAATTTTTTATGTATATAAATTAAAAATATTAGATCACAGTACACTACTAATAATATAGATAGATAATAGTTTCTATATATTTTTTTTAATTTCATGAATGAATGAATGACACATTGACATAAACTAGACTAATATATATTTCATATCCCAAAGCCACAGATTCAATATCATTATAAGGGCCTATTATGATTTTTAATAATAATTAGGCAGTACGTCAAAACTAATTTACCTACTAACTGATATGCAATTGTAATTAGGTTCGTGATAAGTAGGTAAAAGAAAATAATGATGTATAATCAAATTTAAAAAATACTTTTTTTGTAAATAAAAAGTAACACGGCGTGTATTTTTTTAATTAAGCAATTGTTCTGTTTTATAGAATTTTTACCACTCTAAACTTCCTTTATTCGTAAACCCTTCATTCATTTCTGTAAATACATTTTGAATTGAGAAATATAATATTTATATTTACCTATTTTTTTTTTATTAATATTTGTTATTTTCCCGTAGTGACTGCTTGTGTCACAGATTGACGCTTATGTCAAATTGTCAAACAAAAATATAGTCAATCGGAAAATCAAACCTATTGCATTTCTCAATTAATATTTTTATTCTTTGATAACGTTATTATTTATCATGGTTATAATTCTAATCAGTTTTTTGTAGTAATTTAGTGAATAATATTTACAATTAGTGAGTTGTTAATCAATCAGTGTTTTTATATCCTATTATATTGGCGATTGCCAGGGTTACATATGTAGGTAGTTTATAGATAATTAGGTATTTTAATTACAGCCGCTGTGTTTTACTGATATTGTTTCTTCGTAGATATGAATATCAATAAATATGTTTTACAAACTCCACCAAGTTACTCCTGGTCAAAAATAACAACTGATATGTTTTTAAAGTAATGACATTCACATTTGAGTACTAGAATAGTAAGTGTACAGTAATTTGCATATTATTATTATAATAAGCATGTTTTGCGAATAGATATAACGTTCTGACGTGTAATTTTAGTAATTATTGAAATAATATATCAAACCATGGATATATGATATATTAAATCGCCTTGTAATGTATTAAGGATTAAGACTCAATTTCAAATTACAGGTAATGAGTATTCTTTGAATATCGTAAATTGCACACAGTTGTAAAGCTTACCTGCTCGAAATTGACCATGAATTGAACCTGGGAACATAATTGCAAAAGTAATATGCCCACAATTCCAGTACAGAACAATGTTTTGTATGATATATGCAGAGTTATTTGTCATAGGGCTATCATGAAAGTAAATCTTAACAGTTGTAATATAAACTAAAACCTATTTATACATATTCTACAGATACTGTCAGTGGCTTTGGATGCCAATTCAATAAATGTGTAATGGTTATAACTGCTTATAATGTATTAATTTTATTTAATTTGTATGTATGCATTTACAATTGTGTAACTTTAATTGAAAGAAAAAAATGTAATAGAGAATACTCCATAGAATGTTAAGGTTTCAGTCCGAATATAAAAGTAAAATTTAGCTTAGACTGTATAAATTATTCCAGTTTGATACTAACAATAATGTTTTTCATTGTTCATTACAGTACAACGAAATGGCTCAACAAAACACTGAAGTTTCATTGGAAATTACCTGTGAATTGGAACAATCTGAAGAACTTGGTATTAAACAAGAGTTAGAAAGAGAGGAGACAAATATAATTGTACACATTAAAAGTGAAGTTGAAGAAGAAACAGAAGATGTTAACAATCCATTTGAAAACATCCAATTGGAAGTCAAGGAAGAAATAATTTCTCCAAATTATGAGAAAGATATGTCAACAAATCCGTTGCATAGTAATATAATGGTGAATTTACCAGTACTATCTGAAGATTTGGAAGGGTATGAGGATATTGCGAAAAATGAAAGAGAAGAAAAAGAGGAAACAGACATAGATAATGATATGGAAGTGAAGGAAGAGGCTGGTGACAGTGGTGATATTGATGAATCTGTTGTAACATATGATTACCCATGTTTTGATGATGTCACCAGTATGGACAGCAATGATGTAGCTGTTTTGGGTAATGTAGAAACATGTCTACAAGAGGAAATTAATATAAAATCTGAAACAGATGGAACTCTTGAAGTAAGTATTACTTATCATACTTATCTTACATACAAAAATGTAATTCTTAGTTAAATTTAAATTATGTTACTTTACAAAATTAGTTATTTCACTTATAATTCAGATATTTTACTAATTAAGTGATCTATTTTCTGGCTTAGGTTCTAAAATGTAATGAGGTAAACTAAATGCTAATATAAAAAGTAGAAAAGAATCTTCTCTATTCTTTCACACAGTTGTAATTCCCTAATTAATCTTCCTATTTTCTATTTAAGGATCACGAAAAAGAAATATTGGGAAAACTTAATGTAAAAGAAGAATCAGAGTTAACAGTTACAGAAACACATTTGATATCTAACAAATTAATCAATACTACATCAACTATAACAAATCCGCAGGACGGATTAATTCAATCACAAACTACCAAAACATTAGTTATGGAAATTCTTCCAATGTCTCATGGTTCTGTTGCTTTATCGAAAATAGGTAACCCTGAAGAAATATTGCCTACAACATATGATTCAAATGAATACAATGACATGTTTCAATTAAATTCCATTACAGGGAATGTACTGTCATTAGAACAAGAGGCATATGATCTATTAAAAACAAATACTAAACAGGGAAATCTAAAATTTTTTGCCTGTCCAAAATGTCCTAAAACTGTGACATCATATTACGCATTGAAGAGACATCTAAATATACATGTAACTATTGAAAATAGAGCATTGGGAATTCTAAAAGGCCAAAAAACGAGGCAAGAAAATTTTGAAAGGAAATTGAATGAAAGTTTGATGAAGAGACTTAATATGAAGCAAGAAAATCGTAAAAAGAATAAATCTAAAATAAATAAAGAGCGTCGAAAAATAGTTAAAGTGGAAACTAAATCAAGTCAATCAAAAACAAAGTCAAAAAACCAAAGTAATAAAACGGAAAGTAAAGCAGAAGATAAAACTGAAAAAGTGACTCAAGTTGATGTAAAAGTGAAGGAATTAAAGAAAGAAGGATATGAATGCACTTGTGGAAAGATTTTCCGACGACGAAGTAGAATGGAGACTTGTTTGCGGTCGCATGATCTATATCTAGAAACAAACACTCATTTTCCATGTTTGACTTGTAGGAAACAATTTAGAGACAAAGATGAATTGGCGCTACATAGAAAACGATTACATCGAAAGAAATTCCCTTGCAAATTCTGTCCAACAGATTACAACACTAGAAAAGAGCTCTTTAAACATTTGCAGGCACACCAAAAAGTTCAGCTTATGGAATATAAAGTGATATCTGAAATTGTGAAGGGGAAACAGAAGTTACGATGTTTTATGTGTGCAAAGACTTATGCAGAACTGTCAGAGCTGAAATCACACGTGATGGAAGATCATAAAGAGCCTTATATTTGTCCCCATTGTAATAGTACATTTTCTAAAATAATTGACTTTGGTAATCATACAAAAACTTATCACCCAGAGGTGGAAGGTCAATCTGTTCTGGATGTGCTTGAAGCATTCTCCAAGCTGGTTAAGGCCTGGAAATGTGAGGAATGTGGCCTACAGTTTCACGAGGCAGATAAACTAGCTCTGCATCAGATTGAAAAACATAGTAGTGACTCAAAAGCAATTTTCCCAGAGTCTCAGTTCCAATGTACCGATTGTCGCCGCGTGTTCATAAGTCAGAAAGGTTTAACTTCTCATAGAAGAATACATCACAGCACAGAGACAAAAGAAGAGTCAGAGGATTTGGTAAAGGGTGTCATGTGTGTAGAATGTCGAAAAATTTGTCAAGATATGGATGCATTGAATTCCCATATGCGTTTGCATTCACCCGATAGGAAATATCCATGCAAATTTTGCGATTTCCGTTTCGCAACCCCTGAGAAGAGGAAAGCGCACGCTGAGTTACATACGGGAGATATGAAATATGTGTGCTTTATCTGTGAATACCAGTGTACTTCAGAAAATCGGCTGAAACAACATAAATTGTCGGTAAAACATTCAAATATGAAGGAATTTCTACTTACAGGCATACCTTTGATTGAACAAACGCAATCGACTTCAAAGGTTGAGAGTGTCAAAAAGAGAAAGAAAGAAAAAGATAGTAGAAAAGAAGATGATAGTACATCCAGTGATGTAGAAGTACCGTGTGACATTTGTGGTGATAATTTTAGTTCTGAAAAAGAAATGTTAGAACATAAACAGACGCACCCGTTCATAGAATTTCCCAATGACGATACGCCTACTAGAATATTTTTCAAATGAACTCGCCTATGTATAGATGGACCTCCTTATTCATAACTACAAACTATTGAACTGTTTTTTCTCTTTCTCAAAGTTCAAAAATGGCATATTAAATTTTGTTTTAGGCCCATAGCGAGCAAGTTTGCTTGTTTGCCACAATTTTGGCATTAAAATATGTCAGAGGAAGACAAAACTGTTCAATAACATAACAAGTTTGTTTTTGTGAATTGGGAGTTATTATTGAATTAATAAAGACTGGTGACTTTGTGACTTACTATATACTATTTTGTTTGCAGTTTGTTAATTTTGTTTGTTATTTAGTTCCACATTACACAAACTTGTAAAACACCAATAAACTAAGTTAATATACAATGTTGTAATTAGTGTATATATTTTAAAATAATATTATAAAAACCTGTACTTACAAAAACTCCCATCCCAAAAAGCAGACAAAAGTTACAGGTAATAAAATGTAGTTTAAATATATTACAAGAAACATTTTTTATTGTAAAATTATACAAATGGCATAATAAGTGAATAATGAGTAATATTTTCAAATTAGCTGTTTGGTAAATTTATTTTAATAAATATATACCAACATTGTTAACATACAGAAAAATTAAGAAATTAAGAGAAACTTATTTTTTCTTATGTACCCGAGCCTGTAAGCCTTAATTTTATAAACACTTAAGTCTAATATTCGACTTAAGTGTCGTAGCAACTTCCAAATTGTTGTACACTATTATACTTACGAAATTTCTTTTAATATTCGTTTATATTTTTGAAATAGTCTTTTCAAAAATAAAAACTATCTTTTATATGAATATATGCATATAAAAGAAATTTATTATTTTTTATTTCAGTGGACGATTTATTGTTTTGTTATTTATTTAAACTGATTAATTAATAATATCACAGGGGAAAAAGAATTGCCATTGTTAACTAGTCTATGTGCTAAGATTAGGTACATGTTAATTATTTAGAAGGATTTTTTTGTTGTCGGTATGGGATATAAATACCTAAAATATTTTTTTTACTAAAAGTTATGAAGGAGAATATTTTTGGAGACTTGAAAATTCTTCGTACGAACCATGATCACCATATTCATTAATTTAATATAAATAAATATTATCTTTATTTGTGTTAAAGACATGTGAAATATAACTACGAATATGTCGTACAATGTTTTGTTATTAAATAATATTCCATTCTCAACACCCTCGGTGGACTAGCTTCAAGACACTGTATTAGTTTAGAGAGCCGCTGGTTCGATTCGCACACATGACAAACATTTGTATTCCTAAAAAAAGAAAAATGTTTTGCGATAAAATAGTAACCAATAATTTAAATACTCAGACTAATACTGTTTGCATATTTGTAATTGTAATCTGGGTGTTTTAAATTTACTACATTATGCTTTTATCAAATATGTATAAGTATGTATAATATAATATCTTTTATCATATATTATTTACAAAAAAAATGTATCCACGTATTAACTAGTTGACTAGTACCCATAACACAAGCTCTGCTTAGCTTGGGACTAGATGGCGCTGTGTAAATTATCCTGAAATATTATTATTATACTTTTGAATTATATATATTTCTATTGGCATTTTCTCTGCTCCGTTTGATACTAGATGGCGCCGTGTTAATCGTCCTGGGTTATTATTATTTTAAACTGTATATGGAATATTATTTAAAAATTATATACTTTAGTTCATGACACAACTGTTACTTACCATATACGATTGGGTCTACATTACGCTATGCGTTATGGCAATGTTCACCATGGTATATAGATTGCCTTCTTCAGTACCTACTTAATAGTTAAATATAATACTTATAAAACTCGTACTTTTTTTCATAATTGTCATAGACTATGTATGATTATACAGATACTTATTCTATGATATTGGAACCTTTCCTTAGAAATTATGGCTAGATTTGGAGATATGTAATGTAGACAGACAGGGAGGAAGGAAATGTTAGTAAAATGGACTAATAACCATAGAGCTAGCAATGGGAAACCATCGTGATACATTCATGGAATTTAGTACGATAGACTAGCTGACTTGACCTCATACTCATCTTTCCATCCTGCTCTGGTATCCCGCCAACGTAAACCGTTAGCGCAGGCGGGTGCACCTTTCCATTATCATACATAAGAAAAATGTAGATGGACCGATTTCGTTCGAGATACCGTTAAGCAAAATATGCAGTCGCCGATCCACTTGCCACAGGATGAGAGGAGAAATATTGGTTGGAAGGCATTCCTGTTGGAACAAACCTCAGCCTTGAAGAATCTACAAAGATAATTTAGTAAATACTACCAGTACTATGTAGGTATATATTGTTGCAATATACAGTATTTTAATGCTAATAATTTCATCACGATTCGGCCTTGTGAATAATTACATGGACGGAAGGCTTGGTACAACATAAAACGGATTGTAGTACATGTTGGTGTTTCATAAATATACACTACTGAAGAGTCAGTTACAAAAATAAATATAATATAAACACTTGAATAGTTATATTTTTTTAATATTTGACCTTTCAGAACGCAGACTTGTCACAAGAATGAGCAAGAAAGTTGCGTGTTGTTCTTTTAAATCTATGATGTCCAAAATTACATTAGACATAGTTGAAATAAATAAATAGTTATTCGAGTAACAAAATAAATTACAGTTATCACAGCAGAACAGCTTGCTGGAAATCTATACTACTAGGTCGGAGTTGATATGTATTAAGTCATGACGCTCTATTAATTATACTTTTGAATTATACATATTTTTCAATAGCCTATAAAAAAAACATATAGTAACATAATAAGGCCTAACTCTCAATAAATCACTTAAGTTATAATACTTGTGAATTTTGAGAAATAAAAGAGATGTTAATATTAATATTGTTTTTATTATCACTTCGTATGATAAAACGTCTGTTCCAATCTATACAAGTAAAATACTATACCCTCAAAGCATTAGAATAAAATATTCATTGCAAATTGTTTAGAAAACGAAAGTGTTATTGCTTATTATATAATTGATGAATCACGACTTGATTTCTAAACAAAATACTTGAATCAAAACATTGTTTAACTAACTATTTCACGGCCAATATACAAGAAATATACTTCGATAACAAAATCACAAGTTCAAGCAATTGTATAAAAAAATTGCATTATTCAATTATTCATAAATCATAAAAAACATCACTTATTGTACCTTAGCATTAAGTTTGACGTAAACGTAAAAAAATGTAGGAATTGTGACAAACAATCAAATCTAATTGAAATACATTTGTCACTATCAGAATATTGTTACAATGGGCCCATTACATGTTAAACATATTACGTCATACTAAACGTTAGGGATTCAGTATATCTTATCATATTGTATACTATATATATCCTAAAGGATATTCGCTTACGAATGACTGGTTTTACTGTATCGTTTTGATACTTGCAATATCAAATTCTAAAATATACTAAATTTCTCTACAATTTCAGTTGACGAATGCCACAATATACATATTAGTATATGGTATTATTGAATATAACATGCATTATAATATAGAGAGAGTATAAACTATGTAAACCACAGATGATATAATTGTTCTATGAACTTTGTAAAGACAACTTCTGGACAAGTCGAAACATGTTTAACGACTCATGCTACTTCGAAGTTGGATGATAACTTAATGATGTTTTAATGAACACAAAAACAATGTAAATAAAACTTAAATGTATTGAAAATTATGAAGATTTATTGGACGTAATTAAGTCTAGTTTATGGCAATATTGAACTATGAAGTAATTAAATTATAAAAATACTAATTAATAATACAGATAATAATCTTTACTAGTACACATGTATTATTGTATGTCATTCATTAAAGCAATGGCTAAACAAATTATTATGAAATTAACCATTCATGTAAAAGATAGTTTTAATCATGTAGACAAAATCGTAGATACTAGCTGGCTACTAGCTAAAGTTACTGATCATTTGTAGCTCAACCCCATTTAAAGTGGTAAACGGATAGTAATGAAATTTGGTATTTAAATAGACCCTGGATTAGACTTATAGGACAATTTTCATCCCAATTTAAACAGCCAACACCACAAATTATAACTAGTAATAACAATTGAATATTAAACTCAAATTGAATTTCCGTTATTAAAACATCAATAAGTATGTAAAGATTTAATATCTAATTTAATAACTAAATACTATCTTCCACGGTTTAGCCATGCTGGCGCCAGGCTTCCTGATCACCAGGACGTCATTACCCTTGTGGAGGGTCATCAGCAGGGCTGTCTGCTTCTCATTCTGGTGCAGTTTGGCTGTTTTTGGCGGAGTTTTTATGCCAGCTATGACGATACGTTCCACCCATGATCGGGTAGGGTATGACGCATTTTCGTCGATGAATCTGTGGAACAAATTTAGAAAAAATAAAATCCTATTTTTTTTATAGCGCACAAACGAGCTTGCGGTTCACCTGATGGTAAGTGATTACCGTCACTCATGAGCACCCGTAACACCAGGGGAATTGCATTAACCCGTAACAAAGGGCGTTGCCGGCCTTTTAAGAAGGAATAAGCTCTTTTCTTGAAGGCTTCAATATCGTATCGGTTCGGAAATATCATTGCTGGAAGGTGATTCCACAATTATAATAAATAATAGTTTGAAATTATTGCTATATAAATTTAAAAAGTATATACACTGTTATATACTTACGTATATGTAATACCCTCCGGTGTGTACTTGACCTTAGAATATATATATATCTTCTGCTTGTAGTTATATGTCTCACCGTCGTCAATGTACAGAGTGCCTTCAGACGTATTCTACAAATAATAGTAACAGTGTATTTAAATACATATCACATTAATGAGAGATAAATCTTTCGAGTGATTGTGTGTATGACTGTATGTTTATTACTCTTTCACGCAAAAAAATATTGAACGGATTTTGATGAAACTTTACAGTAATATAGCTTCTACATCAGAATGTATTATTCTGGCTATAAGTTTAAAAGATATTTTTATACTACGTAAGTTGCCAAACAAGCTTACGGCCCAAGTGATATTGATATTAAAACGTTTTCCAGATGGGCTGTTATATAGTCTTGTTGAAATTCGGGAATATATATCTCTATTAAGAAATGATGTTTGTTGGTTTCGCTAAAACTCGAGAACGTGGACCGAGTACAGATAATAGAATATAAAGCGGTATACTCACGTTCTCGTCGAGAGCCAGCACGAGGGTGTATGGATCGTTCAGCATCAGCGCCGACGATCTGCGCACTCGCTCCTTCCGCCAAACGGCTGATCCGCCGCGCTGGTACACTGGCGTCTAAACATCATACATAGACAGACATATAGCATTCTAAATAAAAAAAAGATTGGGTGTTTTCTATGCATATTATGTATGTATTTACAAAAAAAATTAAGTATTTATTATTAGACGGCCTCGTGGTCTAGCGGTTTGGCGCACCGCCTTACTTCCGATGGTCCTGATTGAGAAGGTGATTGAATAGCTGAAATTGAGATACCTAAGCAGACTGGTATATTACAAGACATATAAACTGAGTTGAGTTCTGTTTAAATCTTCTGTATTCTTAAGTTTATGGTATACCTTAGCAATATTGACTTCCTGTGTGATGAAACCGTTGGCCTGGTGAGCCTGGTAGGTGTCAACGTCATACCAAAGAGTGTGCGTGTCCGCTCCCGGGAGGTACACTTTAACTAATGTCACGCCTTGCTCTAACACTGGCCGGATTAACAGCTTATCTCCTGTGGGCATAAATTTATATATCACTACCTTATAACGCGAATACGATCTATCTTTACACCAAAGTGTTCTTGAGATCCGTTCAGCCAAGTAGTCCTGAAAATGTAACAGACACACTGACAGATGACCGTACATTTTGGCGTTTATAATAATACCAGCTTTTGCACGCAACTTCTGCTGTACAAACTTTTTTAACTTTATAGGTTTAAAAAATGACGAAACAAATTAAATAAGAAAAACCAAATGACAGACACATTATATTATTTATTACATTAGTATGAACTAGATCTTTCCGCGAACCTTACTATTATTATAAACGCTAAAGTTTGTGATTATGAATGGATAGATGGATGGATGTTTGATACGCTTTTACGCAAAAAATATTGAACGGATTTTGATAAAATTTTACCATAAATTATATATTTGGTGTTTTAGGCGTCCATAAGCTACGGTAAGCATTTACCATCAGATGGGGCGGATGCTTGTTTGCCACCATAGTAATCAATATCAATAAAATAGAGATTGTGTACCAGAGAGATCACATGCATTACTGATCTTAAACTTACCCAGTAGGTACTGATTGTCGACGGTGAAAGTGGCCTGCTCTTTGGGATACTGCTGGAACAGCGGCCGCATCACAGGCAGTCCATCCCTCGAATGCTCGAAGAATAACGTGTACCTGATTGAAAAATTATCATTTTTTATTATTCTGAACAATAATATATCTTATATATGAATTTTTGAGCCACAATGTTAGTTACCATACTCCTTCGAAACGGCTTGACCGATTTTTATGAAATTTTATATCCATATTCAATAGGTCTGAGAATAGGCTACTACTTTTCATACCCCTAAGTGATAAGGGTTATCCAAAATACATATCTTTATACCGTGTACAACGAATTTAACACGCGACCATCGGAAGGCGGTGTGCTAAACCGCGAGACCCCGTAATTATCATACAAAAAACTAACCAGAAGTCGAGCAGTGCGTATCGTTTGCGTACAGCATCCCGCAGTAGCGCAGTGGTTGCTGGCTCGAACAGCCACGGTTCTCGCCGCTTGGTCTCGATGTGCGAGTGTGCGCGGAAGAACGGCTGGAAAGCACCCGCCTAAAGAACACACAAACAGCTCATCATTTATATGTATGGACCATTTTTAAAGTGCTCAAGGTCGCAGTGCTCCAGGATCAAACACTTGAGGCAATGACTAACCCCCCCCCCCCCCTCCAATAAAAAATAAATACTCTTCCCTATTCGGCCAAGCAACAATTTTATTTTTTTAGTTTTGAATTTTTTTTTACGAACACATGAAGGGTGAGAATGGGAGTGTTTGGAGAAACAAAGCATCTGGGAATTGGACCAGCTCCCAACACTAGAAGCATTAGCTTACTGCTTATTTATATATATTAGGATCTTACTAACCTGATACCACCTCGTCATCAACTCGGCATCAGGGTTCTTGAAGAACCCGCCGACGTCAGAACCACAGAAGCTGACTCCTGAGATGGCAACGGAGATGCACATAGGCACTGTCGCAGCCAAGAAACCCCACTCGGCTGTGTTGTCACCCGTCCACATTGCGGCGTACCTTTAATAATAGTCCAGGATTCTTAAGTTAGGTTCCTTTTATAAGTCCAGGATAATTTACACAGCGCCATCTAATCGGAAACTATAGACTAATTTTAATCTCGGAGACATTTAGTCTCCGAACATACTGTCAAAAAAAACTTGTCGCTAAGTATGGCAATACTTCTTACTTCTTAAGATAGGTTTCTTTAATAAGTAGTCCAGGATTGGATTGACTGAAGAATGGTGATGATAAATATGTAATGATGAGTTACCTCTGGGTACCGGCGAAGGTTGCTCTAGTGAGTATGAAGGGGCGGTAGTTGGGGGCGCGCGACAACATTCCCTCGTGGGTGCCGCGGATGTAGAACAGACCGTACTCGTTGTGAACATGTCTGTAACGTTAATAATGTTTCGTTGGTTGGTATTATATTATTTGGTCACATCACTACACAAACAAACAGTTGACATAACCTTGAAATAGCGCAGTTTGATGTGGTATGACTTTTAAAACTATTGTTGTTTATTTGTTAAGTTAATAATTTTAGCACAAAATTAATACGCTTATTGTAAGTTGGAATAATTATTAAATTGTAATGTTATCACTCGTTAATAAGGCAAATAAATTTTGCCGTAAATTGTACGTCACTTCAAAGTTACATCGCCCATTCGATCCCGTCCTGTCTGAAACGCAAACTCTGAGCGGCCGTACTGTAAATATATTCAAATGCTTCAGTATGTGTACAAATTTTATAGCTAAATTTCCAATAGTACCTGTGTTCCCAGAATGAACCGATGCCTTCGACACCGTCTTCAGGCTGCTTATAATGACGGCAATCCTTGGGCATCGTGACCTCTGGACCGTTGAAAACCTAAACAATAGAATCATACACATTTGTATTCGTGAGTATGATTTTTGTGTCGGTCTGGGTGTTTTCTATGTATATAATATACATACATACAGTATATAATATATATAATAAACACCCAAATACAAACAATCAAATTCAATGTTTGTAGCGTGCAAGTATTGAACCCGCGATTATCGTAATCACGTCGGTTTACGAAGCTGTCATAAAGCCATTAAATATACAATAAAAATATTATATATACATACACTGGGCTCGTTCATGTCATTCCAGATGTGAACATCCTTGCTGGTACCAGGGAACTTGTCGAAGCTATATCTCGACGCGTAGTAGTTGTGCACTACTGGATTCAGGAAGTCTGGGTATGATGAGGAGCCTGGCCAGCACCAGCCTATAAATAATAAAAACAAATATAAAATAACATCACGACTGTTATCCCACACGCGGTAGTCAGAGTCATTGTCAACTGACAATGTTGTAGTGACCATGCTCACATTTCATATGAATCCTAATATGGCAACAAGATTTGAACTCACAATCTCTTGGTAAAGATTCAGGTCAGTAAACCACTGGACCACGACTATTCCGGTTATCCCCTCCGATCTGTAATTTGGATTTGAATTGGATACCCATCCAATTTAAATCGAATTTACGACGGCCCGAGCCGGTGTTTGAAACCCTAGCGGTTCAAACTAAAGTCTGTATCTGTAAGGAGTTGGTCTTCAGCCGATCTATAAGTCCTTCCTTTGGTATGGAGTGCCATCTGCACTAACCCCCTATCGTCCGGTGAAGCTGTAAGGGCCGGCTGCAGCCACCGAATACTGGTGGCTGCAGCCGGCCCTTACCAGCCACCCCAGTAGACGAAAACAAAAACCTCTCTATTACCATGGACCACTAGTTGTGTATAACCAAAACAAACTGCATACCTTCATAATCTTTTCCATCTTTATCTTTCACGTAGTAACCATTCTGTGTCGCGTCTTCATGGTAGAAGTAGCCCGGCTCCCGCTTGATGTGAGGGTCTATGATCACCACCAGTTTGCGACCCTTGGCCGTAAGGTTAGCGACCATTTCAGATGGGTGCCTGAACTTCTCCGAGTCCCATGTGAAGTACCTATTAGTGTAATTAACATTATATTACAATGTAAATTATGTCAAGCTATGGACTATATATATCTGCATAGAAGACCTCGGACATCTAGCGCTTTAGCACACCGCTTTACTTCCGATAATCGCGGATTCGATTCCTCGCACCGTATACTACACTATTAGTATCTATAAGTCTGATTGTTTCTATTGGCCTGGGCTTTTTCTATGTATATTATGTATGTATTTACAAAAGAATCTAAGCATTTATATCTGTTATAATGTATAACACAAACTCTGCTTACCTTGAAAACCTGGAACTATATAATGTTGTGTGAATTGTCCAGAAACAAGCATACGGCCCATCTGATAATAAACGGTTTACGCGGGTGAGGCATCAGTTGAGGATGTAAAAATGAGCATGAGGTCAGGACAGTTAGCCCATCCTGGCAAATGATAATTTATCACGGTTTTTGGTTTTGCGGTGCTGATAGTTTTCGAGAGAATCGCGTGGAGGTTAATCTGATATGGCACATTGCTAGCAATAGGATTATTAGTAATGTAGACTAATAATAGTCTACATTACTAATAATCCCCTTCCCCCGATGATTTACCATCACCGTAGCTTATGGACACCTGAGACACTATGGGTGTCCCGTTGGCGACCCTTAAGAAACCTAAACTTAATTGGATTTGGCGTAAATGGCGGACTACTAACATCTTGCGGTCAGTGTACTCGATATCCAGCCAGATGACGTCAGCGGGGATATCGTGGGCGTCGAAGTTGTCGTCCACACCGCGAACATCAGCCTCATCAACGTAGTTCCACCGCGACTGATGGTACGCCAGGGAGAAACGCTGCCAACAAATCATATACATTATTAATGTACAGTAAAACTCCGCTTAACGCTGTTTCGGTTTAGCGCTCCTTTATTTCAACCCGGGGATTCTGAACATAACGGATAGACGTCGAGGAGATAGTTCAAGAAACAGCAGATAGTATTTCTATTCAGGACTTAACTAAGCCTTTTAGTGCTGAACTTATCCCCCGTGTTAAGCGGGGTCTTACTCTAGTTAAACGGTTTTAACATATAATTTTACGGTAAATAAAGCTATTTACTCTCTCGACGTTTCGACTAGGTTGCACTAGCCGTGGTCGAGAGCTCGCTAGCGGACTTAGTCAGCTCTCGTCTTAAAACTATTAAATAAATAAATATTATGGTAATAAATAAATTTTACACACTGTGATATATTACTATACATAGAAATGATCTTACCGGCGGCAGAGGTGCTACTCCAGTGAGCGTGGTGTACTGACGGAACACGTCGGCCGGCGTGTCGCCCAGCAGAACGAACAAATCTAACACGCCTGATTCACTCATAAACCTGAAAAATAACGTATTTATTACAGCAATTAATTTTAGATTGATGCAGCTAGAGTCGAGTTAACGACGCCAGTTTCAAGGCGTTTGTGACCCGGGTACCCAACAACAGGCTGGTCACTTTCATGAAGGAGGACTACTGGCGTGTGATGATGAAGGTGTGATGTCTAGGCGCTACCGTGGCAGATTGTCGTCGTCAATGCCACACACAGGCAATTTTAATCATTACATAGTATAAAACAAAGTCGCTGTCGCTGTCTGTCCGTCCCTACTATTCCTAAACTACCCTATTCTTAAATCTTTAAAAATAAGTAACGGATTTTGAAGTGGCATTTTTTAATAGATAGAGTGATTCAAGGAAGGTTTATATATATAATACAAGTACAACCGTGCGAAGCTGGGGCGAGTAGCTAGTATATCAATATATTAGTTTTATAATATTAACTTATAAGTATGTTAGTCTATAGGGTGTTTATAATATGGACCTAGAGTCCTGAAATAAATAAATAAAATAATAATAAGGGGATATAGTCTGCATATTTTTAATCAATCTTTGTGGCACCTCCAACTCTTTCTTATATAATTTCGCACTTGTCAACCGTAATTTAGGATAGGCCTTTATTATATTCTAATACTAGAATTCTAACAAATATAACAAAGTTAATTCGTTACTAAATGGTACGCTCATGGTTGTCGAAATATTAATTATTTTAGTATTTTCTTCTTTTCTTAAGATTATACAAATAAAAAAAGGGTTACAAATATTAATGTGTAAAATATTAATTTCAAACTAGAAAATTTATGGTAATTATCTAACTTCTAACTACCTATCTAATGCCTAAGTATAAAATATTTTGGAAAACCGATAATTTAAATTTATCTTAATTATAAATGTAGTTTAATTCTAAATATAATTTAAATCTATTAAAGTTGGTTTCCAAATATTGTTAACACATTAAAGTTTATGTGTATGCGTTATACTGCCACTGACCGTGTGTCGATCCTGTGCTTCTGTCCGCCGGTGACCAGGTTCACGAGAGACGAGACCACGGTACTGTCGCCGTAGTTCACCACGTCCACCCACGTCTCAGCGGAGTTATGCCAGAACACGCCCACCGTACGCTTTGTCCTGGGAAAATGAATTATTAAATCTATATACAATATACATATATTAGAATTTGACGGCCTCGGCGGTCTAGCGGTTTAACATATCGCCTTACTTCGAATGGTCGCGGGTTCGTTCCTCGCACGGCAAAAATATTTGTATTCATGAGTACGATTGTTTGTATCGATCTGGGTGTTTTCTATGTGTAATATGTATGTATTTACGCCAAAAAACTATATATTTGTATCAGTTATCTCGTACCCTAGTTAAGCTAGCTAAAGCTTGTGTTATAAAGCTTTAGCTAGCTTAACTAGGGACTAGATAGCGCTATGTGAATAGTCTTGAGATCATTTTTATAATTTACATGTGATACAATAACATTCAAATTTGATCAGTACTCAAATCAAATATAAAAAAGCACTGTATGTAATGTTAAAAAATAAACTTTAGACAATGAGGACATCAATAGTGCTAAGTGGTAGTTTGTATTCACACACTTAAACTTAAAAATGTAAAGTAATAATAAAATTATTTAAAAGAGCAACACGCAAGTTACTTGCTCGTTCTTCTTGTGATGAGACAGCTTTCCGAATGAGCGGTAGATTAAAAAAAAATGTGATGACTATTCAAAAGTGCTTCAATGTAAGTTTATTTGAATAAATGATTTTCTATTAAAGAAAAGAGAGAATTAAAAAAAAAGCATGCTGATTGAAGAACGCAGGAATGCGAGAACTTGCGGCTTCTCATTCTCTTTGTCTACATTTACATGTACATTCTTTCCTGTGTAAAGCCTATTCGCGTGTCAAATCGTCTACTGAGAAGAATGAAGAAGGTTTAGTTTCCTGCCAACTCACCCGTGTGCGTACAAGACAGGTATAGCTCCGTAGATGGCCATGCGACTGTCCAGTTCATATTCAAACACGTCCAAGTTGTATAGCCTATAGGGATCGCCTGAGGTTGTGGTCGCCAGGTGGAATCTATCTGTGTGCTCGGGTATACCTGGTAAACAAATTTAGTATTACTAGTGGTCGCCCTATGGTCGATATTCGCCCATAATATTCACAACTACCTGCAAATGTATACAAAATGTTTACAGTATGTAGGAGAGAACGGGCTTTCGTGGTACAGTTTCACATATCGAAAGCCTGGGCTAACTGTATTGAATTGTACTATATATTTATGAATAAAGGTTATTATTATTAATTTAACAGTCAGTAAAACGCAAACAATATTAATCTATTCTGAATTTGACTGCGATGATGGCTGGTTCAATTCCTCGCACGGTACAAACATTTGCATTCATGAGTATGATTGTATCGGTCTGGGTGTTTTCTATGTACATTATGTATATATTTACAAATAAAATCTAAGTCTTTATTCTCTTGTCTAGTACCCATAACACAAACTCTGCTTAGTTTAGAACTAGATGGCGTTGCGTGAATTGTCCAGGGGTATTATTAGTAGTGCAAAATGAACATTAGTTTATGTCTGTGAGTAGATCGGGGGTCACCATAATGCTTATGGTTTCAAAACGTTTATTTCAATAGATTTACAAATATATATGTTAGACGCATATATACATAGCAATTTCATAGTAACCTTGTTTCTTACGAGCAGTTACAGCTTACATTGCACTCACCGCGCTCTGCTATGATCTATGTTCGCACTGATATGTCGACCTCTCCACAATCTTTAATTAATGATACTTACCATAAACTTGATCAGCGTCGGGGAATGAGACGTCGAGTGAGACGGCCTCGTTGCCTCGCGGCTTGCTGTCGTGGTGTGACTTGAAATTCTCGCCCCATGTTCCTTCCTCATCCTGTACACGCATTGGAAATTAGTGTTGACCCTGCTTAATAAAAGTAGTCATACTACAACAAGGCTGGGGGATTGTCAGTAGTGTGGATTAATAATCCCAATGCTAGCAATAGACCCTCAAGTTGAACTCCACTCGGTTCCCTCTGGAACCATAATCATCCTGTACAGTAACATTGGAAAATATAGTGTTAACATGGTTAATTAAAGTAGTGATACTAAAGCAAGGGTGGGGGAAGGGAATTGTTAGTAATAAGGACTAATGACCCCATTGTTAGCAATGTACCATGTTAAGTTGACCTCCAGGCGGTTCCCTCTGGAAACTATAGTAATAAATTCCTGGTGAATTTGCCACGGGCAAACTGAGCTGACCTCATGCTCATCACTCATCTTCTAATGGTTCCCCGCTAGCGAAAATCGTTAACGCAGGCGGGTTCACCATTCCATGATCATCCATAAAAAAGTATAACAAGGGAAAAAATGGGATTTTAGTAGTGTGGATTATTATATGGTATATTGCTAGCAATGGGGATAAAGTTGACCCCAAGTTGACCTCCACTCGGTCCCCCCCGGAAACCATCATACTAAATTCCTCCTGAATGGTTTCCTGGTGGCTGTAAATCATCAAAATTGATTCATCATCGTTTAAAACATCACATAATACACACCATTGTGATACCATACAAACTTTTAAAAGAATTTTCGATTTGCGTACACTAAAAAGATTAAATTGAATTAATAACCTCTTCATTTTGAAGTAGGTTGTTCTAGCTAATACGCGTAAATGAAATGTTCTAGATAATACGCGTAGCAACTCTACACGTGGTCTAATTTGCGATTAAATTCAATTGATGTCATATTAACACACAAACAAAGGCCCATATCAAATGTACTACATATAAATATTGTGTTGACCTCACGTACTATTTATTTGCACTGTGTGGATACTAATTATTAAACACTAGTAATTACCCGACACCGTCTGCTCAAACATTTATCCCCTATAATATGATCTGATGATGAGATAAAACGGATATAGCTATATTTATGTCAGTTAATCCATTTTTTTTTTGTTTTTCTTCATTCAAATTTAAACTGTTTAAATTAATACAATAAATATGAAATTATTCATGAATTTATTATATCTATACTCTATACATATAAATAAAATTGGAGTATCTGTTTGAAATAACCGTTTTTTACTACATGCATATGAATATAAATAAGGTACATACACCAAAATAACATTTTTTATAATTTTCGTCTGTCTGTCTGTTTGTACCGGCTAATCTCTGAAATGGCTGGACCGATTTTGACGGGACTTTTATTGGCAGGTAGCTTATGTAATAAGGAGTAACTTAGGCTACTTTTATTTTAAAAAAATAAAGTTAAATTCCACGCGAAGTCGCGGGAACAGCTAGTTTATTTATATAATTATCGATGTATATTTATATAATTTGATTACTTATAAAGAGACGACGACAGATGATGTGTCAATGATCCCAATCGTTTGACCACAAACGTGACTGATAAGCGTTCATACTGCTTATCCGAACAAAATTTTATCAATCAAACCTGTCATCTCTAAATGGCGAAACAATGAGGAGTTGGACTACAATGTGTCACCCATCAGTCTATATCAATACTAGATTTAAAAAGGAGGACAATTAAAAAATGGTCACTATGCTTGATCTTATATATAAAATTCTCGTGTTACAATGTTAATTACCATACTGCTACGAAATGGCTTTACCGATTTTTATAAAATTTTATATGCATATTCAATAGGTCGGTTGAAGAGGTCGGCTACTATCTATTTTTGTTACCTCTAAGTGATAAGGTTTCTACCCTAACATTTATTTTTTAATTTTTTGGACACAATTCTTATTATTAATAGTTTTATAATTTGGCCTTAAAAATTACATACAACCCATAATTTTCACCCTTCTATCACCAACCCCTATTTTTTAATAGCGCTTTTAACTTATAATGTTAAACACCGTTGCCGGGACAGCTATTTGTTCTTATTATAAATAACAATTTCTTACCCCATCTACAGCATTTCCTTCTTCATCATCGTATTGCTCTTTCTTCTTCCTCAGTGGCTCCACTAGGAGTTGTGCGTTCTCATTGAGCACCAAAGCTACCTCACCATTCTTGTCGTAGAACTCCAACTTGAGAGGTTCAGCAATGATCACCACTTTTTGTCCTTGGGTGTTTATTACAACCACCTTCTCGTTATCTTTAGAGACCAATTTTATTCTGTCAATGGAAATATATATTTTTTAATTAATAGGGGCCTTTATTTACTGAACAGAGACATTTTAACAACATACCGTCAGGACAGTTTCTTAATTATAGAATGGTGCATCCGCCTGCACTAACGGTATACGCTGGTGGGGCACCAGTACCAATGTAAGACGTTGTGATGAGGTCAGGTCCGTTCGCCCATTGTCATTGAATAACCATGAAGTAATGATGATGGTTTCCAGGGGAACCGCGTGGATGTCAACTTGACATGGTACATTCAACATACAGTACCGGGGAAGGGAACTGTTAGTACTGTGGACTAACCTAAACCTCATTGCTAGCAATGTACCATGTCAGGTTGTCCTGGAAACTATTGTGATAAATTTCCGGTAAATTTACCAGGATGGGTAACTGATCTGACGTCATGTTCATCTTATCATTCTACACTAGTACCACGTCAGCGTAAGCCATTAGCGCTGGCAGGTGCACCATTCTATTATAATCCATTAAAAAACATACACAACCTAATAATCGCTTTCCCACCCTGTCACGACTATTTTCCCAGACGGGATAGTCAGTCATTGTCAAATGTCATATTGTTGCGAAGGCAACACTTGATATTTCACAAGGTATACTTTTAATGCAATGTGGGTAGACAAATAATTAATAAATAACCCTGGATAATTCACACAGCGCCATCTAGTCCCACGGTAAGCAGGGCTTGTGTTATGGGTACTGATAACAACTGATATAAATACTCCGATTTTTTTTGTAAATAAATACATATTATAAGTGGAAAACACCCAGATCCATACAAACAATCATAATCATGGTTCCAAATCATTGGACTGTGCGAGGAAGCGAACCTGCGACCATCGGAAATAAAGCAGTGTGTTAAACCGCTATACTACTAAATCCGTCAAAATAACTTACCCATCAGGTCTGGGATCACGCTGGAGTGCAAGCTGCGGCACATAACGTGAATACAGTGGATTCTTCTCATTCAATTCCACTCTGTATGTGTTATCTTCTAATGCAGACAATTTGAGTATGTAGTTCCACTGTAGGATAAAATACATAACTTATTTAACATAATGTATAATCAAATATATGTATAGGATGAGAGGAGCTTGCTAGCACAATCTCAAAATATAAAGCTCATATGTCTGGCCACCCTAATAAGCTAGCCGAGAAGTTACTCATTAACAAGAGATTACCATAGTGTATTTTACACTATGGTAATCTCTTTATTCTATTTTATTCTTATATATATCTGTATATAATTATTTTATAATGCAATAATATTAGCTGTAATAGAAATAGATATAATAAGATCAAATATACTTAATAAAAGCACTTTTCAATAGTCACATTTCTTTTTATTGTACCACTTATTCGGAACACAGAATCATCACAAGAAGAATGAGTAAAAAAACTTGTCTGTTACTTGTTTAAATAAATGTTATAAATAGATACACATTAACAAGGATTACACATGCAACAATAAACATAGAAACTGCTATGCCCTCAATCTTTGTTCAATCAGACAATATCGTCGGTACTATGACTGAAGTTAGATTTTTTCTACAAAATCTGTAAAAACAGGAAGAATTGCTTAGAGAATAACCTGACATGGTATATTGCTAGCAATGAGGCTATTAGGCCACATTATATACCAATCATTTCCCCCAGTAGGGACTTAGATATTGCAATATAACATGACCCTTGATCTCCACACCCTCCCCAGGAAAGTGTTGTTAATTCCTGTTGAATTCATCATGATGGATATCTTGGCCACTCCATTCCTAAACTAACAACTTCCATGAGTATCCCGCCAGCACAGGCGAGAGGACCGTCACATATAATAAACCACTAACACCCAATTTGTACTCACCAATACAGTTCTCCTTTCCGATTCAGAATCAATAGTCTTAACTTCCGCTATTAAAACATTTCCATCAATGATAATACTGTTAACGTCTAATGTGTATTCAGAATTTTCAGGTTTGAAGCCTCTCAAACGCTTACAAAAGCCGGATTGATGGCATGTCTTAAAATTGTTCCTATCAACCCCGAAAGCGCCGTGAATCGTGACCACGGCCACCAAAAGACACCACAAGGTCTTCATCCTGAAATAGTAAAATTTATGTTTAACATTTTTATACACTGACAAAGACCGGTAGAAGGCAGAACAATGAGTTACGGAAAATTACGTGATTGAGTCGTACCTGTTTGACGCTAAAACCTGTTGTCTTGTTTTTTACAAACTGTATTATAAAATCATTTCAATAAAAAGAGAGATAACTTTAAATATTTTAAATTAATTCAGCTACAACTCAAAGGTTATTACGTGGAGATATAATGTTTGATGGAGTAGAAATAGAAAGAAATAGGATTAGGCAGTTCGCGATCGAATTAAAAGAGCACACTATAGAACTAGTTCTACGAGAACTAGTTCCCAAATCTTTGGTTCTGAGGTTAATTTGATAAATTGTTTATCTGAGATCTTACTAAACGATATGGTCACATATTTGTGAGTTGTAAGATGAAGTTAACGTACTTGCTTCGTAGTATACTTGTAGCCTAAAAATGAGACTTTTTACCTATTAAAAACAAGAGGCTTGGGGATTGGGACGGAACGAACTAGTTCGCTCCAAATCGCGAACTACTATGCGCAAGACTATATACAATGGATTGATCTAATTTAACGTTTGATTTGATTTGTCAAATATAACATTGACAGCTAGTCGCAGCCTCGGCTTGAATGAATCTACGTCAACTGTTGTCAATGTCAATCGATCAAAATCAACTTGTTCGTCGTACATTTTTGTTGCTGTGAACTAAGGATGGAAATAATTAAAATTATCGATGTACCTGTATGGATTTAAAAAATATAAAATAGTTCTGTTGAAGCTAAATGTTCTGTCCTATCACAAATAAAAAGTATGTTTTGGCTTGCAAATAACATGTATAATATGTTCTTATATATCTACCATAATTAAATTGAACATTAAATATTATATTGAAATGAGATTTCTGTAATTTTTTATTAAAATTGGACGTATGGTAAAAAGAAAAACAACTAAATTAATCCTCAAAAACCATTATTTGCCATTTTAAACGCTTAATCAATTCACCGAAACTGAAAAACTATTAGTAATATCGACTGTGCGCAAAAAAATCCTACGTATCGATATAATATATTTTGACAACCACTTCACTAATTGTTATTCTGATAATACAATTTATCTTACTTTTTATTTGCAATTGTTAAAACATATTATTTTATTTTATAGATCCGGTAGACTAAGAAATATTTAAAGATACTTAAACGTGATGACAATTTTTTCTCTTTATCTCACCGTTTAATACAGCGAAATGTGCAAATAATAAGTACTTTAAGATTTTTTCCACTAAAATGACCTCCAATTTAGAGAGTGAAGATCTTGAAAATGTTCCATTAGTGCGTATGGAGGACGTGCAGCCTTCAAGAGACAGGACTTGCGAAGTATCTGGACCTGAAGTCGAGGAGGAAGTGGTTTTAGAGACTTCTATAATTGACAGTGGAGATCATGAAAGCCAATACATCTTGGATGACGAGGATACAGAAAGTATGATGTCTATAAAGATCGAAAAGGGTAACCAGTACGATGGTAGTAATAGTGGAGAGTTAATTGTACCTGAATATATAGAAACACATGAAATTCCTGTAGTAAGTATTGTTGTTTTCTGAATGACGATGGAACTGTCGGATGTGTTATTGGACTGAGGTCGATCCCCCGTCCAATTCAAACGGGGATCGAAATTACGACGACTTGAGCCCCTAGCGGTGCTCTTAGATTAAAGTCATATCTGTCAGGCAGGAGTTGGTTATCTGTCGCTCCATAAGTTCTTCCGCGGGTTTGGAGTGCCATCTGCACTCGTCCTCTATAGTTTCGTGAAGCTGTAAAGGCCAGTTGGCCAACAGTATTAGAATAGTTAAAAGCTGCCTTACTCCTGCTGTTAGCTCTCCTATAGTATACAATCAGAATCATAAACATTGCAATCAAATCCCATGCTACTGAACATATGTTGAAGAATTTTGCAGATTTTTTAATAATCAATTATAAAAATTATTCAGGATGTGAAAGTGGAAAGGAAACGTGAAACCAAACCAGCTCCAGACAGCTGGCCGACATTAGAAATATTACCTGGTGGGGTGATAAAGAACGCTGAGAAGTCTGAAGATAGTGTAGCATACAATAATGATACGGATTCAGAAAGCGGCGAGATGATGTATGCATGTGCTAAGTGTCCTCAAAGCTTTAAGTACCTGTTTCGTTTGGTGAAACATGTCCGATGGCATGAAGATGAGGAAAAGAAACAAAGAGAGGGGAACATATCAAAATCAAGTGAGTTTATTGGTATTTTAATTGGATTGCTTTGGTCCAGTCAGTCAGAATATTATTTATCTCTGATGATTTGGTAATTTAGCGGTTTAACACACCACCATACTTACTTCCATTTGATTCCTCACATGGTACAAATATTTGTATTCATGAGTGTGATTGTATGTATTGATCTGTATGTTTTCTAATGAGAATATTTACTGATACAAAAGGCATTCTTATTGCTAAAGAATTTCTGCTTAGATAGAGAAAGTAATGATTAGATTTATGTATTTATTCTTCTTAGGCATAAATAACCTTAATTAATATTTCATTCGTTCATGTAAGAAGCTGGCCTTATTTTTCAGATACAGATGCCAGTCTTGCATCAATGCCAGAAAAAAATGGCCATTACATTATAGCAAATGGCTACAAATTTAAGCAAAATGGGGCCCAAGGATCATACTATTACTGCAGTAATGCAAGATGTCGCGTCCGAATAAAGCTTGGGAAGAATGGACATATTAGCCAGTACAATCATCATATGCATTTACCGCCTAAGAAATATATGAAAGAAGGATTTACACAATTAGGTAATATTACTAGAATACTTTTATTATGTACTAGAGACCCATCCTGGATTCGCACAGATGCAACACAAATCTTTGAATTTTTCTAGTTTAGACCCGGCCCACCACACCATGTCTAAAGTTTATACGCGGGTCGCCACGCCATGTCTAAAGTTTAGACCCGACTCACCACATCATGTGTAAAGTTTATACGCGGGTCAACCCGCCATGTCTAAAGTTTAGACCTGGCTCACCATGCCATGTCTAAAGTTTATACGCGGGTCGCCACGCCATGTCTAAAGTTTAGACCCGGCTCAGCACATGTGTAAAGTTCATGTCTAAAGTTTATACGCGGCTCACGGGGCCATGTCGCTCACTACACCACATCTCTAGTTTAGACACGGTGGACCACGCCTTGCCTCAATTTTTGACTATAAAGTAGTTATATTAATGTCATTTTGTTTCCAGATATAAAAGAAGATAAATATGCAACTCCACGTTCAGCGAAGACGAGAATTATAACAAAAATAAATAAAAGGAAACTACCAAAGAAGAATAAGTCATAGCTTATGATGATGGGGAAGAAGTGAATCTTTATTGTTGTTAAAGTCTTAGATATATACTTATAAAATATATGCGTCTTTGAAGTTCGCCCATATGCAGTTGATGCTTGGGACTATGGGCAATAAACGGTAACTGAAATTCCATCTATAGAAATATATAGATCAGGCTTTATATATATTTTGTAGTCATATAGATACAGGACAGAAATGGAAATTTGTTGAAGATATTAAAACTCCATTAATACTTTCATAAAGGGACTCATCTTCGATTTTTTTTTAATGTATATAAAATGGTAAACCAAGATGTTCCATTTGATGGTAAGTTTTTTTGTTCGATCTATTCTAATACTGTAGGCTGCATCTGGCCTTTATAGCTTCACCGATAGATATGGGACGAGTGCAGAGATGGCGTAACAAAACCGCGGAAGGACTTATGGAGCGGCTGAAAACTCCTGCCTTAATTGATGGTAAGTGGTAATCATCGCCTATATATACGAATACACGGACATCACGTTGTCATGTGCTGACCACAATCCCGCTCACGAGTTGCCATTCCGGGTGGACTAAGGTGTCATGACTCTGTCCCGTAATTTTACTACCTTATCTCATCATTCAACGGAAACAGCATACCAAGCTATTTGACAGCTGAAATAGGTGAAGTTGAGGACTTTTTATAGTTCACTCCGGCTTTTTCTTTACTGAGTAGTTAAAAAAAAATTAAGCTAAATTTGTTTTCTAAATATGCGATATTTAAATACAGATTATAAATATTTATATATTTAAATTTATGTTACGTCGAAATACAGAGGCGTATATTATAGTTTTGGGCGAATACTATATGACCGTGACACTGAAATATGTTAGTGAATAAAAGTACAACGAAATTACAAATTCACTTATAAATATTATAAAAAGAGATCAAATATCTAAAGTGCATATCAGGTATAAAAAACAAAATTGGACGGAACGGTAATAATATTTAGATAATATTGAAGAAAATTCTATAAAGTATAAATGCAAGAATAATCGAAATCTCTTTAGTTTTTACGAAATTTTTGCGGAAGATGCGAATATATGTACTAGTTTATTTAAAAACCTTCATTTTGCAAATAGTAAAAGAAACAGAGTTGATCCCTTACCAGGATAAGGATAAGGTCGTGAATTATAAATGTATCTTGTGAATAATGAAATAAAATACAATTTTATTAAAATTAAAATATTTTTTTAATCGTACTGTATTTATAAGAATGTTGAATATCATGCGTATAATACTTACAAAATATTTAATTTAATAATTTTGATCAAATTGAAAAATTCTTTTGCTTTCTCTTACATTGGGTAGCCCATTAATTAAGGAATAGATCATGAAATGAATGAAATATATTCCAATACATACAAAAGTATTGATTAGTTACAAATATATTGTTTTTATAAAAAACGCACACTATATTAAAGTACCTAAAATATAAATATGAAGTACCTGTAATAACACAAAAAGATTATATACACTTTTAAAAATGTGTAGTTTTGTAAAATATCCCTTGGTGTGTGATAGAATAAATATTCATATTGCGTGTGTATGTGTGTTTTGTATCGATATTAAATATATTATAAATTCTAATTGTAAACTGTAAGGTTATGTCCACACAAAATATTTTGCAAGCTGAAGATAATATTGAGTATAAAGACATAATATTATAATTTTGGTTTTCATTTGGATCTCATTATGTTTGTAAAGAGAGATAAATATTTTTTAAGGTTTGCGAAATGTGCTCGGTGTGAATAGTCCTTTGTTTTTACTAGTATGACCAAAACGATTGTTTTTGAAACTGATAAAGTTTAAAATATAAAAAGAGTTAAAGTGCCAAGATTTTATCTTTAAATAATCTTATTTTCCTGTATTGATTTAAATTAATATATATTTAATTTAATATGTACTAATTAATTATTGTTTACGTTTTATGTAAATAAGTAATACTATAAAAACTTTGTTACCTAAATATTACAGTTAATGTAAAATGTTTTATCCATGCAGAAGATTTCCTAAGATGCTTAATTTCTTCCTAAGCTTACTTTTTTAATATTAAATTAAATATATTTAATTTAAGTTAATATTAATATTTCTTTATTGTTCTAGTGTGTAATTATAATTACGTTAAGTCAAAATCTATGTATTGGCCTTTTGTGTTGTTATGTTTGACCGACCTCATTTGTTTTTATGTAGAAAAGAATATAATATGCCACAAATGCAATTTGGAAACATGCAAAATTTTTAGCAATCTGTATAATTCAGTTATTCTATACAGTACCTGAATATTGAATAAAATGAATTCATAGTCGTTTCAAGCAATATCCAGCTCATTCTTCTTGTAATGAATAGTATAGTATTTTAAGTTTTTTTAATAAAGTTTATTTCTTTGTCTAATATACAAATTGGCTGTAACAGAATGTTTCGTGAGATAAGACCGCGTATTGTTATGTATTGTTAAAACATACTGCTTTTCACTTTGGATTTGTTCGCTGTGTGCAATAGTTATTATTATTGTACAATCAACATAGATTACGCTGAATTTTAATATAAATCTTAATAAACGTTAGTGGTTTACTACTGTCACTCAGGTCCTAAGTTTGATACAACATTATATAATTAAATATAAATTGACAATGTTTTTAGGTGTCTTCCTGTCTGTACTGTCTAACTTACTTTCGGGTAATAGAAATGTAGGTAACAAATCGGGTCTTAATACGAATAAATTTATGGTAATTGGGAGAAGTAAATAACTTATTTGTGATAATATTATTTGTGTGTGTACTAAAAGAAAAAATTAAAAATAACAAATCACTTTCGCTATAGTTTGAGAATATTCGGCGAAAGTATTGCATAGTTGTACTAGATAGTGAATTATGTAATATTTGAATCATCTTCAAATCGAGGTCGGTTTTTATAGTTAAGTATAGGTGTTTGTTATATGTGCGGGGCCATTGTTATTTGTTAGTCAATTAATAGAGCTCTAAATAATAATTATTGTTTGTTGTAAAAGTTTTATTCATTTAAAAATAAACCTAACATTATTTCAATTATGATTGTTATTTCATTCCTGATTTGTTTACACAAGATAAGTTTTCATACACATAATCAACATCTTTATTTAGGTAAATCATATTAGTCTTGCTGGTCTAGCGGTTTAGCAAAATGCGGATTCGATTCCTGGCACGATAAAAATATTTGAATTCGTGAGTATGATTGTTTGTATTAATCTGGGTGTTTTCTATGTATTTCTAATATATTTACAATAGTATATTTAAGTATTTCTATCAATTATTTAGGGACTATAAGACATGCTGGGTAAAATGCCCTAGGTTATGAATATTATCTTAATTGTAACTGTATTTCTATTCTGTACGTGAGGTTGTCACCTACTTTTAAACGGTTGGACTAACTTGGATGATTTCAAAACACAATTGGACCCGGTAGGTGAATTTTTGGAGTAAGTTATGTAATTATTTATTACCTAAACTGGTTGTCTACAGAATCTACTATATTTTTTTATCTATATCAGTCTTTGTAAATGCTGTAATTCTTGCTTCTTTGTTAGTAATTTTTCCCTATCCGAAACTTGCGTCCACTCTGATACAGTGTTTAAATAATGACTATTTGAACATTTCTCTTCCATTTTAAAAACAGCTTCTTCTAACTTCTTTATTTTTTTCTCCACACGATTCCTTGCAGTTGATATTATATTTTCAATCTTATCGCCAACAATTTCAATATATAATTCCGTATCTTTATCTAATATACCTCTTACATAATTCTTATTAGTGTCCGTCTCATATACCAAATTGCTACACCGAGTTAGATGCAACACTACTGGTTTAATGTTTTCTATATCATCCACTAAAGTGCCATCTGATGTTTTAACACAAATCGAATGTCTCGATTTATTTGAAATATTGTACAGTCCCTTCAGTTCTCTAATTAAATTAACAGCTCCTAATAATCTATTTGTTTGTTTCTCTAAACTACTATTCTTCCATATTCTAAAGTCTTCCGTTTTTGGAAATTCTAAATATTTCTTATTAGCGTCGTTAAAATTGTATATAATATTAGTTTCTAATGTTGGTACCTTTGGTATTAATTCGTCAGTAATGTAAACCATAAATGGAGCCAAACACCTTAAAGATGTACTTAAAACTGCAGATAAAGTATGCGCATGAGCATAACCCATTTTTACATCATTATCGAAACCTGGCTTAGTGGCTTCTAAATAAACATCACAAAATTCATTATACATGAACGTTCTCAGAGCTTTGGTTGCCAAATGGAAATCATAACTGTCCATAGATGTATTCACGATTTCCACCATCTCTGACAGTCTACTAAGGATCCATTTGTCGAAGTGTGTCAAATCGTCACGCGTTACACTGCCATCGTAGATTTTCAGTTTAGCATAAGATAGCTGCATGTACTTTATGCTCTGCCAGATTTTATTGCAGAACAGTTTGTTTGCGTGACATTGATGAACGTCAAAACTTACAAAATGCGACTTTATGTCTTGTGAAAGGAGTGTAAATCTCAATGCGTCCACACCACACTCAGGAATGCCTTTTGTTCCGGAATAATTACTTTTGTGGTAATCTAAAGCTCTTTTAACTTCATCTTTCGTTAATACTCCTTGTTTGTGCATAGCGTAAGTTTTATCCTTAAGTTGTTCCATAGATACGCCATTTATAACATCAATGGGATCGATTACGTTGCCTCTGCTCTTAGACATTTTAGATCCTTTACTGTCGCATATTATACCGTGTAACAGCACATTACTAAATGGCAATTTGTCTGTTAATTCCAAGCCAAGAATGACCATTCTATTCACCCAGAAGCCGAGTATATCATGACCAGTCGCCATTAGGCTTAATGGATAGAATTGTTTATAATCATCATTAGAATGATGGTTTGGCCAACCTAATGTTGCAAATGGGTATATGCCTGATGAAAACCATGTATCTAGAACATCTGTGTCTCTATCACAATTAATAGAATTCGGTAGTGTCCTTAAATACTTGGATGCTTCAGTTTTTGCTGATTCTTCATCAGTAGCAGCTATCCAAATTATATCTTTATCTACGCTACATTTGTAAGCCGGTATTTGGTGCCCCCACCATAATTGTCTAGATATACACCAATCTCTATCATCATTTGTCCAATGTAACCAATTATTGACAAATTTCTCAGGCATAATTCTCAATTTTCCACTCTTGACATATTCTGATGCTTTCTCATTTAATTGACTGCATGATAAGAACCACTGCTCCTTTGGCAAATATTCAATTACATCACCAGTTCGACTACATGTTGGTAAAGTCATTTGATGTGGCTTCACTTCTCTTAAAAGTCCTAAATCGTTCAATGTTTGGACCAATATTTGTCTACATTCATACCTGTGAAGCTGATTGAACCTATCGGCGTTCATGATGAGACCATCTTCGCCTATCACCTGCAGTAGCGGCAAGTTATGTTGTTTCCCTATATCATAGTCTACTTTGCTATGTGCTGGAGTTATTTTGACAGCACCAGTTCCAAATTCCACGTCGACAAAATCGTCGGCTAATATTGGTATGGTATTCTTCCTGAATGGATGAATCGCCCTTTTACCTATAAGATGTTTGTACCTAGAACAAAAAAATGAAATTACCTAATATCACCCTAGGTTTCTTAAAGTATAGACTGAAATGTACAAATTTACGAAAACGGTTTCCGTACATACACACAGTACCTCTGCGAACAACTAGATGGCGCTGTACAAAGTATTAATACAAATACTTATTGATATAAAATTAATTAATAAAGGATAATCTATACGATTTTCTTAATAGAACAAAGTAATAATCATATTAACTATTATAACTAAAGATACTTAAATGATAAGTAGAAAAATTTGTATTGTATAAAGCATGTTAATTTACATACATATAAGTATCATGGAATATGAACTAGATGGCACTGTACAAAATTGAAACTCGGTTATGTTTCGTTTTAAGAGAAAGGCTAAGTTAAAAGAATTACAGGTACTCGTTCAGTACCCAGTAATTTTCACTGTCTATTAATATATTTTTGGACGCCGCTACAAAGGTACTTTGTTTCGGCGCGTAAAACTTTAATAATTTGAAATATTATTGTTAAGCTTCTTTATAATACCATGTCATATACATAACATTTTTAAAATGTTTATCGCAGATTACGGTTACACAGCTAGATAGATTTCAATTAATTTTAGAACACACGTATAGATTAATTTAAACATAGGATATTTTTAACCTACTGCAAAAAAGAAGGTTCTTATTTCGACTGTATAGTTTTGGGTTATTTCACTTTTTTTCTATTTGATGATTCTTTTTATTTGATACTAGCTACTCGCCCCGGATTCGCCCGGGTGTACATGTATACATCTTAACCTTCCTTTTGCATCACTCTATCTATTAAAATAAACCGCTTTAAAATCCGTTCCGTAGGTTTAAAGATTTAAGGATACATAGGGTCGGACAGACAGCGACATCGACTTTGTTTTAAACTATGTAATGATGATAATTTGGTGATTCTTATGTAGTACTCATAGATTTGATCTTGATCGGAACATATCGTTACGCTTAATAAAGCGCGTGATATCGTTTTTATTATCATCATCCAGCGCGTATTTACTGTAATTTAGACAAGGGAAAACATTTTTTTTCATACATACCTGTCATCATTGGGGTGTACAGCAATAGCCGTATCACCGAGCATAGTCTCAGGCATTGTGGTAGATACTACAATTTCTTCACTACTATTATATATTTTATATGCAAATTGGTATATGAAACCAAACTTTACAGGCTTACTGTACCCTGGCAACAGTATATCTTTCGGCTCATTTATATTAATATTCTCTACTTCTATATCTGATACAGTTGATTTTAGTGCGTTACACCAATTTACTAAAGCCTTTTTTCTGTATATTAAACCTTTTTTGAATAATCTTATGAATGCTGTGTTCACTGCGTTTGTGTGTTTCGGGTCCATAGTGAAGGTTTGTCTAGACCAGTCTAAAGATACACCCAAAGTCCTCAATTGATTACAGATGGTGTTGCCATACTTCTCTTTCCATTTCCACACTTCTTTGACAAAGTTCTCCCTGCCTATGTCATGTCTGTTTTTGTTTTGTGTACTTTTTAAATATTTCTCGACCACTCCCTGAAAGATTTAATTACGAAAATGTGCTCATAGATTCGCATAATAAATAGAGGATCAGATTATTTTTTATTATTTTTTTATGTAATTATTAGCATATAAATATTACATTTAACAAGCTGGTGGGCTGTGTGAAAGAAAATATGCATAGAAGGAGATTAAGGTTAGATGCGACGGACGATAGGGATGACATACTGCGCCGACTCCAAGTCATCAAGGATAAAGGCAAGGCAATGATGATAAGCACACAGCCCTTTTTACCAAGGTTGTTTTGAAGATGAAGAAAGGTCTGTCCACTTTATCCACATAATTAAAATAATGAGTGATAGTGGCAGACGAAAGCTAAAGTGGGCCTTAAGCAACATTGTAATTCTGGGCCTATTTTTCAGTCATGACACATACTTTGTATTTGGTAGTTTTAAAAATTATGGACCCTAGGTATGTACCTAGGTTGCCTAGACCTTAGAATATCCCTGATTAGCGAGTATCACCATAAGTGTGGGACAATTCTGATTTCATACAAAGTTTAAGGACAGAAAATGAAGTCTAATCAACATATACCTGTGTAGCGATACCGGCATGGTCTGTGCCTGGTAACCACAGTACATTGTGGCCTAGGGACCTCTGTCTGCGCACTATGACATCCTGTACTGTACAAGCTAAGGCATGACCTGCAAAGTATAACAGCATGATTTGGCATACTAAGAGAGACAATTTACATTCAATAGATATCCTATAGTTGCAGAGCCCATCATGTGGAAGAAAGAGTCCGACCTTGACTTGTGACCCAAGTGTAAGTTTAAGGGGATGTACCTCAACACTCACTACTAATGTATAATATTTATATATGGGGATTATCAAAAGAAGCAATAAAAAATTCACACAGTGTCTATGAATATTCTTTCTTTTTTTCTACTCTTTCTTCTTGGTATAATCTGTTCAATTTCATAAATAATGCTGGCAGGCCACTGGCTTAGGCATAATATATTCTTTACGAGTTACCCTGTATATATTTTACTGCAATACAGATGTTTGGGGGTAAGAATTCTTTTGACCTAGATAGAAGTTGCAGAACTTATATTTAGGGTTCTCAAAAATTCTACAGACGTATTTTTTTGCTGCGATTTTGCCCATCCATCTATCAGAATCGCATATATCAAAAACTAATGTAATAGGCTTTTTACAATAGTGTCAAGTGTTAAGGTTAACAAGTAATTACTAACCTAAATGCAATTTTCCAGTAACATTTGGAGGTGGTAAAACCATACTGAAATTTGGTTTTCGGCTATTTTCCTCTGGTGTAAACAAACCACTCTCCTCCCATTGTGTATATTTATTTCGTTCAATAATTTCTGGATTATAAGCTGTGGCCGGTAAATCTTCTTTTTTTATTAAATTTGTAGTACCACATATATGCCGCCAATTTATATTACGGTGTAATGCCGTATAATTGCGACATGTGGATAACATTTTTTTTGCTATTATTTATAGTTTTTTCATACACTAAGACTATACCTACTATAATTATGGTAATCACTACTTTCTTTTATGTAATAGGTTACTTGTTTCAATTTAAATATAGCCCAAATGAGTTACGGAAAATGTTTTAGAATTTTCATTCAAGTTTACGTTTAACAATTTTATAAAAAATTGTAATTGCAATTTTGGAAATAATCTTTTCCATCAATCAGCTGTTAATTTTTGTTTTCAGTTTGATTGTCAAGTGTCAGTCAACATCAGTCATATCTTATCGGTTTTACTTTGCTTTTATAAATTAGAATTAGGCAAAGATTGCTAAACAAACAGTCTATTAACTTAATATTTTTATAATTAAAATACTAATTATGTTATTTATGATTATTAGTATGGTTTACGTTTGAGGATTATATTAATTAAAAAGAAGGAAATAGAAACTATTTCTATATGTAATAATAATTATTCATCTTAATGTTATTCTCGGAGGATATCAATGTCAAAGGTTACATTCAAAATGACAATGAATTTGGTGTCATTGACCTTGACATAGATAACAGTGTCAAATTTTTTGTTGTGTTTACATTTAGTAAATTATCATACTTCAGTCATATCTTTTTTTTCTCGTTAATTTGATCAATAATTACATTATTTGTACATTTAGTTCACTGGAGGTTACTTCTGCTGTAGTATTAATTTAATCGGACCTTATTTCCTTCACAATACACCAATAACAGGGCTATTTTTTATCTTTATTAACATGTGTTATCTACCTCCGAATAAAATAGATCCGGTTTAACTGTTCAATTGTATTGATAACGCATAAAAAAACAGTAGTCGAAGTTATAATTACGGGTATTAAACATGTCACTCGGGTCGCTTATCAATTTTATGAACCCGTTCAGAGTTTTTCAGCAATATGTGAGTTTGCCTGTGGAAGTATTTGTGTCTAGACAATATTCAGGTTATAAAAAGAAAACGGAAGAAGGTTTGACCAGTGTTAAGGAACTTCTGTTCAGGGCGGGAGTGGTTACAGTATTTTTAGCTGCAATAATATGGGTCTCAATATTCATGTACGTCGTATTTTATTACACGTACATGCCGAATGTTACACACGTGAGACCGGTTCATTTACAATTTAAGTAAGTATTTAAATAAAATTATAATTAATTACCTTACACGCGAAACTTCGTCACGGTCACAAATTCCCTCTTGTATGTTTGATGTCATATAGCTTTATAGCCGTCTTCAATAAATTAACTAATAGAATTTTAAATATAAAAAAAAACAATTTAATAGTACAAAATAAATATCATATTATCATTCCCCAAGTATGGTACTACCGCTTAAGCTAGGATAATTTAATTTAAATATATTTATATAGTTAGTTTTAGAAACCCGCTCAAGAGGCTGTCAACCCAGTTACCTGGGGGTTGACATGCCTGAAGTTGATGTCAAAGGGGTCGGTCAAAGGCTCCGAGTCCCCAACCTTTACCCCCCTAGGGTTGAGAGCAGTGCCTGTCCCCCTTTTTGCAAAATATATCATTACAACTGTAGCATAATAGATAGATAAAACAGTTAAGTAGTACTGGAGACTACCCTTCATTCTGAACTGACTCAAAACATTCATAGTCACAAACTTACACTCTCATAAATTAGTACACATTATAATTCAAGTTTACTTTTTATTGCATTTAATTTTTTAACGGGACACAAATGAAGGTAGACAATATGGGCATGAAATAAGTCTTCCCCTTAAGCCTATTGTGGCAATGTCAAGGGGATTAAATTACTATTTTCCAAAAAGAATGCTGTGGTCTTACCATAGTGCAAATAGAAATAATCTTTATTCAAAAAAACTTAATATAAGCACTTTAGAATAATTATATTTTATTATTCTACCATACATTTGGAATGTAGAAGCATTATAAGACGCATGAGCAAGAAACTTATCTGTCGCTCTTTTACATAAATGTTATTCAGCATTACATATATAAGATTTAGTACATTACTTACAATAGAGCCACTAGCTTGTTACCATTACTAACAATCTCCTACTCCCCTCTATTATATTATTATTATTAGGCAAAGGAACAGTACTGTCATTATTATTTGATATTATTAATTTCAAATATTCAACATTGATTAATTAACTTAACAGAAATCTATCGCTTCTTTATTTATTTGCTATTTTATATATTTGCTTTCTATTTGCTTATCTCATCATCCTCCACTGGTGGCCCACTGGCATACTTATGCCAATAATATAGAGCCACAGGCTGATGCAATTCACATCCATTAAAAAAGCTTGATTGTCCGAACATAGCCTTTCATTTGCACCATCCTATTTCAATAATAATAATAATCAGGACAATTCACACAGCGCCATCTAGTCCCAAGTTAAGCTAGCTAAAGTTTGTGTTACGTTTATTTTGTTGTGTTACATGTTGGCAATTCGTAAATTACCTCACATTGAGGGAGGGGGATAGGTCAGACATAAGAGGTTGGATGAGTCAAATAAAAAAAATCATACAATGTAGTATGTACTACCATCCTTACTTATTTGTTTCCTTTAATTAATGAAGTGTTACAAACAAATTCCTACCACCCTTCTAGGAAGTGTCATACATTTTGAGATATAACATTTAACTATAAAATGTCATCAGCAGTGACAAAGTGACTGGAATTTGTATGACCAAATTTTTGGATCACCTTATACCACCTTATACATGTTTGTTTACACAGATCATGCGACGAATCAATGGGGGTGTGTTCATTCCCTTCAGCTCACGTGCAGTTGACGCGACGCAGCCAAATGCTAATGTCTGGCCAGTCTTACCGCATCAAGTTGGTGCTCGACATGCCTGAGTCACAGACTAATAAAGATTTAGGTAAGTTTGTTTAAAATAAAATATCTCATTATTGGCTTTACCTGAGAAAAATTATATCCTCATAATATATAATAATAATACATGATGATAATAGAATGGTGCATGCGGTATCGGTTTACTCTGAAGGATAATATGATGAACATGAGGTCAGGTCAGTTAACTCATCGACAAAATCACCAGGCATTTATCACAGTGGATTCCATGGGTAGTGGAACCGCGTCGGGGTCAACCTAACATGGTACATTGTTAGCAATGAGATCTAGAAGAATTTCCTTCCTTTCCTTTGAAAAATATGTATGATATTGTGGAACGAACTTTTCTCTGGAAATTTTCTCGAGATTTTCCGAGATTTTCTCTAGAGGTTGAGGACTTTGAAGAAAAGAGTAACGCGCTCGTAACACCCGTGCTATTTCAGGCGTCCATAGACTACAGTAACCGATTACCATCAGATAGACCTTAAATTTGCTTGCTACCATTGTGGTATAAAAAGTGCGTTTTATTTCATAGGAATGTTCATGGTGTGTGCTCAGATGCGTGCCAAAGGAGGTGTTCTAGTGTCGTCCTCGTGCAGGGCGGCCATGCTTAGACATCGGTAAGTTTATATGTCTACTATCTGTGTCCACGACTTCGCGCAGCGCACGCCACGGATGCCCTCAAATATCTCCGTCTTTGCAACATTTTTCCCTGATGCTTCGTTTCTATTGGTCGTAGCGTAATGTTATAACTATCCTCAATAAATGAACTATCTAACACAAGAAGAATTTTAGAATTAGAACCAGTAGTTCCTGAGATTAGCGCGTTCAAACAAACTCTTTAACTGTATAATATTAGTATAGATATATAATATATATTTATCAATATACTTTCATCTGAATACTATACTTTCATTCTGATGAATTGTTTGACATAATGCCTACGGCTACCTTTTACATCGCACCGCTCGCCATCGACAGGGAATTCATCCCCACAGTGCGGTTTCAGAGGAGTTTCCTCCCGCGTACACTTAGATTGTGGAATGAACTACCTGTCTAGGATTTCTCGAGAGACTACAGCATGGGGTTTTTCAAGAAGGGTATATTAAGGGTTCTTAAGGGTTTCTTCGCGTATGTGACGCCCCTGGTGTTTCAGGCGTCCATGGGCTGCGGTAACCGTTTACCATCAGATGGGCCGTATGCTTCTTTTTTCGTGATATAAAAAAAAACTTTCACACATCCATACTCCGCTGGGTATTTTTGAATCCAACGTGGACAGACCTACCACGGTCTCTCAAATTAATGTAGGTTGTAAAATTGTCTTAAATTAATGTAATGTAGGTGTTTTTATCACCGGGGAGTCGATTACACAGACAATGGACAATTCACACAACGCCATCTAGGCTAAAGTTAAGCAGAGCTTGTGTTACGGGTACTAATATACATAGAGGGGGTAAGAGCATTGTTAGTTATGTGGGCTGTTGACCCCATTGAAATGTACCATGTCAGTTTGACCTTCCCCTGAACATCATCATGTTCAAATCTCTCTAACTGACCTGACCTCATGCTCATCCTATTATCTTGCACTACTGTCCCGCCAGCGTAAACCATTAGCGCTGGCGGTAGCACCATTCCATTATCAGCTATAAAAAAAAACCCATCGAAAATAAAGCAGTGTGCTAAACCCCTAGACTGCTGAGGCCGTCGTTTAATATAAGTTTGTTTATTATTATATTTTGTTTACCAGATCTATAGTGCATTACATAATGCGGACCCTCACGCTGGCCCCGATTTTCATAACTGGACTCGATGAGGAGAAACAGCAACTGCAAGTGGAGTTGTTCAGCGACTTCGAGGACGACGAGGTATTTGTTTAAGTTAAATTGCATTTTGGTTTCTTTTGTTAAGACAACATTAAGATGGCGTATTTTAAAATTCAAGGTCCATTAATAAATTATGACACACTTTAAGGGGATGGAAAGTCTCGACATAGTGTGACAAGGCGTGAAAGGGGTCGACAAAGTGTGACAAGCGTGGAAGGGGTCGACAAAGTGTGACAAGGGGTGGAGGGGGTCGACAAAGTGACAAAAGATGGAGGGATCGACAAAGTATGACAAGGGATAGATGGGAGTCGATAAAATGTGACAAGGGATGGAAGGGACCAACAAAGTGTGATAAGGGATGGAAGGGGTCTTAACTTACATAACGAGGCGAACCCTTTTGCCCCGGCATCTTTTCCAAAAGCAACTATTCTCGGGGCTCTGGCTTCAAGCCTTTTTTTAGAAGACTGGTGTCCTAACGTAATATGTTATATATAGGGGTATATTTTTATTAATTATTATTTTGTAGTTTTGCTCACATTCTCTCTAATTAGTATTGATTCCATATTAAAAAATCCAATAAAGAATGTATATGGATTTTTTCACCTGTATTCTAGAACATACCAATAACGGACGCATACGTGGAGGTTCAGAGTCGATACGCCCAGGTGTATGGCTGCGAGTTGCACGTGGAGGCACACTTCGCCGGATTGCGCTATTACATGTTCCACTGGCCCAAAGTCTCCGCTGTTATCGGTATGTCTAAGAAGTTAAATATACAATTGAAAATATCACCAAATTAAAATATTAACTATTCACCGAAGATCGAGTTAATTGTTTAAATTAGATGCATTAAAAGTATTCACAAATTTAAGTATTGCCCCCTTTACGGTGTATTATTTTCAACTTTATATATAGCTATATATAGCGTCTATGTAACAACATCTTCTATAAAGTCTTCATACTAATTACTCTAGCAGTTTTTGCGTAAAACCTTAACACTGGTAACACCATTTTTTTTAAATATTATTTTTATTTATTCGACATACAAAACTGGATGTCTTACAGAGAACATAATTTATACAGATGAATCTGTATCTATGAAATAAACAGAATTATGTAGTTCTAGTATCTATGAAATAAACTATAGACACGGCATGCATTGCACAATTTATCTCTCATTATCACCGATTAAAAAAAATGTATTGTTCCAGGTATCAGCTCCAACCTATTTTTTGTATCCTTGGTGTTCATATTGAGTTGGTATCACTTACAAGACGGATTGCCCGAGTTTATAAAGGTAAAAAAAAAATACTCAAATTAAAGAAATGAGGGTAGATTAATGGAAGGCGTAATGTCATGTAGAAGATATTTCAGCGTAAACCGATAACGCAGATCGGTGTACCATATCATAGTCATCAATTAAAACTATTACTTATCTTTACATGGTATAAAATAAAGTCGCTGTCGCTGTCTGTCCCTATGTATGCTTAAATCTTTAAAACTACACAACGGATTTTGAAGCCTTTTTTTTTAAAGATAGAGTAATCCTAGAGGAAGGTTTATATGTATAATAAATGTACACATGGGCGAATCCGGGGCGGGTAGCTAGTTCATACATAAAATACATATTTGTTTTGTATACATATTGATGTTGGAAAGCGGAATTACCGTAACTTGAAAAATAAAAACATTACAAATATTCTTTTATGTAGGTGAAGAATCTTATTAATATTATAAATGCCAAAGTTTGTGAGTATATTTATATTTTTATACTATTTTTCATATCCCTAAGTGATAAGGGTTGTCCACCCGTAACATTCATTGGACAATATTTTATTTTTTATTATGTGACGTTAAATATACATATCTACAACCCTAAAGTTTCACCCTTCTACCATCAACCCCTATTTTTTAATAACGAGTTTAATATATATGGCAAAATAAGTTTGTCGGGTCAGCTAGTATTATATAATATGCATGACAATTATATACTTTAGATATCTTTAGAACAATATCATTATATATGACACTTTATCCAAAATTGTATTATATCCGTATTTATAATCGAATCTCTATTGATAATCCACCCGATAACAACTATATCTAGAAATTAGAGATTCAATATTGAATTCCCTTATAGAATGCAATCAATAAATTATTCATTTTCGATATAGCCCACGGTAACAAAGTGTTGTGTTTCGCAGAACACACATTTAACATGAATTTTCAGTTAAATTTTGACATTTCCTAATTATATCCATGAAACGGATAATTAATATCCGTTTTAGAGTACTTAGGGAATGGCAATACAGAATTAAACCCAATATTACATTAGTTTTAAAAATTCGCCTTATACGAAGACCTCAAAAGTATCGTATACTAGCTTTTACACGCGGCTTCGCTCGCATTGAATCTATTAAATAAAAAATATTTGTTTTTTTAAATAAAAAGGTTATGATCATATATATGTTCATTTAAATGCCTCCAAGAACACGTGAACAAAATTTCATGATGATAGGTGTAAGAATTATAAAAACTATTTTGTAATTTTTTTAATTTCGAAAGCGCTACGCATTCATTTGTTTTATGAATAAAAATATTAGAGGGTATGAAAATATCATCATGGCGTTTCATTTATCTCCACAATTTTAATTATCATACAATCGGTTCAGGAGTTTTTGCGTGATAGCACTTTTACATCTATAATATTAGTAAGGATTGTGTAAAATAGGTTATAAAACATCGTATATTTCTAAATCTCATACAAACTTGATGATACCCTAATAACGAAGACCTCGTACGGTTGGCATCGCGCAGGAATATACTTTTTAAGACTATGATATATACCTTTTTTTTTTTCAGAATAAATTTGGAGGTGAAACAAAGACTGAGCAAGACGACGATGAGAAGCGAGGCGGAAAAATTAAATTAGAAAAAGAAGGTAAATTTATTTTCTTACATGAACCATAAGACATTCTGTAAATGTTTTATCAAATACTAACTGTAACAGCGGTACACGCTCGCGACTTATAGCCTATGTGTTATTCTGATGTATAAGCTATATTACTGTAAAGTTTCATCAAAATCCGTTGAGTAGTTTTGGCGTGAAAGAGTAAGAACAATGGAAGGATTTTTGTTTCCATACTTATAAAATTTCCAGATTATAATATTAGTAATATTACGTCAATATTAATGGTTAATATTTTAATAAAAGTTACGCAAATTAATACCTTTATCGGTACACACAATTGAGGAGAAATCTACTAAGTAAATTAATCCTATTGAGTAATTTTTTATCTCAAACCAAATGAAATCACCAAAAATAAGAAACTAAATTTAAAGGTTAGATATTTTTCGGATTTACACCACAGCTAAATAGATAAACTTTGTTTTGTAATTAAAATTACTTTGATCGTGTTGTATTTTTAAAATCTCAAATATCTAAATAATTAAAAAACTTAGTATATAATGATTTTTGCGTCTCAGTAGTAATGCAGATTTAGTTGAATAAATGGACCACTGGCAAAGTTTAGATTTTGTGTGAAAAATACAAAATAGCCAAATTCTACAAAAATTTAAAATAAATTTACAAAAAAAAAATGTAAAAAATATTCTACCTAATATTTTTTAGAACTACATTTTTGGACCTCACGACAATTATTTAGATTTCATTTAACTTTGATATCTGTTAGGTACATCGATAGATTGTCATAAGAATAATAATAATAATATCTCAGGCCAACACAGCGCCATCTAGTCCTAATCTAAGCAGAGCTTGAGTTATGTGTACTTGACAACGGATATAAATTACATAGAAAATACCCATATCGATACAAACAATCGTACCCATGAATACAAATATTTGTACCGTGCGAGGAATTGAACCCGCGACCATTAAGGCGGTGTGTTAAACCGTTAGAACACCGAAGCCGTCAAATGAATATTTTTTTAAACCTGTTTCGTTTCTTTTGATCCTTATCTGCTGTTTTTAGGCCTGTACATTTGTAAAGTCATACGCTTTAGTTTATCGTAATTGTTCTATCTATATGGTTTAAAAGGTAAGATATCGTATTTAATTTATAACATTAGAATGCAAACGAAGAAATTGAAATTATACTAGAGTTTTATTTCGTGTTTGGTCTCTTGAATTTTGTTAGGTATACACTACCGTTTCGCCAGTATTGGTAATAAAAGAATGGTGAATGAAGATATTTTTCCTTTATTTGGCTAGAGGCTATTGTTGCCTACTATGCCACTAACAAACAAGAAACGGGACGGGATAATGGAAAGAAACGGGTTAAATTTTGGAATTAGTTAATAAGGAATTACTTAAAAAGAATTAATTTAGCCACAGATTATTTTTTAGTGTTGTAGTTATTTATTAATAACAAAGTCGCGTTACCTATTAATAAAATGTAATGTTCAAGAGAGTACGTTAGTTAGTGATGTATTTATGTTTAAACAAATTCAGGTCTGTGGCCGATACAGTGTATACTATGATATCCATGGTGTTTATGTCTATACATCGGACATGTCAGCTTGTTGTCTATTCCCAGTAATATAAGTTTTGTCTTTATCCAAAGAATCATCCGGTGAATACATAATTTGGATGGTACGAACATTTCCATCAATATATATCTTATTAGATATATCCCGTCGCTAATAATACAGATTATATTACTCACAGATAAGGCATCATGATTATTAATTCCAAACACAGTATGTTTATAAAATTTATGTGTAGTAACTAATCATGTATATAGGTGATGGTTATCACTTACCATCAAGTGGATCATCAGCTTCCAGTTACATAAAAAGAAAACAGAAAAAAAGTATACATATCAGGCTTTTCTTATCACCAGTTCCCAGTCCGCCAACAGAATTAACAGGCATATCGTACTACGTACGGTATTCAACGGAGTATGTATCGAATACAGTGATCGTCACAAAAATCTTGGAATACACTTCAATAGAACACTATGTCAGTCGCCTCAAATCTATGGAGTAAGTAGGAAAATATTGGGTGTCGGTTACGGCGTTTCATTAATTACGGTTGTCACAATTAGCCCGGCCACACATTTCCGATAATACGATACCGTTCGATTGATGCATCGGTCGTTGCCCCGCCTTTAGAAATGCGCCGTTGGCGAGGTTCGTCCGGACTTAATACAATAATTACTAAATGGATTTATATTTAATTTAATTTTGTTTAAATTTGCTACGAATGGCATGTGTGAGATAAGAGTTTTTGCACTAAACATGTTAATGGTATCGAAATTAAACAAAATAATACATATCTATTAAGTAATTAAATTAATTTTCGTAAAAATACACCTAATTCGTTCTAAAACCTATAAATAATGTGGGTCTAATCATAGTACCACATACATATACGATTATAGTCGGACGAACCGCGTCGACGATGCCATTAGATTGGCGTACCTATAGGTACACCCGGCCTTTTTAGGAAATGCGCCAATCGAACGGTATCTTTCATGCCTTATTTCATTTCCATACAATCGTATTAGTACAACGGCTTCCAAAATGTTTTCGCCTGTATTCTGGCATCTTCTCTCTTATCCGAAGAGCAATAAACTAAAAAACAAATATATTCACCCATATTCAAGTTAACACATTAAATTGACTCAATTATTTGCCTTTAGTGCATGTTTCCATTTGTTAGTAGTTAGCAGCATGCCATAAATAATAGGCACGGACTTTGTAGTATACATATAACCTAATAATTCTAATAATTCAATACAATTCACACAGCGCCATCTAGTTCCAAACTAAGCTGAATTTGTAGTATGAATACTAAACCAATGATATAAAATACTGAAATATATATATTTTGTAAATACATATTTTTTATAGAGAATATCCAGACTAAAACTAAAAATAATTCTCATTAATACAAATGTATGTCTCGTACAAGAATCGAACCGGCAACCGTTTGTAGTTAGTTAAAGTATAGGAAATAGCGCCAAGAGATATTCAATTCAATTGTTGTTAACATCTTGGTATTCTACTTGATAATTTATTTAATATTTTTTTTTATGGCGAACAAACTGACGGTCCTCTGATAGGATTACCACTTATAGACATAACACCATGGACAACTCAAATATATATTGTAGGGCCATGAGTAAGGCTTGTAATCACATGGACATCTAGTTACTCAAATGCGCCAATACGAGAGTCCATAAGTCTAATTTGATCAGCAAACCAACTGTATGTAAAAATTATTGTATACGGACCTAATATGTAAAAATTTTGTTTTTTGTCACAATTATACCTAATACAAAGTTTTACGCTTAGTGTCTACTAGATGGCGCTATTCATATTAATAGAATGTTACATTTTTTATTAGGTATAGTGACTTTTATACAGGGCTAGAGCTATATATAGTACATTAAGCCGAAAGCCAGGGTTGGTATTAATATAACTGAGGAGTTTACCAAAAAGAGTAAAGCGGAAAACTGGAATCGTGATCCATTATATGAAAAGTTCAAAGTTTGATTTCGGTTTTCGCTAGCTGTCTGTGCGACGCAGATCTTCAAATGGTGTTCCATGGAGACTATCTCAACTAAACTATATTTATCTTTATTATGTAAAATTTATTGTCATTATCCTAAGAGTTTCCCATATTCAGTTTTGTTGTTAATTTTTTTGAAACGACTTGTCTGTATAAAAATTGCAATTTGTTGGATGCCAACAATTCCACATATTTCATAAACGCCATCAAAATGTAGGCTTCTTTTTAGGGAAGGAAATTAGCGTGGTGTCAGACACTCGGTTAGCCGTCAGGTTCGTTCCGTTTTACACATTTAATTACTACACCAACCATCTCCAAACTCATTCATTTTACATACGTTTCCATTGGACGTAGCAAACAAATACGCCAATTGGAGTTTATCGGATGAATAGTTGCAATCGGCCAACCTGACGGTCGACCTTCTGTATGTGACTAACCTTAACATTTATGTCTGTGTATGTCTGTTTATCTGTCTATGCCATCGTACCGTCCAAACAATGGATTTCGATGCGAGTTTTTTTGTTTCCTTTAATCGGTGTGGTACAGCTAAAATTACTTATATTCACGACTGTAACCCAAGATGATATAGTCAGAGGCATTGTTACTGTTGACGTCGTGATTAACACATAACATATCCATATTATTTGAACATATTTGGATCCAGCGTGTACAGTCAGTTTTATTTGATTTATTATCTGTTTTATTGGAGAATCAAGCGGGGATTATAAATTAAAACCAAGTTTTTCAAATCGGGTTCGCAAACCACTACATCATAACGAAATGTAGTAAAAATAATAAAACAAATGAAAATGTTTTATTTTTCTTTTAGATTCCTCCCCGTTCTTCGAAGGAGACATTCTTCTAGAAGAATTGCAGAGGATTGAGGAGCCAAAAAAGAAGAGTTAAAGAGACTGCTTATTATATATAGATGTATATAATTAAAACCAGTGGCGTAATTGTACCATCTAATAAAAAGAATTTGTCGAATGAGTAATGAGAGGAGTGGTCACTCATCTTTATCTAAAAAAGTTTTGATTTATTGCTTCTTACAATTTACAGAAAACAACAAATTCAAACTTTTTTATACATAATATTTTTTTAGTAAATCCATATATAAAATACGTAGTAACCGGTAGCTAAGATATATGAGAAAAACTGTAATTAACGTAATAGAACCCAAAATAACAGTTGGTAGAATTTTTGCTTGTGTGGATGCAATTTTTAATAGGTATCAATAATTGAATGTTTGTTTTATTCGCTTTGCCGCTCGAACGGAGTTGTGAACTCAGCTAGTTAGTAATAAGGGATAATAATTGCCAGCTGTATGTTTTAAATGCATCGCGTACAAACTACGGCGTGGAATTAAATGCAGTTTTCATCGATGTATTGCTAGAGGTCTATATTTTTATTTTTTATTGAGGGGTTTGTACTATTGTCAGGTGCTTAGACCTGTAGCATTGCGACCTATATAGATCTATTGTACTCGTCCCTTTTTCAGAGTTCGCTACTTAGACCCGTCAGGGATAAGAATTGAAGGATATTCTTAGGAGCGATGGCTTTTATCTCCTCAGGATAGAGTGTATACTTTCCAAAGGAGATATTTCGTTTATGCATGATGGGCTACAACCACATAAGATGTGTAGTAGCTTTTCCTCTTCAGTTTGGCAAAATCTGCAGATTGCAGACGCCAGAGGGTTTAACATATGCTCTATTTAATTGCAAAAAAATCTTTTACTGCGTGCGGGGTAAGGGCGGGTCACTAGTTATAATAAATGTTAGATTCTTCCTATGCTTGCGACCTGCTGAACCGGGGTCCTTCAGCCCAGGAACACCTGGTATATTGCCTACTTTAGCACCATATTCTTGCGTCAATTAAGTCTCACCAAAGCTAATTGGGTATTTAAAAATGCGTTTTAGGAAAATTTATTCAATTTTACCAAAATTTTACCAAAATAAATTTGTTATAATTGTTATTTCGTTTTAATGAGTTTAAATTATTTAATAGTTTTTGTGCCTTGTATCTTATTGAAATTGAAAATAATATAGAGTGCATTCAAATATCTTTATTGTGGAGCACAGATCATATTCACATAATAAAAAAGGTATTAAAAAGTATATTCTGCTCCTTGAACATGTAAAATTATATAGAATTAATTAATTGTTAAAAAAATTATTTATGTATATTTTTAATTTGTTAATATTATGAAAAAATTTTACACGCCAGAAACGGCAGGGCGGAACAACGGAAAAATGTTTGGAATAATTATAGTTTTTAAACCATTATGTGCACACGTTCCAGTAATTAATTTGAATTGAATTGATTTATAATTTTTTGCTTATATAATTGAATTTGAAGTCTGGATAACTGTTATAAATTTCAAAGTGAGAATGATTATATATTTAATGCACAAACTACTGAACTTATTCGGATAGGGCATGGCACAGAGATAGATTATCTCTGTGCCATGCATCTGTGAATCGCAGTGTGTTCTTCAGTAATTTCATTACGTATATCATATTTATAGTCGTCTCAGAAATAAAAAAAAATATATAATAGAACAGTAGTCTATGCAATATTAATTACTGTACCAGATTAGATGTAAAGGGTACATTAAGCCAAAAGTCATGTATCTGAAAAAGCTTCACCAATAAGTGATAATAAAGAGGTTAATTTTATACTTTATACAAAGTTCATCGTGCAGTTAGTATTTTTGTTTTGAATAAAATAAAAATAAAAATGTTTTCTCTTTACTATCTTATTTCATGGGGATAATTGTCCAGTTTCAGTCTCACAGTAAAGACTCGGTCTATTTCGTCGATTAAATAGAAAAAATGGCATTTTTCAAAGTTAGAAGCTAGAATTGCCTCCTTTTATATAAGTCAATTAAATTAACCACGCCGTCTTAATCATTACATAAGTACTTTTAAAATGATACATAATACTTCTGTGTAAATATAAAACTTTAAAGAAAATAATTTAAATAATTTTAAAAACTTTAAATGCTTGTTTTGTAAAAAATGTATATTTTGAATACTGCCATTTTTCTATTTAACTGACGATTTTATAGACTTATCCATTACGACTGAATCTGTATAATAGAAAAATAATAACTCAGGACAATTGATACAATACCCATGCATGATAGATATAGAAAACACCCAGACCGATACAAATGATCATACTCATAATTGCATTGTACGAGGAAGCAAATCCGCGACCATCGTAAGCTACGCGGTGTGCTAAACTGCTAGAACACTGAAGCCGTCAAAATAGAATCGTTTACAGGATAGTAGAATGCATGACATTGCATATTAACTAAGGTTTAAAAAAACATTTATGTGATATACATATAATAGTAAGATGTAATACATCTAGAGAATGAAATATTGTAAATAGCCCATTAAAATAAACTTTAGAAATTTGTATTTGCTATATAAAACAAGTATTTTTTAATGTTCAAATTAGAATAAGTAATTTCATAGACTATTAAATATATTTTCATAGAGTAATGAAAATTTTAAGAGAATTGATGTAATCTCTGAAAGTATTTTCTTTACAATAGTCTATTGAATGACAGGTATTTAAATGCCTTAATTTTTTTACAAATAATTAATACTATACCAAATCATCTGGCCAGCGTGGTAATGGTTATAATGATATTGATATAATTTTTTTAATGAAAAATGATAAAAGATTTTTAAAGATGCATTCTATTCGTGACAATTAGTGATATATGTAATAATAAAAATTGAATTCTTAATAAAAAAAAATATATATATATATATGTTTGTTTTTGGACTTTTATTTCATGTTGTAACAAAACAGATGTATTATATATCCTGTCTATATGTTGGTACCCAAAAAGTCCCAAACGGCATTTGCATGCAATTTTGTACCTATTTTTCAATGGGTTCCTAGAAGATTAGAAAATAAAATTGAACCCATTATGTCCGTATGGATGACGCTGCGGTCGCTTCCGGACAAGATGACGTCTGCCAAGTACCGGACTTGAAAACTTGACCGGAGTAAGATGGAAGAAAGACAAGACAGTTCACAATGCTTCTGTTTACCTTATCTGAGATAACAGGCGTGAAGGATTTTTTTGTTGTATATATATGTATGTACAACATGGAACATTTACTGAAAGTCTCAGTCTTTAAGTCCAACGTCAAGATTGCAACATAATGATAAAACAGTCCGATAAACCTCTATTAGTTAGCGAGGCTTTATAATAGATTTATGAATAACTCACCTCTGTAAACCTCCAATAGCGCTAATAAACGTTTTAACTAATGAGCTCTATAAACCTTCAATAAGTTTTTTTATGAATACCACCGTTAGTGTATTTCGCAACATTATTTCAGACTGTAGTAATAATTGGGAACGCCTTACCGTATTTTTCTGTAATACATACTTGTTTATCAATGACTCACGCAGCTAAATTTGAATCTACATGTTTTCCCCAGCTGTTCGTAAAAATAAATCCAACACGGTACGTTAACGGATAAACAAATAAAGCATACAATTTAAAACTAAATATTTATTCCATTTTTTTTTATACATTTAGTAATTTATTTACAACCATTGTATTAACATCTAGTTTCCATTAACCACATTTATATATAATGAATATGTGTCTATAATTATATTAATATAAATAATTAATAATACAAATTTAATGAGCAATTTGTAACAGATTTAGTTCCTTTCTGTTTCGCCGTAGTCTACAAGTATATCTAATAAACCTTTTTTTTTAACATTAATCATAACAAAGTTCAATTTGATATAATTTATAGATACCAATATTTTTAGTGAAAATATATATTATCATCATCAGCCTATAGAAATAGGCCTAAAATATATATAAAATATTATTATGCATATAACTAATATTGAGGTATAATAATAGTGTCTTTATAAACCGCTATGAATTATAATGAGTACACTCGGGCTATAACAAAATACATTAACTTAAAAATGACAAGTTATGGGAAAGCAAGTTTAACGCGTTAACTTTAAAGTCGAGATTTTAGAAACGCGACTTTAACGTGTTCGCTTTAAAGTTGGTTTTTTAATGTAATGCGAATTGAAACGACTGCACATGATGGTAAGTGGCAAGCGTCGTCTATATATGTGAACAGCATTATAGATATCATGTGATGCCCATGATACCACTCGTGCGTTGCCATTCCAAAGCAATCCAGAGTATTTATTATTATTCTCTTATCCTGTAATTTTACTACCTAAACTGCAACCTACAATCAAAACACATCGTACAAAGCAATCTGCTTGACATGCCGAATTTCTATTAATGTTTTTAAATATATCTTATCCACTTTGTTTCTTGGCGCTAATGATTCTAATTTCTGTAACACATACTTGACGTAGATGTATATATTTAATTATATATCTAAATATAATCTGATACAAAAATATATTTTATTAATTACTGATTCAATTTTGAGATTCTTAATTCCATCTCGTATATTCAAGTAAAATTTTATATTTACAATTTAATAATAATAAAAAAATCTTGAATAATAAAAAAAGTCTTGAATAATAAAAAATACAATTATTTCATGATCGAAATTTAACAAAATATCTTAAAAATTATACAAAACTAGTTGAATAATAAGCTTCAACTAGCTAATGCTCGTGACTTCGTATGCTTTGAATTAGTACTTCTAATATTGATTTATAATAATATTGTTCTTGGTTTTTATGAAGACTATCACTTACTGAAAAATTATTGATCTTTTTTATATTGTATCACAAGAACAGACATAGTTTGTCTCAAAAAAGCAGACGAAGCCGCAAGTAACAAAAGTTAGAAATAACAATCCAACATAATGTCAACATAATATATAGATCTGTGAATTAAAAGACTTAAATTGAAGTTAAACATAAAACGTATTTTTTTACTCGTAACCCTTTTAAAAAAGGTTGCATTTCCACTAAGGGTAGCGTGGTTTGCTACTAGCTAGTGATAAAACTTTTTTATGCTATTTAATTATTATTTATTTTATAATTAAAGCTGTTAAATTAATACTAATAAAAAAATATACCATTGAATTATCAATTTTTATATGGGAATAAAAATATATATTTTCATTAATATATTTATAATGAATAAAAGCACCATATTTATTATTTATGGCATTAATTCAGTTAAATATTCGTTATTTACGTATAATCTAATATAGACATATATATAAGCATATAGGTTTGATTGATAAGAGTGTCTTATCATTTCTTCTTGGTTTGAAACAACTTTTAGAACTGACGTTAAATTCGATTTATTATAATTGTCTGTAATCAGCCCTACATGAATAAAGATATATTGATTTGATTTATTATACTATATACATATTTGAGTAGAATTAACGATACTCGCTACGATTTTAGAAAGTGAACATATTTTTACATAATTTATTTGTTTAATATTGTTTTTTTTTACAGTTAAAAATTGTACACATTTTATAAATGGGATACTCAGTGAAGTCGTTCCGTTGTACTCTGGAAGCAAATTCGATTGAATACAAAATACAATTATAAGCTACTAGCGAGTAGCGACCCGTCTCGGCCTCCAACGGTTGCATTACGATTATTTGAATTTCTCGGTTTCTTCTATACCATAAAACACTTGTACTAAACATATAAACCTTCCTCTTGAATCACTGTATCCATCGCTGAGAGCTGCATTAAAATCCGTTGCGTAATTTAAAAGACATAAGCGAATAGAAAATGGTTGCGACTTTGTTTTATACTATGTAAAGATACGTGTATAAAAAATCAATATAGAAATATATATGTAGTAGCCGTATTTTTTAAGCTTATAAATAATGTTATCACTGAAAATATCCCGTTTATGTAATGAGTACAATTTATTTATAAGAAGTTCAAAACATTCTTTTTTACATTTTTTAGAGTAGCAATACCTTTTTATACATTAAATTCGGATTAAAATGTTTCCTACCTACTCACCGATGAAATAATTTAGCTCGCCGTGGAAGCATACCGCGATAGTGTTGGCAACACCATGCCGACGGCCTGAAAGAATTGGGCGATCTACGTGAGCTTGTTTACAATACCGTTCAGTTGTAGGAGCATGGAATGGGGGGAAATGGGATAGGGTGCGGTCGGTGACATTGGATTTTAAATATTATTGTCCTAAGCGTAAGGTGCAAATCATAAATTACGTCGCAGGTTAAGGAGACAGGAGGGGGTAGACAAAATTGTGACAAAAGGTGAGCGGGATCCTAAAATTCGTGATGTTGCATTGCAAAATCTAATATATTTAAGTTAACACGAAATTTGAAGTAAGTATCTTAACAATAGAATTAAAAATATTTAGAATTGATCTTGTTGTTTACTTGTGGATTGCAAAAATGTCACATCTGAGAATGAGGGAGTGTAACAAATGTGACCAGATGGGACATGAAGGTCCCTTCCTCAAAGGGTTCAAAAATTATTAAATTCAAATGACGTAATTTATGGCAATGGCAAACAAGCTTATGGCCTAAGTGACCACCAGTGAGTGAGTACCATACAGGTTTCAATTGTGTAGGTACGCTAATTCGTAAGTCAGTGATAGTATACAATAATTAACAACCCTGGACAATTCACACAGCGCCATCTAGTCTTAAATTATGCAGAGCTTGTGATGGTTACTAGACAACTGACAGAAATACTTTAAGATTTTTTATGTATATAACATACATACGTGGTTAAGACCCAGTACGATACAAACAATCGTACTTATAAACTAAACAAATATGAAAAAATCCCCAAATACGGTACTAGATTTTTTTGTCAGGTCAGGTTGACCTTCACGTCATTCCCCATAGAAACCATCGTGATACACCTGGTGTACTTGTCACGATGGGCCAAATGACCTGACCTCATGTTCATCTCATCATCTTTACAAACTTAAACAATGTCACCAGTGGCATTGTTTTAAAATATTGTTTTAAAAAAAGAATTTGATTAAAAAACTGTTTACCTCATTCTCAATTCTCTCGTCTTCGCTCCTGTAATGCACATCTAGGTCTGAACTGTTCACACTGTGCTCCCAATCTTCTGATGAGTCGATTGATGATCCGTCGATGTCTATTGGCGATGCGTCGACATCCGCTACGATAAATCAAAATTTATACATTTGTCTTGTATAATAATAATTTTTTATCAACACATATAGAAAAAAATACTAAATATACTGATCTGGCAATAGAACTAAAAATACAATGGCAGCTGGAAACAGTGAAAATTGATTTTGATGAAACTTTACAATAATACAGCTTAATCAGAATAACTTATTTTGGTATATGTACCGCATTCATAAGCATGTAGTAAAAAAACGGTTATTTCAATATTACAAACAGACACTCCAATTTTATTTATATGTATAGATGTATAGATTAAATAAAAAGTGCATACCCATAACGAGAGGATCATGCTCGTCATGCCTCATCGTAGGAATGGGGACCGGACGCAATGTAGTGGCGTTGATAGCTATCGTATGAGGGTCCAGTTGAAAGGGCAGCGGCCCCACCTGCGGGGTTAACGAACCCTCGTGCGAGGACGAAGGCTCCAGCGACACAGGCACGACTCGCAGGTCGTCCGGCATACGTTCGTCCGTGTATCGTATCAAGGGATGTTCCTATGGAATTTAAATATTGTTAGAATAATTCGAAACAGGCAAAATGTAAAATAAAGTTTTGATTACAGAGTACAACAAAATAAACTTGAAATATATGAGGATCACTGATTCGATTTCTCGCACAGTACAAACATTTGTAATCATGAGTATGATTGCTTGTATCTGTCTGGGTTGTGACTAGATGTTTGTTGAAACTAGATGATGTTGTGTGAACTGTCTAGGGGTTAGGGGTTATGTATATAGCCCTACATTGGAGGGGGGGGGGGTGGGGGAATTAATAGAGTGTTTTAGTCTACAGTTTACTTACTATGTACGGCTGTTGACATATTGGATTAGACCGTAAATCTATTATTTCTAATGCAGACAAGAAGACTGCATCCGATGGAAAGCTTGATATCTAAAACAAAATAGAAATCTTCATTAATCTTTATTAAAAAAAACTTAATACAAGCATATTTTAATAGTCAAATTTTTTTATTCTGTCACTCATAACGCAGAGCCATTGCAAGAAGAATTTAAAAGACACTCACGTGTTGTTCTTTTAAATAAATGTTGTTCTAAATAAAAAATAATGATTGGTTTGTTTGATTAATCATTTCGAAGATTATTATAAATAGATAAATATTCGTCCTATGCCGTTGGCAGCTCCAATAGTGAAAATACGACATCCTGAGCTAATGTTCAATCTTCTACAGGGACCTCATGTTAACATAGTTTTTATCAGGAGTTGACAAATTATACAGAGGCACTTCATCTTGTTAAAATTATTCACATCATCACCTTTAAATTCATCAATTATGAAGTACTAGATGTTACCTTAGCCTACACAAACTATGACCCTAGATTTTACTCCCTGCCCTACATATTTCATGAGATAATAAATAGCACATATCTGTTTTCATATTACTAATATTATAAACGGGAAAGATTGTGAGATGGCTGGATGTTTGTTACTCTTTCATGCAAAAAGTTTTACAGTAATATAGCTTATACATCAGAATAGCATATAGGCTATAAATTTCACACGGGTGAACCCGCGGGCACAGCCAGTAATATATTATCTTAATATCAAATTTATCTCCACACAATGGTTTAGTAGTGAATATGTAACATATTAACAGAAAAACAAACATACATACATACATGAAATATGAATATGGATAATTAACAATACTCTACTTAATGGTGTAATAATTATTTTATAGTATCATGTTTGTGTGGATATATTGCAATGGTTTTATTTTATATATATCTTACAAAAAAATATATTCTAGAATAATTATAAAAATAGTAATGTAAGCATAAATTGGACACTACATTTAGCGTCTCATCTGCGTGTAGAGTCTACTAAATTAGCCAGTTAAGCTCCTTATAGAAGCACAGAAGCCTCCTGGTGAATAATTTTAAATAAATAACTACAACAATGCTATAATTATTACCTCATTATTGTTGAGCAGTAAGTACATCAGATTACGGCACTTGAGGGCAGACATCGGACACTCCCTGAGTCTATTGTTGGAAAGGTTCAAATGTACAAGGGACTCCATCCAGTCCATTGTATTTGGCAATGTATCTATATGGTTAGTGTCCAGTGTTAGCCATCTGAAAAAAAAAGAGTATTCCACAATCAGCCTATCATCTGGGTTATTATAGGTGTAGAGCCGAGACTACTAATGTAGCCCGCCAAGCTCCTTCCAAAAGCTCAGAAGTCTCCAGGTTTCTTCACAGGCTTGTCGGAGCGACATAACTGTTCTGCGGATTTGAGTTTGTTGTGTGGCCACTGCTACACACTCCAGTATTATGTGAGGGGACTGTTTGTAGCATCTATTGTGTACAGGTGTCTGTTTAAGAGACAGTGGCCTGTTATTGTCCCTATCCTTATTTTAAGGTTTCTATCCCTATTTAGGTACAGTAGGTGTTTTGTTATTTGAATATTTATTACATAATCTGATTCATTGCCAAAAGTCTAAAAATTGCTGACCCTGAAATAAGTCCCGCACCATAAGTCCTTCTGTGGGTTTGGAGTGCCATCTGCACTTGCTCACTATTATCCAGTGAAGCTGTAAAGGCCAGCTTCGGCCAATAGCATTAGAGTAGTCAGAAAAAAAAAACTTACCTTAAAAATGGCAGTGCGGTCAATTCGCCAGGTATAGTCGTAAGTTCATTTTTTCTCGCGCCAAAAGTATCAAGTTTCATCAACTTTTTAATTTCATAAGGCAATTCCTTCAACTCTATTCTATTACACCACAACGCTTCTAAGTTTTCAAGTTCAAATATTTCAGGTATTAACACTTTCAACGGATTGTGGCTTATGTTAAGATTCACAAGGTTTTTTAAGCTACCAATTTCAGGTGGCAATGAATTTAAATTGTTATAATCGAGAGTTAGAGTTGTTAAGTTGATGAGTTGAGTTATTTGGATTGGCAGAGTTGTTATTTTATTTTTATGCAAATAAAGATGTTGCACCTCCAAACAAGTGCAAAGAAGGGCTGGAATTTCGGTGATTTCAAACGTATTGAGACTTAATTTTGTTTTTTTCTTAACAATGGCATCTTCTATTACAGCTAACAGATGATTTTCACGGATAAATTTTAATATTGCACTCATTTTTATTCTATTATTCGTAACATTTACAAGAATTTTGTTTGATACAAAAACAAGACAGGGTGACACCAATGACAGGACAACAAGACTGATGTCAGTTACACAAGGTCACAATAAAAAACTGACAGAACCTATAGTGTTGCCATCCCTGTAAAATTACTTCCTACGAGGAAATAAAATCTCGTACAGTTACTCAATTTCACTCTACCCGTATATTATAGCAGTTTGACCAATTTAAGTAGGTCAAAGGCTTGACCAAAACTGTAGGAGGGTGAATATGTCCAGAATAATCTAGGTATTTTTTAGACGAATTTTTTACGCCATTTTTAATGGCAATGTTACCAGGAATACTCATAATATTCTACTTTTATCATTTAAAAAAAACCATAATAAAGCCTATAAAAAATTATATATTTATTAAAATGAAAATTGTTCACAAAATAAATGTGTATTCAAAAAATATATACTATTATTTAATAACCATTTTAAGTTCAGTCGAACTTAAGATTTACATAGAACGGAATACATTTCAAGTATTGATTTTCCTTTGAAATGTAAAAGTAGCTATTGCGTTATTGATGTCGATGTCGAAAGTAAACAAAAGTATTTACATGTGCTGGTGTTACGGGTATCAAGATGTAACACCGTAAATTTTTCTGTACGGATAATAAGAAAAAACAATAATTAAAAATTTTAATAAAGAAAGAAAAATTGATATGTGAATGATGTGGGGGTTTATGATTAAATTAGTATTTTTTATTGTTTTTTTTGTTTCATGCGTGAATGTTAGAGGTATGTATAGAATACATTATTGTACTTAGTAGTAACATAATTTATATTTCAATAATAACGAACCTAAACTGTTATAAGGTACATAGGATATCAATAAAAAAGGTCCGTTATCACATCAATGTGGATAGACTGCTAACATGTAAATTTAATTCTCATTAAAATCCAAAGTATAACTATATAGAAAATAATCATCATTAAATACAATATTTTGCTATGCGATCAACCTTGACCTTTTTAAGTAGGTAGGCCTAACTTTATATAGTAAAACAAAGTCGCATCCGTTGTCCCTTCGCTTAGATCTTTCAAACTATGCAACGGATTTTAATGTTGTTTTTAACAATAGATAAAGTGAGTCAAGAGGTAGGTTTATATGTATAATACATGTACACTCGTGCGAAGCCGGGTGGGTAGCTAGTATTAGTATAAAGTAATAAGGTAGGTATACGATCAAATTAAGTAGATATATGTGTATCATTATAAATGTGAAGATAATGTTACTCTGTCTATTAGCCGGGCTGTCTAAAAGCTAAGTGCTGGGCTGATTCTACTAAATTATGTATCCGCGAACTTATATTTGACATTTATGTGACCCTCTCTATATCTATTCGTATAAGCATAGGGCGGCTGGGCGAAAGAAAGTGAAGGATTCAGACGAATTCAGATGATCTATACAAAAGCTCAAATGACTGGGAAATGGGCCGTAGTAAATAACTTAATATAGCACATTACTTACTATAAAGTACCTATTGGACTAAGCCATTTTTATTTATTTATTTATTTATTAGCATACAAAACAGATTACAGTCAATATAATAATATAATAGGAGCGTGTAGTTCGGTACAGAACTGGATTGTAATCCAACACTATGTATGCCTAAGAGCTAAATTATATAGACGCATTCAATATACGCTAGATAATTAGATAAAGTTATATAATAAAAAGTAAACTAAATAGAAAATGATATATAACTACGTAATGCAATAAATTATCATGTTAACAGAATTTTATTTATATTAAAGAAAAGAAAATTGGTATACCTAATGTTAAATATAATTTGTCAGTTTACGGTGGAAATTTAATTGTCTCCGGAACTGGACCAGCGTTGAATGGAAAATATCTATATTTCTATTCGCGACAAGAATTTCATTGTATTGGCGACACATTCGAACTATTGGATTATAATAAGAAGTATTATTTGAGTAAACCTGAAGATAGAAGGTGTTATAATTACGGTTGCGTGATCTAAATCTCGTATTAAAGTTTAATAGAGAAAGAAGAGTGGACGAGTCCAACTGATGATGAATAATTTTATGTAACAAGGTTAGGTCATTATTTTGTCGTCTTATATATAAAGGGTCCAGATTAAAGTATTTCAGACGTTCACTGTAAGATGCAAGTTTACGAACTAAGCCGCATCTATAGCTAAGTATCTTTAAATAACGTCTTTGAATACTTTCAATTCGGTTGCTATGTAGTCTATAGAAGGGAGACCAGATAGCCGAGTTATATTCTAAAATACTACGTACGAGTGAGTTATAGATACTAATTAAGCTTCTACTCTGCCGAAAGTTTTTAGTTGATCTTGTAATGAACCCAAGAAGACGGTAGCTACGGTCAACAATATTATCATAGTGGTCTCGAAATGTTAGTTTGTCATCAAAAAGCACGCCCAGATCTTTTGCGACACGATTACGTTCAAGAATTTTATCCCTAAGGATATAGTCAAATTCGAGTTTATTTGTTTTTTTAGTAAAAGTTATAACGAAACATTTACCCACATTGAGCTGCATGAAATTACGATCACACCAATCGGAAAGTGAATTTAAATCCGATTGCAATCTCTGAGCATCAGTACTATTGTCCACCGCAGAAAATATCTTAAGGTCATCTACATAAAGTAGACAAGGACAGGATAGGACATCGATTAGGTCATTTATGAAGATGACAAATAATAACGGGCCTAGATGACTACCTTGCGGCACACCAGAGAACAGTGTGACGGGAGCAGAGGTATGACCCTTAATTGCAACCAGCTGACTCCTACGACTCAAGTATGACTCGAACCAGCGAAGCAGAGAGCCATGTACTCCGAATTCTCCCAGTTTTTTAGAAAGCGCAGCGTGATTGACCTTGTCGAATGCTTTTGAGAAGTCGGTATAGATGGAGTCCACCTGTGATCTTTTTATAAAAGCCCTGCAAAGATAGTTCTTATATTCCATAAGATTAGAGACGGTAGATTTATTGGCAATGAATCCGTGTTGTTGAGGATGCAAAGAAGATTTGACATGACTATACAGAATATCATACACTACACTTTCAAAAAGTTTTGCTAAACATGATAATATACTAATAGGTCTGTAATTTCCACAATCAGTCTTGCATCCTGATTTATATATGGGTATTACATGTGCTACTTTCCAAACTGTAGGAAAGGTACCATACTCAATGGATTTATTAAATAATACATTAAGAGGCAAACACAGTTCATTAGCACAGTTCTTAATAAACAAGGCAGGAATACCATCAGGACCAGGACCTTTATTCGGATCTAACTTCTTTATTTTGGCTAATATCATTTTATGTGTGATGTTAATGCCGCTTAGGACACTGCTGTGAGAACTAGTAGGTGAACTGGCGTTAGAATTACACTGACTGTTTACAAATACAGAGCTGAAACACTTCGAAAACAGCTCGCAAACTTCTGATGGATTATTTGATGAGACACCGTTATATTCCATAGTTACAGGAATCGAGTTCACTCCCTTTTTACTATTGACAAATCTCCAAAAGGACTTCATGTCACCTTTTAAAGATGTCTCTACTGATGCTACAAAGTCTTTATAACAAGATTCGATTAAATATTTGCTCTTAGTTCTGTAATTAGCAAATTCATCATAGTCAAGAGGATTGCCAAATTTCTTATAGCGCTTATGATATTTCAGTTTCATTTTAATATTATGTCGAAGTGCAGTACTAAACCATACTGGGTATTTATCGGTATTATTTTTCGATAGAGGCGTATGTCTATTGATAATATCTTGTAATACTGTATAAAAATTACCTACGTCAAGGTCAATATTAGATGAAGATAGTATTGAGTCCCAGTTTACTTTCGACAATTTAGACTTAACATCATCAAATTTGCATTTATTAAAATTAAAGCGTTTACGAGAAAATTCTTTTACGTATTTAAAGTCCTGTGCAAAATCACAACAATTAATGTCACAAGCTATAGCAGGATGATGACTATCCAAACGACTAAGAGGATCTACACCATATACTTGAATTTCAACTGTGGACAACACGAGGTCAAGAAGGCGACCATTTGCATTTAGTATACTGTTAAATTGCTTGAGCTGACATAGAGACAGGATCTCACACAGAAGCCGAGATTTATAATCACACGTTGAAGTAAAGTTCAAATGTAAACAGTTCGGAATCCCATGCCAACTTAAGCCAGGGGTATTATAGTCACCAATACAAACAAATTCGGCGTCATTGGAATTTAAAATTATATTTTGGCAATTTTCATAAAATCTTTCTAATAAATTAAAAGGCAGATCAGGTGGCAAATAACATAAACAAATATTAATTTTACGACCTTTTCCATTACTAGACAAAACTGTAATCCATAAATCTTCAATATCACTATCCCACGAGAAACGCCTAATAATGTCAATGCCCTTTTTTACTGCAATAGCAACACCACCACCTTCGTTTTTTCTTATGGAGGTAGTACAACGGTCGCGACGGTAAATGTTATATCGAGAATCAAATAATTCTGCATCGAAAACACTGCTATCCAGGTTAGTCTCAGTGAGACAGATTATGTCATAATTACAAGTAAGTGCGTTAAGGTATACATCTGTGATTTTAGAACGAATTCTGTTAACATTCTGATAATATAATAACATTTTCAAATAAAAAGGTGATCAAAAATTATACAGTAAAACAAGCTTAAATTAAAATATGAAGTTAAAATTAAAATTACAAGATTACAAGAAAGTGAATAATATACGTTGTTTATGGAGATAGTCTTTGCAATACTTCTTTGTTTTTAACATAAATACTTCCACACTTATCATCCTTGCGTAGGTACACTCTGCCATATTTGACCCAAACGTATTTATACTGTTCTTCTTTCGCAAACTTCCTAGCCATTGCAAACAACTGCTTACATTCTGGTGAGAGATGTTCTACGACATATATTTTTTTTGAGTCGCCTGACAGTGCCAGGTGGCGGGAGTTAAGAGTGTCCTTGGGATGTGCCTTATTAAATCTCTGAACGCTAGATATTAATGTATCTTTCATTCGTGGTGAGGCGAGGGTAACCAGGATATTCCTCGCACGCTTGGAGTTACTATCCATTTTAGCTACTCTGCGACAAGCGAGTACGCAGTGGTCTTCGATGGGAAAATTAACGGTCTCACATAACTTTTTGAATAATAAAGTCACGTTCTCATTTTTTGTTTCCGGTACCTCTTGTATCTCAGCATTGTAACTACGACTAGTTTTCTCCAGGGCTGATACACGATTTGTCAATTTAATAATCTCCCCTTGCATAAGTTCGCAGTCAGCCTCCAAAGTCTTGATAGTGATATCTTTTTGTTTTATTTGAGACTTCAAGATTTCATGTTCAGAGGTGAAAAGGTTAGTAGCAGTGTCAAGGTCATTTCTCATCTCTTGTACCACGGAGCCCATCTCCGCACGAACCATACCCGCAACATCATCCCTTAGCGCCAGACGAAAACTGTTCATAAATGATGTAAGCGACTCATTCAATTTTTTATCAAAAAGAGCACTAATTTTATCCATTGTCACACCATTACATCCAGGATGACAAGGAGCGACGTCCGCAGTGTCATAGGATAATGATGTATTATCGTTCTGAATGTCGAATGACATATTAAATGAACTGTCGTTCCCTACTGGTATTTGGCGTTGTCGAACTGGAGTGTCAATATTATTCTTACGCCTATGGGACACGTTGCTACAGGATGGGCAAGTCCATGTTTCTTTATATGATTGAGTTAGTGTTTTATAGTGGTCATCCCCTATATTAAGACATTTGTTGTGGAAACATCCCTGGCAGTATCGACACTGTAGATAGAATTCAGTTGAAATAGCACTTAAGCATCCACGGCAACAAGGCATCTTCGAAGTCTCTTAGCGAATGTCGTTTGTTTACAAAAAGCTTCTCTTACTGTTCGCCGTAAGCCAAAGCAATAAATGCAATAAATAACGACGTGAGTATAAAGGATGATACAGGAAGCGCCCTCTCTTGTTAAAGTTAATTACTATTAATGCAAGCTTATGTCAACATGTGATGATGTTATGCTAGTGCACATAAAAGCAATGAACTGAAGAAGTGCAAGAGGAAATTGATAGATGTCGCCAGTGTATCGGAAGATGATGAAGCAAAATCGATATTCAAATGAATATTAATGTTTTCATATTTCAAATGCGATAATGAAATTAACACCACAAAATTACAGTTTGCACTACAGTTTTTGTCACATTCATAACTCAAAATTGTTAAGTATTCACTTTCTTGAAGAATGATTACGTTAATACATTACGAAGTCAATAGTCAAAGGTATTATAGACACAATCTTTAATAATAGCATATTATTTATTATCACTAATAGTTATAATAGTCACTAGCACTGATATATTCACTATAAATTAGTTCTTAATAATATTTACTAACTTTTTACTATTTATTTTTAATTAAACTCAGGAGCAAAGATTTATGTGTATATACTGAACGGCGCCCTCTAGCGAAAAAAAGTTTTTACTTTTATTTTATACCATAAAAAAATAGATAAACACTATTATCTACTAGCGAATGATATAAAAATTGGTCAGTCATTTTTCTGTATTACAAAGAAAAATAAAATATGTAACTTTGGTCACAGATACTCGGACACCCGTCAGATTATCATGTTGTGACTCCCATACCAGAATAGAAAATAGGTGTAGAACAAGTGTAGAAACTAAATAGTTTCCACACTGTTCATCTCTAAAGAGCGTAGCGTAGCGTCCAGACCCTTCTAGAACGATAGTAACCTGATAGAAGTCTTTAGTATGATCACTGTCGTAATTTAGTCGATATTGACGGACAATTGTAATGTGCCAACATTTTTTTGAAAATATGTTAATCGGAACGAAGTTGTACAGGTCAATTGTCCGACTGAACCTAATAAAGTGTGATCTAGCTTAGTCCCATTCTGGCAACCCTTACGATTAAATGAATATGGATATTACGTTTGGCCTTATTCACACAGTTGAATAAATCGCCAATTATAACACTTGGTGGATTTATATTGTTTTTCGAGTGGTGGCTCCACTAAAAACCTGCTCTTTAGTGATACGCTAAAGGCACCAGCTGAGTAGAGGCCTTTTCAGCTTATAGCGGAATATTTTAATATTTTAATACTTTCCACACTTTACTACGCTATGCTGAATAAATGATTATAGTTATTATTAACTCCGCTACTATAAGCATGTGTGAGATCACAAAAACAAAATACTATAAATCCATCATGTAACGAATTAGGCGTCGCAAAATAACACCTATATCTATAAAATATATCAACCATCAATTTTATTTTAGCATCTCAGCAAAATAGAACATCTCATCATGTGCGACGATTGAGCAGCGACAATAGCTTTTTCAAGAACCAAAAGCAATTGGCGTATCGGTCCTTCCAACCGGTCTCGATTAAATATCACAAGGCCTCATACCCTAAAGCTAATGATAGGCCAGACTACGACATAACATCTTACGATGCGGAGTACGGCGGTGTGGTTTCAAACTTTACATCCTCCATCTACGATGACAATCCACCGTTGTATCCGAATCCCGAATTCATGACGAAAACTAATCAAGGTAATGCTTGAATTTTGCATTAGTTATTTAGCGGTTACAGTTAATTTTGAGTGACGTTCCCTAGTGAATTCCTATTTCGACTCAACCCGAAAGCCTTGCCACTAAAAATGTTTGTGTATCGATTTATATTTACTCTCTATGAAGATGAAGTGACCGTTTACAAACTAAATTTATTCAGATGCCTTGGATTCCATTATATTCATCAAAACATAGGCATATTAAGTTTTATGTCTTTGCAATATGTACTATACTGTGTACAGTCTTTTCTTATCGTAATGATTTATAATTTGTATATTTCTAACTATACTAGGTAATAAAAGGAAATTAGAATTCGCCAATAGTTAGTAATAACGCGCGCAGAATTCATCAAGTACTGACCGTTATCATGTTAAGTTGTATAATTTTAACAATTCTAACTATACCACCGGTGACAAATTTGTCTGCTGAAGTTCTCCCATTGTGTTGTAGTTTTTTAAATTTTTTCAACACATTTTAGTACAGTATGCCATAAATGTTACATTCATTCTATACTTACTTTGTGTCGGACTTAGAATCCTGTCGGGCCGGGGTCCGTGTTATATTGTTACCCTACGATTTTACCCTCTATAATGTACTATGTTACCGTAAAGATACGCGACTGAAATTTGCTTTTTCTTCTAAAATTGATACATATAAAACTCTTACTCAAATTTAAGGATCTACAAAAAAATTAACAAATTCTTTTAATCATGTAGTAAATAAGGTGCAGATGGAAAATAAAATACCGGAGCCGGAAGTTGATTTACCTGATGACTCTCTGGCAGATGCAGATCTCAAAGGGCATAACATCATTGATAGTGTGACATACGTATACGGATTCAATAGTTGCCACGGAATGAGAAATGAATGGATGATATTGGTATGTCATTTATTATTCTTTAAAACAGTCATTATGAATTCAATTTCGCTACGGCGGAATGTCTTAAAATAAAATTTCATCTTCGGTTGATTGTCTAGTAATCCAAAGTGATTACTTTTAAAATTGGTATTGTTTCGAGATTAGTATAATATCACTTTATGTTTTATAATAATATATAAAAAACTTCTAAAATCTTACATTTTAAAAGTTTTGAAATATTGTATATAAAGTAAATCATTTCATTATTATAACTCAGAGTCTAGTTTAACTTACTAGTAAGTAAAATCATAACATGTAATATTTATAAGCTGTAAGAAATCTTATCTATGTGACGCCAATGTGACGAATATGATGAAGCTCCTTATTGCTTTTTTTAATCCGCATTAGAGTAATAAACAAACCAACGCCTAAAGTACAAATTAATGAACTATTGTAACTTACATCACTAGTTGTTATCAATATCAATGCTCAAGTTCTGCTGTTCTGCTGTTCTCTTAAGCTGTTCCTGAAGACTACCTAAATGCTTCTACACTCTTAATTTTAAGTCAACTTTTTGCAATCACTTTGCAACCGAAATAACAGCTAAAATAATAAAACGCTCAGAATTACTCATTACCTCTTGTATCTATCAGGTATCTAATCTTTACTAGAAAGTTCTAGATAGCAGTAATTAAGAAATCGATTGCTTTCTCTAACAGATCTTCATCACAAGCGGCATCGCGGTAATCCTTCTCGTAGCTACTGTTATATGGTTGATGTGGAGCGAGTACACGGCTGAGTTCCGAAAGAATAGCAAACTGTATCCAATCAACATCAATTTGTGTTGCTGTCTCGCTGCTTGCACCCTCATTTACATACAAGCTGTGATGGTATGTATCTACTTTTTTCTTTTTTTTTGGATTGGATTTTGCGTCTGCCTGCGCTAATGGTTTATGCTGGCGGGGCTCCAGTGAAAGATGATAAGATGAACACGAGGTAAGGTCAGTTAATTCATCGTGGTAAATTCATCATGAATTTATCATGATGGTTTCCAGCGGGAACCACGTTGATGTTAACCTGATATAGTAATTTGTTAGCAATGGGGTTATAAGTCCACATTATTAACAATCCCCTTCAGATTTATATCAGTTCTCTAGTAACACAAGCTTTGTTTAGCTTGGGACTAGGTCACTAGATGACGATGCGTTAATTGTCCTAAGACATTAGCAAAAAATATATCCTAATTTCAAGATACCAAGATCAGTTATTTACGAGCGAATTGATATGGCTATCACATCATCACTTAACATCAGGTGAGATTGCGGTCAAACGCGCTCAAATTATGATATAAAAAAAAAGCACATGTAAAACATATATACTCCTTGCAGGGCATGTCTTCTCCATCACAATGTGAAAGAATTGCACTTCTTCTACATTATACTCACGTATCATGTGCAATGTGGATCGTGATATTAGCAGCAGCTGTTTCTGAATACTCAATTTGCGATACTCTCATACCCTTGAAGTACAATTATCTGTTGGCTTATGGAGTACCGGCAATTGTAGTAATGGTGAGTACGTAAATGTTTTGTAAATCATTATTAAAACTTATCGGGTCATCAGTGAGATTTGTAAAACTGAGGCGTGAGGATCTTGTATAAAGAGGAGAATATGGTGCGAGTTAAAGGGAAGTTGGAAATCTGTTTTATTCCATAAAATTCGCAAAACCGTACGGTCAACTTTATGTCGATCAAACAACTGCAAGGAACATACTATTTATCCTATTGGTACAGTTGACATAGTTACAAATAGTGAGCGTGTGCCCGCGAGTGCTACCCGGATTGGTTGGTCTGTTCCTTCACAGTGATGTTATTGTTTGTAGGGATTGCTACAGAATTTAATTCAAACAAAACAAAATATAAATAGGGGCATAAAATAAATTTGATTAAGTATTCGACAAGCAAATTGCGTTTAAAATAGATTTAAGTGATAAAATATTACCCTAAACAATATCTACTTTTACAGTTCAACTATGCATTGTCTATGGAACAATACGAAATAAAACATTACTGCTGGATGTCAATTGAAAAAGGAATGGTTATGGGTTTCATGGTGCCAGCTATGATACTGATTATCATTAACACAGGAATTATTATACTTGGCCTCCAAAGTGTTAATAGGAAACAAGCCGAAATGCTAACAGCGAAAATACAGGAATTATTAGATCACCACGTCGCAAAATGGCCTAAAAACGAATCCGGCGAGGATAACAAAAATGGCAGTGTTGATACTCTTGATATGTATTCACCAGAAACAATTAGGAAGAATACTGATAGTTCTGATACTCTGGATTATGACGAGGACGGAAATGGCGATGCGAACAGCGACGGTGTAAATGAGGTAAGTGTTAACAGATTCAAATTAATGTCTTTTATGTAGTAGTTTTTAATTCTTTTTTTAAATGTTAATTCTACTATACTCCGCACGGTGTAGAATGGTGCGGATGACAGTTGATGTTTTAGAACTATTTTTATGTTAAAATAGTTTTGAAATGACAGCTGTCACCCGTTTAATTGTATTACTGTGATTTTATTGATATCAAAGTAAATCCGCATTTTTAACATTAACTAACTATACATAAGTAATAAAGTACTGGAAACAAGGTAAATGATTTACGTTAGAGTGTAGTACCAAACAGATGTATGTGTATAACTGTATGCTATATACCTATCATTCGGCTGTTATATACAGCCGAATGATACATTTACATACAGGCGAATGATATAGTACTAATATACAATTGGACCTAAAAATGAAAGCTTTAGGTTTAATTCGAAGTAAAAAGTAGCCTCTAGCCTATAGCAAAAACTGCAACATGCGGGCCGTATGCTTAATTGCGAAAAATCGTCTCATTTCCGTAGGCACATCATGCCAAAGCGATGGAAGATAGGGGCTTACTGAACATGCTATACGTGGAGAATCTACCTGTGAAATGGAGCTGGAACACAGAAGGGAACGAGCTGAAGAATTATCTGAACCTCTGTCTCATCATGGAGCCATTCTTCGCCATAAATTGGGTGATGGGTGTGGTGGCCATAGAGAACGCGGCTCATTGGTCCACACCAACTATATACCTGATACTTGTTGTTGCTATGGTAAGTTTAATCGTAAAGTCATTTGCCTGGATTAGTACCTATGTCTATATAGCCCGCGAGCCAGGAACAGGTCAGTGTGACTAATTTTCTCCTGTTTGTTAACTTCTATAATGATCATGGTGGTTGTATTGTAAAGCACTCGGAATAGCAGCTGACTTACACCGCTGGCTTCAAAATGCTATTATTTTAACTGAAATAATTGACGGAATTGGACTCTGGCTCGTGGACTAATGTAAGGTGTGACATGATTGGTACACAGGAGGCCTGATACTAGTGATGCCAACCGTAAGAGGATTCTCGTACATATGCGATGATTATTGATGATTGATGATTTATAGTCAGGACATTTTCATCCCCGTATATTTTTATAGATTAAAATGCGATACATTAGGTCAAAATGCTATTATCGCACAATATGAATATTTTTAATGGCCTCGGTAGTCTACGGGTTTGACACACAGCCTTACTTCCGATTGTTGTGGGTTCGATTCCTTACACGGCGCACCAACGTTTGTATTCACAAGTATTTGTGTTAGTATTACTCTGAATGTTTTCTGTATATATGTATTTACAAAATAAAAAAGTATTATTTGTTTAGTACCCGATAACACAAATCTGCTTAACTTGGGTCTAATTAGCGCTGTGTGAATTATCCACGTTCATTATTATAATTATTTGTATTCATGAGGTGTGATAGTTTAGTCTGGTGTTTTTATGTATGTGTTTTTCTTCTAATTCTAAGTTGTATAATATACTTTATGTATCGCCTTTTGTTACCTCTGTATCTTCTTGTACTTATGTTTTTTTGTATTCATATACAAATTAGCTTATGTATTTTTCTGTGAGATGAACAATAAAGATTTTTTTCCATTCTATTTCGTTTATCTAGTTTGGCACTAGATGGCGCTGCGTGAATTGACTTGAGTTTCGATTGTTTTGTTTCAGTACGTATACCTTACGGCGACAATCTGCACCACGCTGCCGATCGTTCGGAACAAGAACAACACGCCGTGCTGCGAGGAGGTGGTCACCGAACCCACCGTCATCAGGACCAGGTGAGGGTCTCCACTATGATAATATAGGGATCTAACCCTACCAGAGGTGACGTATAAACCCACTCATTAATCACGTCACAGAATTAGGTAACCCTTGTAATACAATGACATACTTTGGTCCACAAAGTATGTCATTGTATTACAAGGGTTTGGAGAAGGCGTATTTCACTGCCAAATCTCAACCTTCGAGTCGGAACACAGTTGCAGGGATGTTTATCGACAAAAATAGTTGAAACAAAGATATCTGTCCACTAAAACGACTTCGTCTTAGGGCTAAATCATTTTATAATGGTATTATTTATATTCCAGGACTACAGACAGTATACCACTACTGGACCCCGCTATTCAACAGCCCAACGTGACTCAGGCACCGGCAGACACCATAAGCACTATAAGCATTTAAATTGGAAATCTAATTATAATTGGATTGAAAATTACAGTCGATTCTCGAGTGAATCGACTATTTCGTAATCTTAGCTAATTCGTGAATATACGAATCGATGTTCTAAATTCGAAATACCATAAATGGTATTTTTGGTGTTATTCTAAACGTGAACTAGCTAAGTAACATCACTACCAATGAGCAAGTTATCACCACGGTCAATCTAGGAATCCCAATTTAGGAACGAGATTTTTGATCTCGAGGATTTCGCTTGATTGATACAATATATGGATATGTTAATTTTATTACTGTCAAATTAATAAATTTATATCAGGACTATCGAAAATGGAGTCTAGTTTTCTAAGAACTATGCACTTTTATACGGTCTTATTATTGACCAGACTACATCATCTTGGCATTCTTTCTGCTAGCTTGTGGAAATACAAAATGGCGGTTTGGCGGTAGGTGTCTACTAGTCTACCTTAAAATTATTATGAAATACTACGAGTATTCAGATCAGATCAGTATCAGATGATTAAGATTCGAAATTAACAAAATTACTATTTTTATGTAGAGTTATTGTACAATTTTATTTCTAATCATTAAATCAATGCCGCCTACTTATTTTGTCGGCCATGCCTAGGTAAATTAAAAAAAAACAAGTCTGATATTTTAAAATGGGAAAGATCTTTTCATTTGTAATAAATAAACTTAAAACGTAAGCAGTTTTAAATTTCTTTTTATAAAAAGCATTACAGTACCTAATATTTAACTATGAATCTTGTATTTCATTAAAAAAAAATATATTTATACCGTTACGTACGTGCGAAGAACGAAACGGATGGCTAGTACAACTGGTAGTGAATAAATTTAAATAACATATCTATTCTACAATAATGTTCACTGTTCTAGATTAGAAATATGATTCCATTTCTAACAAGCCTTGTAACGACGATGCGTCGAAACGAATTCTCTCCGGATGAACCACGATAACTTTATCGTACGATCACTCGAAAAACACGAAAAAATTATTTATGTTTCACTTACAAATTTCTCGTGGTCGTAAGTTGAATTTCCGCACAATACAAACGTTTCATGTCATGGCTGTGTGTGTTGATTGTTTTCGAAAATATATGCATCTATCTAAACAAAAAAAATTAGGTATATTTCTATCAGTTATCTAGTGCAAACTGGTTAAATATGTAATAAAACTATAAGAAAATGTGTTTTCTAAATCAAAAGCGTTCGTTTGAATGCATCGTCTGTATAAGGCCTCAAATATATTTTGTGTGTAGTGGGTAGGGGATTAAAAATGATTACAATTATCAAGTTTTAAATGTAGAACAAGTTGAAGATTTTTAATCGTAGAATAAAACAAAAATAGACAGATTTTCTATATTATATATGCACATAGACAAATACTGAAGAAAGTCACTACCCGTCATCTAAATATTTAAAAATATATATCAATGATGGGAGTCCTTAATTTATTCTGATACGATATGTATTATTTCACTTCAACTAAAGGTAGAATATAAGTAGATATTTTATGACAACGACCAATCAATGCAGGACTAAACATAAAGGGTATGCCAGCATACATAATTCAAGATACTGAATCATTTTTACTAAATATACAAAGTAGAGAACCTTAATACAAATTGCGCGGTTACGTAAATCATTTTAGTATGAAAAGATCATATTTATTGTCAGGTTGCCATTTTGTTGGTGAAAATGGTTCAGGTTCATGAATTTTCTACGTGGCTTATGTTTAGTTCATATTTGCGTAGATCATTTTTATAATTAAGTTTGTACATACTGCTTAATTGAGGGTTGATTGCAAGAAGATGGCGTTCTTACATACAAAACATTTCCCTCCAGCCGTCTATCAGGTACTCTGTACACGATTATAACAAACTGTACAAACGGTGAATATATATTAGATTTTTGATTCTAAATTCTGAAAATGTCGATAATATTGCAAATAATTATTTAGATTGATAGACAAACCTGGTCGATATTGTTCCATGAAATACCGTACCTGAGCTAATAAACTTGTCAATAATTGCACAAAATAATTTAACTGTTTTGAAAGTCTATAGTAGAATTTCTTCTTAATTTCCTATCAGTATAATAATTTACAGTAGAAGTTTTATAGCTTTTAGAAACAATTTCACAGAATCGAGAGAATTTATTTACACACAACTTCTAGAAAATATCTAGATTAAGTATAAAAGATCTATGAATGTTATTAATTATAGGTAACTTTCTGTGCTAAATCTGTCCTAAATTCTGAAATTTACTTCTTAAAGGAGGTACGATATAGTCAATAGAGTTATAATATTGTTATATAAGTTTTAATAAATGTTTTAATCACGTTTTGTATTTCATTACTAGATGTTAAATGAGGTTTTACTTCTAGGAGATACATACCTACTAATATTATAATTTCCTTTCATGGCTCTTCGCCTCGCCTGACGGTAATGAATACTCGCAACACCGGAACTGCAAGCTTGGTGCTAGCCTTTTGAGGAATATTTCCTGAAGGTTTCAATATAATATATTTCTGGAATGTGATTTGACATTTTTGTGCGTGATAATTTCTGGAAATAACGCACAGTAGAAACTTATCTGTCATCTAAGTGATCACGATAGTCTTTAAATTTCGATGGCGATGGTGGTGTATCGCAGAATCAGTGCAGTGATTTGAGAAATTCTTTTCATTTGAATGGCGTCCACCAAATAAGGCCGGTGATTTTTCCAACGTCGTGGTTAGGGAGACACAGTTGACTGTTTGAAAGGCACATTATTCTAAGAGTGACATACATTACATTAGTTACAATGATATTTATAACCTAAGTCTGACCGCACCAGGGCTATACTGGGGCAGGCCACTGTCAAAGCATTAAGGATTTAATAAGAAATACAAATAAAACAACTGATTATTACTTATATCGAGTGTATTCTGAATAAATTGGTTACAAAATACCTATCCAACGCCCGCCGCGATACCGAGCCGAAAGCTAACATTAGCATTATATTGAATTCCAAACGAAATCAGGCGATCGTATAAAACCGTACATCCATTTTGTTACATTCTAAATAGTATAAAAAGCCGACGTTCGCAAACCTGTATTCAAAATCATAGACATCGAGCGCCGCTGTATAATTTAGTTTGAGCTTATCTTAACTCTTTAGTTTATAGGAAAAAATATATATAATTAGTATAATTTAAATTACTCCTTAATTGCTATAGTGGCTAGTGTGGTGACCACAGTGTTACTGCAAGGTCCGCCATATTGGATGTAATCGACTGCGAAGCTCAGGGTTGAAATGATATAAACTGAACCCGTGCGAATTAGTTGCTCGGTGTACATCACTACCGCTCGCAATACTACTGGGGCCGCGACCTTATCGATTGTTGAATTGTTACGACTATCGATAAGTGACATTCGTTACATATTAAACATGGTTTGTTATTGATGATGAAATTGATTATCGGGTCTAAATTAAATGTTACTGACCATATTAATCAATAGAATGTATAGTTATAATAGCGATAAATGTAAGCCAAATCACTAAGGAATCGATAAGTGAAAATGTCGATAATATAATCAGGAAATAATCACCCGAAGACAATAAAATCGATAAAGTTTAAAATCAACACGTATCGAACGCGCAGCGTCCTGCAATCGATATAGCCGCGTATCGATGTCCGATAGTGATGTCCACCGTTCGTCGGTAGGTTAAATGCTTTATTGGCGATCGGTAGCGCGGAGTTTCTCCTCGACAGCCTCTTGGGATGCTTCTGAGAGGTCAGTCGCTTGGATGTACTTCTGTACGCCAACCAGAGACTTCTTCAGTGCATCGAAAGAACTGCAACAAAATACGAGATGACTTTTTTGTCGTTTGAAGGCATTTGAATTAGAATTATTATATACACTGTGTATATAAAAAGCAGCAGTAGACACTAAAATTGCAATCAATACTAAGTGATTTTTCCTGTCGTCAATACTGACGATAATAAATATTTTTTTATTATTAAACCACACTGTTTAATAATAAAAAAATTGTCTAGCGGTATAGCATATCGCCTTACTTCCGGTGGTCGCAGGTTCGATGTAAACATATAATATAAGTATTTTTGAGTATAATTATTTGTATTTATTTCTATTCATTTCTTAAACGTTAAATATCTTTAACACAAGCTCTGCTACTTAGCTAGGGGCTAGATGGTACTGTATGATTTTTTCAGTTAATATTGTTTTTATAAGAAAGTTATTTTCACCTGGAGTACAACATCTTCTTCTTGACCTTAGCGGTATCTGGGCACCATGACATTAGGAATAACTTCTGTTTCTTGCTAGCCTCCGATGTGCCTTGGCATTGGTGCGTGTACTCGAAGTCGAACAGGCCATATCTGAAAACAAATGGACGAAAATAAAATGACATTATAAGCTCTGATAAATGAAAATAAAATTTCTATCCTTAAACTGACGTAGTCCGCTTACTTTGTACCCGAGTTTTGTGTGTTCGTTTGAACAACAATACATTAATTTTTTTCTTTTAAAGCGATCCATGTAAAAAATAATTAATTTTTAAAAAAGCTGACTACAAAACAGTAGTAAAATCCGCACAGAAATCGGTTAAGCTAAACATAGCTGTCGTAAGAATCTAATAATTTAACAATTATCTCCAAATTTTCTCATAAAACTTGCAAGAGCCTCTCATTCATCCTGTGTATAGACATCATCATCTGCTTCTTTCTTATTCCATTTATTTGGGGTCGGCGTAATAATTTTTTCTCTTCCATTCATCCCTGTACGCAAGTCATCTTGTTATTTACTCCCATTCTTACCATATCAGTTTTCACACATTCTATCCATCTCTTTTACGGTCTCTCCCTGCCCTGTATTCACCTTAAAATATTATCTTCATTCCTACGTATTACATGCTCCACCACGATAGACGATTACTCTATAGCTTCTCCACCGGCGCCACTTTCATACTTACTCTAATGTATTCATTCTTTATCTTCGCTATACTTGTCACACCATACATCCATCTCAATATTCGCATGTATCATTCTATACATAGACATCTCCGTTTCTATATAGATAGATAGATACGCTACCTGCACTCGCCGGTGCCACCCTTCTGCAGATCCTCGAGGAACTGGTCATACTCCTCGTTGCGTTCGCCGACTGTCTCCACGTCTATCTGCTTCTCATCCCTGATGTAGAACACCACGTAGCGGTGTTTCTTGTCTTTCTTTATCTCCTCGTACGTCGTTTTACACGCGTCCGACACTGTCACACCAGACGCCTGCAAATAAAAAAAATATTGAGTTAGAAAATTTTAACAGCCACTCCTTGACAGGGGAAAGGTGCTGTCAGGTTGACCTCCACGCCGTTCGCACATGATAAGAGCTTGATAAATTCCTGGGTCGGAGGTATTTATCAAGATAGAATATACTTTAATTATTAATGCAAATGACCGTTACCGCCGCCGCATGAGCACCCCGCAACAACAAGTGTATTATTGCAAGTGCTTTGCCGGCCTTTTAAGAAATAATACACTGTATTCTTTAACCATTATACAGGTGATTCCACAATGTGGCTGTGCGTGGCAAAAATATTAAATATTCTTTATTGCACTTAAATACATTTGTAAGTATATTAATTACAGCTAATGTTAACAAAGGAGGACTTATCTCTAAAAGAGATCTCTTCCAGTCAACCCAATAGAGCGTGGCATAGGAACTGTTGAGTGGGTTAAAATGTGCAAATTATATTTTTTATGAAAATGTCAAAATAATTAAAACTAAACATAAAAATATAATGGCCAAAATACAGATACTAATACAATATACATAAAGATAAATTAAAATATATATTAATAAATATTATGTGTGTAAAGCCTGGGTGATATGCTAGTCTGGGTTAAACGAAAAGACGCATCGCAAATGCACAGGCCGTAACTAAAATAACACAAAACTGAGTTGCTACAGCAGCTGTGTTATAGTTATGAGCACGTAATACGAGACTATTTTAGAATTGACGTTACTTCAATACATTGATATCACAATTCTGGCACAAGCAATGACCTATTAGTTTTTACCGCCTTACTTCCGATGGTCCTGGGTTCGATTCCTCGCATTATACAAACATTTGTATTCATGCGTATGATTGTTTGTATTGGTGTAGATGTTCTCTATGTACATTATGTATGTATTTACCAAATAAAGATATTTACATTAGTTTTCTAGTACCTAAGCCTTAGTTCGCTTGGGACTAGATGGCGCTGTGTGAATTTTTATTATTACTTATTGCTATTATTATTAGTGTTACTTGTTTTGTATATTACTTTTTAGAGATTACTTCATTACATGGATCTACAACGTAGCACAGTGTATCCCTAACTGTGCTTCAATCACCCCGGGGCATTACAACGCAAACTCCCCCCTGAGTTAGTCGTGAAACCCTCAGAGGACCGACATGAAAGAAATAACTAACCAGTTTCATTAATATTACCAGTGGCACTCAATGAGGAAATAGCCATTATTATTGCTAAAAGTTGCATATAGATGGCGTGATTGGTATCGATGGAATTCTTCATAGTTTTGCAAACGTTTTAAAAAACAAAACTGTGTTTTCAAAATAGTTTAATCCATTTTTAAAAAAATATATATACATGTTAAAATGAAATAATGCGTTTAGAAAAGTAATTTTCATATATTTACTCATTTTGTTATTTTCCAGTACTTAATTACACTTTAATCAGTGCTAATACGGGGCTCAATGTTTTCAAAATGCTTTCATAGATGGCATTGTTGTCATTTGTATCGGCCTAATTAAATGTCTTTTTTATATTTTCCAATAATAAGCACTTAATATATTATTATTGTAAATTAAACATATAAAAAAAGTTTAAGTAAATTAAAAATAGCCGAACAAGCAAATAATACTATTTCCAATAATACTTATGTATGAAGTGTTGTCATATTAAAAATAAATACATGTATTATCGATTTTTTTTAATAATCGATAACAGGATTTTATTACAGCGCATTATTCGATGATGCTTTTAATGAGTCGTTGTGAACAGTAAATTTTCATTATTTTGTATTAAGTATAGCAGTATTCCGTTTCAAAGAACGGAATATAGTAGTACATTATTAGTGTCGTTGGTTATTTACATTTGTACTGAAAAATCGATTACATAATAATTTAAAATATCGAGTACGAATCGTAGCTGTCTTCGAATACTGGCAACTGGTAAGATTAAAATAGTTTTAAAAAAAAGAGAGAAATCGACCCTAACTCGAATACCATAAAGTTTATTTTCCTTTCTCATTAATATCATAGCAGTTTGTTTTTAACTTGCGTATGACTCTGTGGTATGATGTTTAACGTGTATTGTTATTGTACGGTGCATACATTTCAAAAATTATATTTTAATGTAGGTACAAACATTTCTTTCATACATTTCATACATGTCAAAAATTATCTTTTAATGTAGGTACATACATTTCTTTCATACATGTCAAAAATATCTTTTAATGTAGGTACATACATTTATTTCATACATTTCATACATTTCAAAAATGAACTTTTTATGTAGGTACATACATTGTTTTCATACATCTCATACATTTCAAAAATTATATTTTAATGTACATACATTTCTTTCATACATTTCATACATTTCAAAAATGAACTTTTTATGTAGGTACATACATTTCTTTCATACATCTCATACATTTCAAAAATTATATTTTAATGTAACTTTCATAAAAATTATATTTTAATGTAGGTACATACATTTCTTTCATACATTTCATACATGTCAAAAATTATCTTTTAATGTAGGTACATACATTTCTTTCATACATTTCATACATGTCAAAAATTATCTTTTAATGTAGGTACATACATTTCTTTCATACATTTCATCAAAAATGAACTTTTTATAACATATACATCTCATACATTTCAAAAATTATATTTTAATGTAGGTACATACATTTCTTTCATACATTTCATACATTTCAAAAATGAACTTTTTATGTAGGTACATACATTTCTTTCATACATTTCATACATGTCAAAAATTATCTTTTAATGTAGGTCCTTACATTTCATACATTTCAAAAATTTCATACAATACATTTCTTTCATACATTTCAAAAATTATCTTTTAATGTAGGTACATACGTTACGTTCTTACTAATATTATAAACGCGGAAGTTAGTATGCGGTATATGGGTGATGAATCTATGTTTGTTATTCTTTCACACAAAAATACCGGAATGGATTTTAATGAACCTTTACAATAATATTGCTTACACATCAGAATAACACATAGGCTATAAAAAAAATTAAATCAGTTCAGTAGTTTTGGCGTGAGCACAGACAGACTAGTTAATTATATTATTATAAAAATAGTCAATTCAATTAATAACATAAAATAATAAAAAATGATAATACAAAAAATATTTTTTCGTAGCCCATAAAAAAAAATATTAAAAAGTTCATATCAAATTTCATCAAAATGTGGGAGAAATATGGCATTCTTTATATATAAGATATAGCAATTTTTATGCAACTGTAGTTAATAAAAAAACATATAAATGCAAGCGTGAAATTTTTTCATAGCTTGATCTACCGTGATGTAATTAACACAATAGGTATATACATTGGCACATACATATCTGCAGAGTGTCGGCTAACGATATTATACCTACACATTTACATTGAATCTTGAATCGTCCCTAATTTTTATCTAATCAAAAAACAAATCCACTGCCATCTATTTTCATGGTTAGCACCCACTAGTAATCTTAACTGCTTCAGATCTAGCGACATCTAAGCGGACAAAAAAATAGCGTGCAAAAGGCAGTAGACATTATATTCAACATGGTTACGTTAATTTTCAACATAAAGCTAAAAAAATCAAGGCCGAGAGAACAGCTACACACGTTAATTATCAAATAATTAATATTTAACTTTGTGAAGTTTAATTAGAACTGTATTTAGAACGGTATTCGTGCAATATGGACACACGTCACGAACTCTTTTATGACTGATATGACAAAAATGGAAAGGACTATGCTGAAAGAGAAGAGACGAGACAGCCTGAAACACTGCGTTATCGGGAATTAAATAAAAGACAAAGAAATTTGAAGATTAAAAGACTCAGATGAATGAGGGATGAAAATGAGCATGCTAAATAATAAGAGGATATCTTAAATGGAGTAAGAAAGCGACAATAATTGGACAAGATGCAGACCCCATACAAGATCGGATGTGGCAGGAGTAATGTGGGACAGAGGCTCAAGAAAGATCGAGAATGGAAACCGTTGATGGACTTTGCAAACAGATCTGCAGCAAGTAAATAACGTTTTTATTGTTAAAACAGTATCATTTAAGTTGATCTGACTAAAGGCAGGCTATAATATATATATATATATATAGTTCACCCGTCTGCGCTTATGGTTTACGATGACGTGGCACCAGTGGAGGAAGATATGATGAGTTTGTGGTCAGGTCAGTTAGACCATCATGGGAAGTTTACCAAGAATTTATCTTTATATGGAACTAGCTACTCGCCCTGGCTTCGGTCGGGTGTACATGTATTATACATATAATATAAACCTTCCTCTATCTAATAAAAACAGGTTCAAAATCCGTTGCGTAGTTTTAAAGGTTTCAGCATACATAAGGACGGACAGACTGCGACAGTGACTTTGTTTTATACTATGTAATGATGTATTATGTCTACCATACCTTTGCATATCAGGTCAGTATTGTTAAACAAACGAAAATTAACAATGCCGACCCTCGTATGGGAAAACAGTCATTATTTTCTTTGATGATAACTAAATGTGTGTATAACCAACTAATTGGGTGCAAGATAGGAAACTCCCATCGGCGCACCTGTAAACAGCTAGACACGTTACGCAGTGTCTAGGCTGGTCAATCCTCTAACCATAATGGCAACCCAAGCCCCAGTTCTGGTTGTATATCATTATTAATATTTATAATAATAATGACGACTTTTTATTGTGCACATATAAACAAATAACAATAAGAACAATGAAAAAAAAAAATGTTTTACAAAAGGCTGTCTTATTGCTATTAGTAATCTCTTACAGACAACCTGGTGTTGAAAGAGAGTATTGTGTAGATATTATATAGGTAGATTATATATGCAGATCTATCTACTTTCAAACCATGAAGGTTACAGCCACTTTCTTAAAGTACTGGGGTTTCAAAGGAGCTTCCGCCCACGTACACTTAGATTGTGGAATGAACTACCTGCCG